TGGGATTATAGGCATAAGCCACCATGCCCGGCTGAGAAATTTTTTTAAAAGCCAGATTCTGGAGCTGAAAAACGTAACTGTTGAATTGAAAAATTCTCTAGAAGGATGAAACAACAGACTTGATGAAGCAGAAGGAATCAGCAAACTTGAAGACATGACATTTGAAGGTACTGAGTCAGGAACAAAAAGAATGAAGAAAAGTGAACAGTTCCTAAGGGACTTAATGGACACTATCAAGCCAACCAATATATACATTATGAGGTTCTCAAACAAAAGACAGAAAGTGGCAAAGAGCTTATGTGAAAAATATAATGTCTGCAAATTTCCCAGCTTTGAGGAATGAAATTGAAATATAAATATGAGAGGCTCAATTAACAAGTAGGAGACCTACACTGAGAAACATTATAATCAAAAAGCAAAGACAAAGAAGAAATCTTGAAAACAGCAAGTGAAAAGCAATGTAAAATCCTCAGCGAAATGCTAGCAAATCGATTTCAACAGCACATTAGAAGAATTATACAGCACGACCAAGTGGGATTTATTCCTGGAATACAAGAATGGTTCAATATAGGAAAATCACTCAACATTTGCAGAATGACAGAAAAACCCGCATAATCATGTCAAGTGATGCAAAAAAAAAAAAAAATCTGATAAAGTTCAACACCCTTTCACAATAAAAACACTCAACGAACTAGGAGAAGAAAATTACCTCAATGTAATAAATGCCATATATGAAAAACCCACAGCAGATATCACACTCAACGGTGAAAGACTGTGAGCTTTTCCTCTACGATCAGGAACAAGACATGATTGTCTACTTCCACGATTTCTACTGAACAAAATACTGGAAGTCTTAGCCAGAGCAATTAAGCAAAAAAAAAAAAAAAAAAAAGGGCACCCAGACTAGAAAAGAAGTTGTAAAATGATCTCTCTTCACAGGCAACATAATGTTATATGTAGAAAAATCCTAATTATTCCATTAGTTCTGACAACACCAAAAGCCTGTTAGAACTAATAAACAAATTCAGCAAGGTTGTAAGGTATAAAAATCAACAGGCAAAAAATCAGTTGTGTTACAACAATAAAAAAACCTGAAAAGGAAATTAAGAAAACAGTTGTTTGCATTAGCATCCGAAATTAAAACAAAATACCTAGGAGTACATTTAACCAAGGAGGCAAAAGACATGTATACTGAAAACTATAGAATGTTACTGAAAGAAACTAAAGATGACATCAGTACATGAAAGGACATACTGTGTTAATGGATTGGAAGACTTATGCTGTTAAACTGTTCATACTACACGAAGCAATCTACAGACTTAATGCAATTGCTATCAAAATCCTAATGGTGGCTGGGTGTAGCAGCTCATGCCTGTAATCTCAGAATTTTGGGAGGCCAAGGTGGGAGGATCGCATGAGATCAGCAGTTTGAGACCAGCCTCAGCAATAAATTGAGATCTCATCTCTACAAATAAAAATAAAAAATATTTTAAAAATCTTAATGGCATTTTTTGCAGGAAAAAACCAACCCATCCTAAAATTCATATGGAATCTCAAGGGACCCTGAACAGTGAAAATAATCTTGCTAAAGAAGAATGTTGGAAGAAGAAAGGTTGTAAGTTTCATCCTTTCTAATTTTAAAACTTATTACAAATCTATAGTAATCAAAACAATGTGGTACTGGCATAAAGACAAACATATAAACTAATACACAAAATAGAGAGTTCAGATATAAATCCTCCCATGTGTGGTCAAATGACGTTTGTCAAGGGTGCAAGGACCACTCCATGGAGAAAGGACAGTTTTGTTTCTTTACCCCAACAAATGGTGCTGGAATTAGATATCCACATGCAAAAGAATGAAGTCTAATCTTTACTTTATACCGTATGTAAAAATCAAATGGATTAAAGACCACGGATTAGACCGAAAACTATAGAACTCCTAGAAGAAAACATAGAGGGAACAATTTCTTGACATTGGATGTAGCAATGATTTCTTGGATATGATACCAAAAACACTGGAAACTAAAGTAAAAATACACAAGTTGGACTACCTCAAAAGTTAAAACTTATGTGCATCAGAGAACACAATTAATAGAGTGAAAAGGCAACCTATGGAATGTGAAAATATATTTGCAAATCATACGTCTGATGAGGAGTTAATATCCTGAATACATAAGGAATTCCTACAAGTCAACAACAAAACACAATCTGATTTAAAAATGGGCAAAGGACTTGAAAAGACATTTCTTCGAAGATATATATTTGACAAATAAGCACATGAAAAGAGGCTCAACATCATTAATCATTAGGAAAATGCAAATCAAAATCATGAGATACCACCTTACACCCATGAGGATGGTTACTATGCAAACAAAATAAAATTATAAGTGGTGTTGAGGTGTGGAGAAATTGGGACCCTTTTGCACTATTGGTGGGAATGCAAAATAATGCAACTGCTATGGAAAACAATAAGGAGTTTCCTCAAAGAATGAAAACTAGTACTACCATATGATTTAGCAATCACACTTGTGGGTATATAACCAAAAGAATTGAGCACAGGGTCTCAAAGAGATATCGGTACACCCATGTTCACAGCAGCATTATTCTCAATAACTAAGAAGTGGAAGCAACCCGGTGTCCTTGAATGAACAAACAAAACGTGGTTCATACATTCAATGAAATATTCAGCCTTAAAAAGAAAGGAAATTTTGACATATGCTACAACATGGATAAACCTTGAGGACAGTATTTCAAGTGAAATAAGCCACAAAGAGACAAATATGATTCCCTTTATTTGAGGTATTTAGAGTAGTCATATTCATAGACACAGAAAGTAGAATGATGGTTGCCAAGGGAGAGGGGCAGTGGGGTTGTGGAGTTGTTTAATGGGTATAGAGTTTCAGTTTTGCAAGGTAAAAATGTTTTGGAGATTGGTTGCAAAACGTGAATTTCCTTAATGCTACTGAACTGTATACTTAAAAATGGTTAAGACAAGTACATTTTGTTACATGCATTTTACCGCAATTTATTTTAATGCCAAAAAAACCCCTCAAGCTCAAAAAACAAACCAAGAGAGACTAACACATGTACTGTTTGTGGTGGATTGCAGCCAGAGAGGGAGGTGAAAACCAGTGGGCAGTGATGGAGGGTTGCAACTCCCATGAGAGAAGCATGTTTGAGGCATTTATACACATCGAATAAACCCAAATGCCAAATGATCTCTCACGTGTAATCCATAAAATCTCCTAGGACACTAGAGATCAAGTTGCTAGTCAGCACTGAGATTGTACAAGTGCAAAACGTAAGGAGAAACTTGACTTTGTCCTTGAACTCCTGCTTGTCAAGTTCATTTCTCTGAAACCCTAGAGCTATAACATGCTGAAGAGCTAACAAGCTTTAAAAGTAGTTATTTTTCTATCATTACCAAAAATAGACAATTTGCCTTTAAATTCTATTTGAGTTCATGGCTTTCCCGAGGATCAAATAGACAAGATGAGGCCAAAGAGCTCTTTCTGTTCCAGGAAGCACAGGACGGTGAAGGTAGGGTTGTGGTCTTGCCTGGGCCCGAGTGGACTCACTCACTGCTTGCAGCAGACACTGAACGTGCTTTCTGGCCTTGACCTCCCCAAAGCCCACAAGGTGTCTGCTGTGGCCTGGACCTTGGGGTAGGTACTGCTAATAGATTGTTACTGGCATTTGGTAACTGCCTATTTTTAGTACTTATTTTCAAATTAAAAAATATTTGAAGCCTTTCATTCTGAATCCTGTCCAGCCTACACTAGTTGGTTTAAATAACACAACATCCTCCTAAGTTTCCAGGGCACAGAATCAGGGGTCTGGGCTCCTGATGAGCAAAAGATTTGAGGCTGCAGGCATTTCCTCCTCCAGCCAGGCCTCTTTTCTGCATCTGTCTCTCTTGAGACCTATGTAAATGACTGTCCCCTTTGAGACAACAGAGATAAGCACTGGCAGCAGGTGACCTACCAGACTTAACCCCAGTTCACCATTTTGTCCTACAGGAGTTCCCATGTTTCCCTGTCTTAAAACAACTCCCAAATCCATTTCTTTGGGCAACTATTGCTTCCCCAATCTGTGGGGTTTTGGTGGGCCTGCAAGTCACAGTAAGCATTTCTCTCCTCCCCACAGGTGTGTACATGAGAGCAGGCCAGGGTGAGGTCTTCCCTGGAATTTCCAGGGCGGGGTCAGTTCCTGTATAACCCCAGACATTCCACATAACTATAGCCCAGCACGTGAAGAAAATCTGTTGGCAGTGGGGAAGGATGAGGCCGACAGACAGCTGAAATGACAAGTGGAGAGCAGGAAGGAGAGCTCAAGTGCCCTGGAGGTGTTGCATCCTGACCCTTGGGTGTTCCAGGGAATACCCAGTTATTAGCTCTTTGGCTTTGAGCAAGATATTTATCCTCTCCAACCATCTGTTCCATAATCTATGAAACTGGGAGACTAAAAGCTCTTTTTAGGATGGTTGTGAGAATGAGATCACATAAGCAAAGCCCATGCCCATCACAGGACTTGCATTTACTCAGCTCCTCCTGTGCCGGAACTTGCTGAGCTCCCTTCCCTCCTCCCCTGTTAGGTTGGGGCTATAAAGTAGAAATCTGGAACCAATAAAAGTCTAATGGTCAGGTGTGGGGGCTCACACCTGTAATCCCAGCACTTTGGGAGGCTGAGGCGAATGGATCACGAGGTCAGGAGATCAAGACCATCCTGGCCAACATGGTGAAACCTCGTCTCTACTAAAAATACAAAAATTAGGCAGGTGTGGTGGCAGGCGCCTGTAGTCCCAGCTGGTCAGGAGGCTGAGGCGGGAGAATCGCTTGAACCTGGGAGGCAGAGTTTGCAGTGAGCCAAGATTGCCCCACTGCACTCCAGCCTGGGTGACAGTGAGAGACTCCTTCTCAAAAAAATAAAAATAAAAATAAAAAAAGTCTACTGAATAAACCAATAATTGAACCTATTCTGGAAGTTTTACTTTGTGGGTTTTTTTTTAAGGAAAATGGAGATTGTAATTATGTGAGCATTTGTAGCACCTGTTTCATCAGAAGCCTATGCTGCTGATTTTGTCTTTCACTAGTCCTTGCGAATCTCCCATTTTTATGAAAACCAAGGGCCTGAGTAACTTTCGCAAGAACAGCCTTGAGCTAGACTGAAGTGCTGCCTGCCCTCAGGTTATTCATTATGTCTGAGAGCTGCCAGAGGTGACTGGGAGACAAGAGAGAAAACTCTCTACTGAGTTCACAAACTGCCAAGCAGAAAGACGAGGGTGCCAATGTAAGGCAGGACAAAGAATTGCCCTGCGTTCCAGATTCTGAGCCAAGGAGATCACTAAGAGGTTTGTTTAATCCTAGGCTGTGTTTGCCTCTCATTGACTTCCTGGCTTGGCTGCACTGGGCTGCCCCCTTCCTTAGCGCCTGGAAGGCTAGGGAAGTCCCATGCCCGTGTCACAGGGTTTGGCACATGGTGCTTTCCACATGCGATGCTACATCAAGATTTGTGTCTGAGGTTTCAACTGAAAACATCAAATTGCTTTTCTGGAGCCATTCATCATCTGCTCATCCACTATTAACTCCCTGCCATATGCGATGCACAGCACGTATGCTCTCTATAAAACACCAGGTATCATCTTAGTGCCCTCAAGCAAGCAAAGACCCCGTGTGTTACGGTTTATAGAGCCGTGCAGAATTCCTGCTGCCTGAGGAACAAACACGGCCCACTCTTGAGGTCTTGAGTAGTTGCTGAAAAACCTGAGCTTTTAACATGGTCTCTTTTAGCATCTCCAATTCTTATTATGGTCAGGTTCTCACATACCTGCTTTTTTAACAAGACCTCACTGAAGGCAACAATTTCTGCTGGCATAGCATGTTGGGCACAGGTGGTCTCCATTATTGTTTATCCCAAGTATGCATGCAAATGTGAAAAGAGAAAAGTACATCGGGCAATTGAGTCTGATTTTCATTTTTCAGCTGTGTGTCCAAGTCTACTATAAGGTAATTCTTAATGTACACTTGATTTCCATAATGTTTCCTTCTATTTTCCCACCTGCTGTTGGCTTTGAACAACCTTACCTGAGCTGAGAATGGCTGCTTCCCTGGCAAGAAGTTTCTAGAACGTGTTTGCTGGGCCAAAGCTTGGACACCTGATCTCTTCAGAGATCTTGTGGATAGACTGATAGAGAAGAAAGAAAATAACTCATGCAGCAATGTATATGGATAAAACAGACGAAGAGGTGCTACAATAATCAAAAGGGATAAAGTAAAAAATACAGAAGAGTCGAATCGATTCTGCATCATTGTAAATCAAGTCACATACTAACATGAATTTTACAGAGATCGAAAACCTTTTTGATCCAAAGCCAAAGCATCAGGAGATCTTTATTTTTTTAACTGAAGTAAAATATACACAACATAAAATTTACCATGTTAACCTTTTTTTTTTTTTTTCCTTTTTGAGACTCTGTTGCCCTGGTTGGCATGCAGTGATGGGATCATAGCTCACTGCAGCCTCTAACTCCAGGGCTCAAGTGATTCTCTCACTTCAGCCACCCAAGTAGCTGGGACTACAGGTGCTCGTCACCATGCTCAGTTAAATTTAAAAAGTTTTTATTTGTAGAGACAGGAGTCTTGCTCTGTTGCCAGGCAGGTCTTCAACTCCTGGGCTCAAGCAATTCTCTTGCCTCAGCCTCCCAAAGTGCTGGGATTATAGGCATAAGCCATCATGCCTGGTCTGTCTTAACTTTTTTTTTTTTTTTTTTTTGGAGACAGATTCTCCCTCTGTCACCCAGGCTAGAGCACAGTAGCATGATCTCGGCTCACTGTAACCTCCGCCTCCCACGTTCAAGTAATTCTCGTATCTCAGCCTCCTGAGTAGCTGGGACTATAGGCGCACGCCACCATACCCAGCCAAGTTTTGTATTTTCAGTAGGGACAGGATTTCACCATGTTGCACAGGCTGGTCTTGGCCTCAAGTGATTCACCCCCATGGCCTTCCAAAGTACTAGGATTACAGGTGTGAGCCACCATGCCCAGAAGTCTTAACCATTTTTAAGAGTACATATCAGTAAAGTACTTTCACATTGTTGTACAACCACATTCACATTGTTGAACATTTTCATCTTGCAAAACTATACCTAATTAAATAACTCCCCATTTCCCCCTACCCCTGGCAACCACCATTCTACTTTATCTATGAATTTGACTACTCTAAGTACCTCATAAATTCATATATATGCTCTCATGTATCCACATATATGTGGAATCATACAATAGTTGTCTTTCAGTGACTGGCTTATTTTCCTTGGCATGTTTGTTCTCAAGGTTCATCTATTTTGTCTTTATTAAAATACCAGTGACATTCTTCACAGAAATAGAAAAAAAAAATCCTAAAATTTATATGGAACCATAAAAGACCCAGCATAGCCAAAGCTATCCTAAGCAAAAAGAACAAAACTGGAGGAATCACATTACCTGACTTCAAATTATACTATGGAGGTATAGTAACCAAAAGAACATGGTACTGGCATAAAAACAGACAAAGACCAATGGAACAGAATAGAGAACACAGAAAGAAGTCCATGTACCTACAGTGAACTCATTTTCAACAAAGGTGCCAAGAACATACACTGAAGACAGTCTCTTCAATAAATGGTGCTGGGAAAACTGGATTTCTATATTTGGAAGAATGAAATTAGACACCTATCTCTCACCATATAAAAAAACAAATCAAAATGGATTAAGGATTTAAAACTAAGACTTCAAACTATGAAAACGACTATAAGAAAACATTGAGGAAAATCTCCAGGACATTGGTCTACACAAAAATTTCACAAGCAACACCCCACAAGCACAGGCAACCAAAGCAAAAATGGACAAATGGGGCCGGGCACAGTGGCTCACGCCTGTAATCCCAACACTTTGGGAGGCCGAGACGGGTGGATCACGAGGTGAAGAGATCGAAACCATCCTGGCCAACGTGGTGAAACCCTGTCTCTACTAAAAACACAAAAACTAGCTGGGCGTGGTGGCAGGCGCCTGTAGTCCCAGCTACTCTGGAGGCTGAGGCAGGAGGATCACTTGAACCAAGGAGGTGGAGCTTGCAGTGAGCCGAGATCACGCCACTGCACTCCAGTCTGGCAACCGAAAGAGACTCTGTCTCAATAAACAAACAAACAAACAAACAAACAAATAAATAAATAAATAAAATGGACAAATGAAATCACATCAAGTTAAAAATCTTCTGCACTGCAAAAGAAACAATCAATAAAGTGAAGAGGCAACCCACAAAATGGGAGAAAATATTTGTAAACTACCCATCTGACAAGGGATTAATAACCAGAACATATAAGAAGCTCAAATGACTGCATTGGAAAAAAATCTAATAATACAATCAAAAAATGGGCAAAAGGTTTGAATAGAAATTTCTCAAAAGAAGACACACAAATAGCAACAAATTAAAACTACAATGAGAAATCATCTCACCCTCAGTTAGGTTTATATCCAAAAGACAGTCTATAACAAATGCCAAGAATGTGGAGGAAAGGGAAACCTTGTACACTGTTGGTGAGAATATAAATCAGTGCAACCACTAGGGAGAACTATTGGAGGTTCCTCAAAAAACTAAATATAGAGCTACCATATGATCCAACAATCCCACTGCTGGGTATATATACCCAAAAGAAAGGAAAGATATCTGCACTCTCATGTTTGTTGCAGCACTGCTCATAAAAGCTAAGATTTGAAAGCAACCTAAGTGTCCATCAACAGATGAATGGATAAAGAAAACGTAGTACAGGCCAGGCACGGTGGCTCACGCCTGTAATCCCAGCACTTCGGGAGGCTGAGGCAGGCAGATTGCTTGAGCTCAGGAGTTTGAGACTATCCTGGGCAACATGACAAAAACCCCGTCTCTCCTAAAAACACAAAAATTAGCTGGGCATGGTGGCGCTCACCTGTGGTCCCAGCTACTTGGGGGACTGAAGTGGGAGGATCACTTGAGCCCAGGAGGTGGAAGTTGCAGTGAGCCGAGACTGTGCCACTGCACTCCAGCCTGGGTGACAGAGACCCTGCCTCAAACAAACAAACAAACAAACAAAGTGGTACATATACACAATGGAATACTATTCGGCTATAAAAAAGAATGGGATCCTGCGTGTCATTTGCAAAAACATGGATGGAACTGGAGATCATTAAGTTAAGTGAAATAAGCCAGGCACAGAAAGACAAACATCGCATGTTCTCACTTATTTATGTGATCTAAAAATAAAAACAATTGAATTCATGGATATAGAGAGTAGAAGCATGGTTACCAGAGGCTGGGAAGGGTAGTAGGGGGTTAGGGGGAGGTGGGGATGATTAATGGTACAAAAACATAGTTAGAATGAGTAAGACTTACTATTTGACAGCACGATAGCGTAACTACAGTCAATAGTATACATTTTTAAATAAAAGAGTGTCATTGGATTGTTTGTAATATAAAAGATAAACAAATGTTTGAGGGGATGGATGCTCCATTCTCCCTCTGATTATTTCATGTTGCATGCCTGTATCAAAACATCTCATGTACCCCATAAATATATATACCCTATGTACCCACAAAAGTTAAAAGTTAAAAAAATCAGCCGGGTGCAGTGGCTCACACCTGTAATCCCAGCACTTTGGGAGGCTGAGGTGAGCAGATCACCTGAGGTCAGGAGTTTGAGACCAGTCTGGCCAACATGGTGAAACCCCTTCTCTACTAAAAATATAAAAATTAGCTGGGCATGGTGGCATGTGCCTGTAATTACAGCTACTCAGGGAGACTGAGGCAGAAGAATCAGTTGAACCCGGGAGGTGGAGGTTGCAGTGAGCTGAGATCGTGCCACCGCACTCCAGCCTGGGCGACAGAACGAGATTACATCTCCAAAAAAAAATTAAAAATTAAAATGATTGGCTGGGCACGGTGGCTCACACCTGTAATCCCAGCACTTTGGGAGGCCAAGGTGGGTGGATCACCTGAGGTCGGGAGTTCAAGACCAGCCTGGCCAACATGGAGAAACCCCGTCTCTACTAAAAATAAAAAAATTAGCCAGTCATGGTGGCGCATGCCTGTAATCCCAGCTACTCGGGAGGCTCAGGAGAATCACTTGAACCCAAGAGGCGGAGGTTGTCGTGAGCCAAGATCATGCCACTGCACTCCAGCCTGGGCAACAAGAGCGAAACTCCGTCTCAAAAAAAAAAAAAGAAAAAAAGAAAAAAATTAAAACAATTGTAAAATGATTCATCCATTTTATAGTATGTCAGAATTTCTTTCCTTTTCAAGGTTAATAATGTTTCATTGTGTGCATCCCACATTTTATCCATTCATCCACTGACGGCCACTTGGGTTGCTTCTGCCTTGGCTATTGCTGATAACACTGCTATGAGCAAGGGTGTACAAACACCTCTTTGAGACCCTACTCTCAATTCTTTTGCATATCTATATATATATATGTACATATATATATACACACACACACATACACACACATATATATGTACCCAGAAGTGGAAATGCTGGATCATATGGTAATACCATGTTTAATATTTTGAGGAACTTACATATTATTTTCCACAGCAGTTACATTACTTACATTCCCACCAACAGTGTACATGACCTCTAATATCTCCACATGCTTGCCAACAATGGTTATTTTCAATCTTTTTGACAGTAACCATCCTCATGGGTTTGAGGTGGTATTTTGTTGTGATTTTGACTTGTATTTCCCTAATGATGAGTGACACTGAACTGCTTTTCATGTGCTTACTGGCCAACTATATCTTCTTTGGAGAAATATCTATTCAAATCTCTCTTTTTTTTTTTTTTTTTAAAGACAGGGTATCATTCTGTCATCCAGGCTGGAGTGCAGTGGCACAATCTGGGCTCACTGCAGTCTCATCCCCTTGGGCTGAAGCGATCCTCCTACCTCAGCCTCCTGAGTAGCTGGGATTACAGGTATCCGCCACCACGCCTGGCTAATTTTTAAATTTTTTGTAGAGATGGGGTCTGACCACATTGCCCAGGCTGGTCATGAACTCCTGGGCTCAAGTAATCCTCCTGCCTCAGCCTACCAAAGTGCTGGGATTATAGTGTGAGCCACAGCGCTTGGCCATTTTTGCTGCTGCCAACCCCTTTTTGGCAGAGTATCCCTCTGTCGCCCAGGCTGAAGTGCAGTGGCATGATTATGGCTCACTGCAGCCTCAACCTCCCAGGATCAAGTGATGCTCCCGAATAGCCTCCAAAGTAGCTGAGACTGCAGGCATGGGCTTCCATGCCCGGCTACTTTTTAAAATGTTTTGTAGAGGCGGGGTCTCTCTATGTTGCCCAAGCTAGTCTCAAACTCCTGAACTCAAGATATCCTCCTGCCTGGGTCTCCCAAAGTGTTGGGATTACAGGTATTGCCTAACCTTCTGCCCATTTTAAATTGGGTTTTCTGTTGTTGACAGGGAGATCTTATTTGATAATAATTTAAATAATATTACTTTTAATATTAATAATTTTAAAGAAATATTTTTGAAATATGTATTTTAAATGTTATATAAAATGCATTTCAAGTATAAAATATACACTGTGCTCTCCCAATCAGAATGGAGTGGACTTTATTTGAACACCTACAGATAACAATATTGTCATTATAAATTAAGAAACTGAAATTTAGAAAAGATCTGAGCACCTTATCCAATAGGACACTGAATTTTTCAATACTACCCTCAGAGATCACTGAACTGTAGCCTGTTTTTGTCTAGGCTTAACTAGGGAAGAAGTCACTTTCGATCTTACCCAAATGGTTAACACAATCTATTTCCTGTGGCTGGGGAGCTGAGGGCTCCAGCTTCTTGCTGACTATTGGCTGCAGTCCTCCCTTAGCTCCTAGAGGCCTCCTGCAGTTCCTGTCCCCATGTTTCTCCTCAACATGTGCACTTCATTAAACCAAGGAGAGCCTAGAGCTAGTTTGCTAGCAAGATGGAGTCTTATATAGTGTAACATAATCATGCAGCTACATTTCATCACCTTTGCCATTTTCTATTGCTGTGAAGCAACTCACAGGTCCCAGTCATAATCAAGGGGATGATACAGTAGAAAATGGCAAAGGGCATGACTACTAGGTCACCAGGGTGGCAGATTGTATTTTTCAAAAACAGCCACATCAATATTCTCTGACAAGCTCTTCTAGAACCTTGTTACTTTTTATCAACAATTTCCTCTGCTTCCCTGTCACTGAACCTGGGTGACACACTGTGATACAGCTTGCCTGGCTCTCTCTTTGGGGATACTTGCCCTTAAAACTCAACCTCCATGATCTGAGACAGGCCAAAACAGCCCTTATGGAGAGATCACATGGAGAGGTTCACGTGATCAGGAATAGAGCCTCAAACAACAGCCAGCATTAACTTTCAGCCGTGAGCTTTCAAATCATTCCTGTCCTGAGCCTGAATCTTTCAGCTAAGGCCTTAATCATTGTGGAGCACAGAAAAGCCAGCTTTTCTAAGCCCCGTGCAAATTCCTGACCAATAAACAAGCATAATAAATGGTTGTTTCATGCCACTAAATTTTGGGTTGATTTGTTACACAGCCATGGTAATTGGGACAACATGTTAATAGAATAAAGGAGAAAGAACCCACAATTATCTCAATAGATGCAGAAAAAGCACTTGACAGAGTTCGACATTTATTAATGATTAAAAATTCCAGCAAATTAAAAATCGAAGGGAACTTTCTTAATCTGACAAAGAGTTAATACATAAAACTTACTGCACACAGTGTATTAATTGGTGAAGTGTTGACAGTTTTTCTCTATCATCACTTCTATTCATTACATTGAAAGTTTCTGGCTAACTGAAAAAATAAAAGGAATAAGAATTAGAAAGAAGAAATAGAACTGCCTTTAGTGGCAGATTACATGCCTATAAAGAAAACCTGAGATTATTATTATTAGGATTCAGTGAGTTTGGTAAGGCTGTTGGACACTGGAGCAACATTAAAAAAATCAATTTTATTTCTATTTGACAAAAGATAATCAAAGTCTGGGCACAGTGGCTCATGAGTGTAATCCCAACACTTTGGAAAGCCAAGGGAGGAGACTCACTTGAGCCTAGGAGTTCAAGACCAGCCTGGGCAAAATAGTAGACTCCGTCTTCTACAAAAACATTAAAAAATTAGCTGGGTCCATGTGGTGTGCACTTGTAGTCCCAGCTACCTTGAAGGAGGTCGAGGCTATAGTCAGCTGTGATTGCACCACTGCACTCCAGCCTGGGCAACAGAGCAAGACACCATCTTTTAAAAGAGAGAATAATTAACAACTGAAAATTTAGAAGCTACTATTTGTAATAGCATCAAACATACTGCTTAAAAATAAATATTACATAAAAAGTATGAAACGCTTAAACCAAAACAACAGAATAGAGCAATAGAAAATCTAAATGGAGAAATATACTACATTCATAGATCAGAAGACTAAATTTCAAGATGTTACTCTCCTTCAAAATGATATATAAATTCAAGAAAATCACAATCGAAATTGTAATTGTGTGCATATGTGTAAGTGTACTTGTGTGTAAGTTGGTAAGCTGGTTCTAAAATTTTTTGGAAATGCAATGATACAAGAATATCAAAAAAGGAGAACAGGGTTAGAGAACTTTCTCATTAAGATACTTATATGTATGATAATACTAGAGTAATTAAGAGTGTGGTATTGGAAAATGGAGAAACAAACAGGCTGATAAAACAGAATACAGACCCCAGAAATAAACTCAGTTATATACACGGACACGTGATTTACAGCAAAGATGGCAGTGAAGTGCGCTAGACAAAATAAAACGTCTTTTCAATAAATGGTGCAGGAACAATCTGTAGGTAGAGGAATGAAACCTGACTCCTACCTCACACTACACATAAATATCTATTCCAGATCTTTTAGATCTAAATTTAAAAGGCAAAGCATTTAAAATGTAACACAGAATATATTCATGAACTTGGAGTATGGACTTCTTAAACAGAACACAAAGGCTGGGTGCAGTGGCTCACACCTATAATCCCAGTACTCTGGGAGGCTGAGGTGGGTGGATTACTTGAGGTCAGGAGTTTGAGACTAGACTGGCCAACATGGTGAAACCCTGTCTCTATTAAAAATACAAAAATGGGAATGGTGGTGGACATCTATAAATCCAGCTACTCAGGAAGCTGAGGCAGAAGAATCACTTGAATCCGGGAGGCAGAAGCTGCAGTGAGCTGAGATTGTGCCACTGCACTCTAGCCTAGGCTACAGTGCAAGGCTCCGTTTAAAAAAAAAAAAAAAGTCAGTAGAAAATGATTTTTAAAAAACCCTACAACACAAAAAGCACTAACTATAAAGGAAAAGAATAATATATTTCTCTAGTTTAAAATTAAGAACTTCTCAAGAGACACCACTAAGTGTATGACAAAGCAAGTCAGAGTGGGACAAGCTGTTTGCCACAGGTATAACTGACAAAGGAGTCAGATCCAGAATATATGAAGAACACCTAGGAATCGATTAGAAAAGAATACTTGCAAAGGCATTTCATAAAAGAGGAAATGGCCTATAGTAATATGAAAAGGTGCTCAACCCCACTAGTAACTAGGGAAATGCAAAATGAAACCACAATACCATTTACATACTCACCAAAATGGCCAAACTGAATGAAGAACGCTGAAAATACCAACTGCTCAGAACAGATGAGAACTTGCCAGGGAGTCTTTGGAATATACAGTTGTTCAATATATATTGTTAGACTTTTGCTTTTCTTTTAGTGCATATTTTATGCAGGTATGTTTTTCATTCCCATTCAGAGTCAGACCATTTGTATCTTCTGGTAGGTTTCTCTTGTGATCCCTGAAAAAAACCAATGCTTACTGAGTATTGCAAATCCTATGCCCACATTTACAAACACTATACGTATTAGAGTATTGCTAATACCATACTATTCATTCACTATCGTCCAAAGATTATCCAACTAGAATCTAAAATTCTATGACATTTCCTGGTTTGGAAATGCTTCAATTTTGTTACTTCTATGAAGGAAGATTCTCCCCAAATATTTCACTATTGGCTGCAGAAACATCTGGAATGATGACTAAGAAATTACCTTGCTCTCTCTTTAAAAGGAGACTTCCAACAGTCATATTGTAGCATGGTGCCACCTGGTGGTTCCACTGTATCCACTATATTTTTTTTCTTCTACCATCTCTCCCCCTTTAAGCCCTTTTCTTGTTTCTCCTCTTCCCAGGTTCATCTGCCACTACATTCCACATTAGACAGCAGCACAGTTAACACTTCCCCATGGCCAATTCCGAACCTATGTCGAATTTTACAAAATGAGATAAAGCACCTCTCCATATGTTTATTAGATCATTTTCTCTTTTATGAAGTGCTTCTTTAAGGTTTTTGCCCATTTTTCTATTGGGTGTTCCTATTCTTTGGTATATATACCTGGACATCTGTCTTTTGAAGGTTATATGAATTAATATATTTTCCAACTCTACAGGCTTTTTATTCTTGTAAATGGTGTTTTTTTTGGTGAATATATTCTAGTATAGTCAAATATATCAATCACTTCCATTAGAGTTACATTTTCTTTTATCTTATTTACGACATCCTGGCCAGGCCCCTATAATTCCAGCACTTTGGGAGGCTGAGGTCAGGAGTTTAAGAACAGCCTGACCAACGTGGTGAAACCGTCTCTACTAAAAAAAAAAAAACATACAAAAATCAGCCGGGCGCAGTGGCGCACACCCGTAATCCTAGCTGCTTGGAAGGCTGAGGCACGAGAATCGCTTGAGCCTGGAAGGTGGAGGTTGCAGTGAGCCAAGATAGTGCCACTGCCCTCCAGCCTGGGTGACAGAGTGAGACTCTGACTCAAAAAAAAAAAAAAAAAGTCTTTATCACTTCTGAGATTTTGTTATGCAACTTCGTTATTTCTTCTGTAAGTGTTCGGTAGAACTTACCAGTAAAGTCATCCAAGACTGAAGTTTTCTTTGTGGAAAAGCTTTTAAAGAAGATTTAATTTCTTTAATAGATGACTATGAAGTTTTCTATCTTGTTATAGTTTTGGTAAGCTGTGTTTTCTATGAATTTGTATATTTCATGTACATTTTACTTATTCAAATGTCTTAATATCGCTCTAATTACTTTGTAACTATAATAATTCTGGCTGAGGTGGGTGGGTCACAAGGTCAAGAGATCGAGACCATCCTGGCTAACACGGTGAAACTCTGTCTCTACTAAAAATACAAAAAGTTAGCTGGACATGGTAGCATGTGCCTGTAGTCCTAGTTACTCAGGAGACTGAGGCAGGAGAATTGCCTGAACCCGGGAGGCAGAGGTTGCAGTGAGCCAAGATTACACAACTGCACTCCAGCCTGAGCAAGACAGTGAGACTCCATCTCTACAAAAAATAAAAAAAAAAATTAAAAAAATTCTTTGGTTGGGTGCAGTGGCTCATGCCTGCAACGCTAGCACTTGGGGAGGCCGAGGTGGAAGGATTACTTGAGCTCATGAAATCAAGACCAGCCCGGGAACATAGTGATATCTCATTTCTCTTAAAAAAAAAAAAAAAAAAAAAGGTAGCCGGGCACACCTGAAATCTCAGCTACTCAGGAGACTGAGGTGGGAGGATCACTTGAGGTTGAGACTGCAATGAGCTATGACTGTACCTCTGCACCCCAGCCTGGGCAACAGAACAAGATCCTGTCCCCACTCCCCAACCAAATAATTCTTTTCCATCTCCAACACTGGTTAGTTCTGCTACTTTTTCCCTTGATCATTTTCACCAAGGATTTACCAATTATTTTTTCAAAAAGCAATTCTTGTGCCTCAGCCTCCCGAGTAGCTGGGACTACAGGCGCTCGCCACCACGCCTGGGTAATTTTTTGGTAGAGATGGGGTTTCACCATGTTGCCTAGGCTGGTCTGGAACTCCTGATCTCAGGTGATCCGCCTGCCTCGGCCTCCCAAAGTGCTGGGATTACAGGCATGAGCCACCATGCCTGGCCAAAGAACCTACTTATTAATATTTTGTAAGTTATATATTCTTATTAATTTCTACTGTTCCATTACTTTAACTTGCTGTTCTTATTCTACTTTCTTGAGAGTGCTTAATTTTTAACCTTTCTTCTTTTCTAATATATACACTTAAGGCTATAAACTTCCCTTTAAGTATGGCCTTAGTCATATCCAAAAGGTTCTGATATTCATATTTTCATTTCAATTCAGTTCAAAATAATTTCAGTTTTCCACTGGATTTGGAGGTACATTTCTTCCAAATTTCGTAATTTGTATTTAGTTCTGCTGTAATCAGACTGCCTTCTCTATATGATTTAAGCCCTCTGAAATTTAATACTAAGTTTCTTTATGGCCTAACATTTATTCAACTTTAATAAATGATTCATGTTCATCTGTAAATAATATATATTTTGCAGTTATTGATACAGTGTTCTACATAGGCCCATTAGATAAAGTTTGTTCACTATGTTGTTCCAATCTCCTGTCTCCTTACTGATTTGGTGGGAAGGGGTGTGTGTGTGTGTGAGCTTCTATTATTTACTGAGACAGCTGTATTAAAATATTATATATAGACTTCTACTCTTGGTCAAGATGGAATACCTGTCACTCTATCCTCCTGCCTGAAGCAACTAAAAAAAACTAAATGTATCTAAAACTATGTCACTTAAGACATGGGCCATCAGGCACTGAAGAACGGTTAACTGCTGACCGAACATGAAACAAAAAGAGGTAAGCCCTGCCACTGCCCGAGAATTTATTTCCTGAAGAACATTTCTAGGCCATAATGCAAGGGAGGGGAAACCCAGGCCAGAGTCCACCAATTTTTCCAGATTTTAAGAGACAGAGGCGAGAGTCAGGGAGGCTAAAGTGGCTACAGTTCAACCTTTCATAAACTCTCCGAGGAATAGACAAAGAGGAAACAACTTCCAGCTCTTTCCACGAGGACATTTTTACATTAACACCAACATCTGACAAGGGTATGAAAAGAAAGGAAAATTATACACCACCTCTCTCTTGAATACAGATGCAAAAATTCTAAATGAAATATTGCGGCTGGGCGTGGTGGTTCATGCCTGTAATCCCAGCACTTTGGGAGGCCGAGGTGGGCAGATCACAAGGTCAGGAGATGGAGACCATCCTGGCTAACACGGTGAAACCCCGTCTCTACTAAAAATACCAAAAATTCACCAGGCGTGGTGGTAGGCGCCTGTAGTCCCAGCTACACAGGAGTCTGAGGCAGGAGAATGGTGTGAACCCAGGAGGCGGAGCTTGCAGTGAGCTGAGATCGTGCCACTGCACTCAGCCTGGGCAATAGAGCAAGACTCCACCTCAAAAAAGAAAAAAAAAAAGAAATATTGCAAAATAAATCCAGAGATACACAGAAATAATAACATGACTAAGTGGGAAGTTTATTCTAATAAAATGAATGGTGAAGTAGAAGGGTAGGGGTAGACAGGGAGGGAGGAACACTATGAAATACATTATTAATTCACTAGACTAACAGGTAAAATAAAAATAATTTGATCATCTCAACAGATTCAAGAAAAGCATTTGACATAATTCAACACCATATACTTTCTTAGCAAGGCATAAATAAAACTTCCTTAAACTCATAAATACCACCAAAATCCTACAGCAATCAGCATGCTTGATGGTGACATCCGAATGCGTTCTTGCTGAGATCAGGAACAAAGAAAGGAATTCCATACTGACCGCTTTTTGAGACAGGGTCTCACTGTATCACCCAGGCTACAGTGCAGTGGTGTGATCACAGCTCAACCTCCTAGGCTCAAGTGATCCTTCTACCACCTCAGCCTTCCAAGTAGCTGGGACCACAGCTGCACACCAGCACGCCCAGCTAATGTTTTGTAGAGATGGGGTTTCACCATGTTGTCCAGGATGGTCTCGAACTCCTGGGCTCAAATAGTCCTCTCACCTCGGCCTCCCAAAGTGCTGGGATTACAGGTGTGAGACACTGCATCTGGCCCATTCTGACCACTTCTATTCAACACCATACTGGGCATTTTGGCCAGTGCAATAAGACAAGAAAAGAAAGAAAATGCAAAATGACTAGAAATAAATAAGTTATTATGAACAGATGACAGGAGTATGCAGAAAATTCCAAGAGAATCTATAAATTGTTAGCATTAACAAATGAACTGAGCAAGGGTGCTAGATATAAGGTCATTATAAAAATCAAAAGTATTTCAATACTGTAGCAACAAACAGCAAACAATTACAGACCTGAACAGACCACAAAATGGTCCAAATGGTCAATAAGTATTTGAAAAGATGCTTAGCATTATTAGTCACTATTAAAATTTAAACCACAAGATACCAGTATATACTTACCAGAATGTCTGAAGTGAGAATAATAATAGGTTGTCCAGGCTTCCCCAGAGGCAGCCTCTGGAGAGCCAGTTCTCATCTATCAAGCACTTCTTGGGGGTGGGAGGGGTTAAAGGAAGTGTATTTCTGGACCACCACATCCTTAACTGCAGGGACTGGATCTCTGACATCAGACATATATAGTAACTTGCATTTGTTTCCTTGAGTTGCTATAACAGATTACAACAAGTTGGGTGGCTTAAGACAACAGAAATTCATCATCTCACCGTTTTGGAGGCCAGAAATCCAAAATCAAGGTGTTGGCAGGGCACCATCTCCTCTAGAGGCTCTAGGTGAGAAACCCTTCCTTGCCTCTTCTAGCTCCTAGTAGCTGCCAACATTACTTGACTTGTGGCTACATCTCTCTCTGCCATCTTCATGTTGCCTTCTTCTGGTATCTTCCTTTCTCTCTTACAAGGGCACTTGTGATGGCATTTAGGTCCCACTCATAATCTCATCTCTAAATGCTTAATTACATCTGCAGAGACCATTTTTCCAAATAAAGCAATATTTACAAGTTCTCCAGGGATTAGGGCTTGATATTTGGGGTGTGTGTGTGTACATATATATACATCTATAATTTTTTTTTTCAGACAGAGTGTCGCTCTTGTCGCCCAGGCTGGAGTGCAATGGTGCGGTCTCAGCTCACTGCAACCTCCGCCTCCTGGGTTCAAGCAATTCTCCTACCTCAGCCTCCAAAGTAGCTGGGATTACATGACCCCGCCACCATGTTTTTTGTAATTTTTGTATTTTTAGTAGAGACGGGGTTTCACCATGTTGACCAGGCCAGTCCTGAACTCCTGACCTCGTGATCCGCCCACCTTGGCCTCCCAAAGTGCTGGGATAACAGGCGTGAGCCACCAGGCCCGGTGGAGAAATATATTTTCTTTTCTTTTTTTTTTTTTTTTGAGACGGAGTCTTGCTCTGTCACCCAGGCTGGAGTGCAGTGGCCAGATCTCAGCTCACTGCAAGCTCCTCCTCTCGGGTTCACGCCATTCTCCTGCCTCAGCCTCCTGAGTAGCTGGGACTACAGGCACCCGCCACTTCGCCCGGCTAGTTTTTTGTATTTTTTTAGTAGAGATGGGGTTTCACCGTGTTAGCCAGGATGGTCTCCATCTCCTGACCTCGTGATCCTCCCGTCTCGGCCTCCCAAAGTGCTGGGATTACAGGCTTGAGCCACCACACCCGGCCGAGAAATATATTTTCTAAATAAAGAAATAAACTAGTGAGACCGTGGAGAGACGGTCAGGGAGTCAGAATGGCCTGGGAAAACCTGGTGTGTGAAGAGGGGGTGAACTGGAAGAAGGCAGAAGTCTTAGCTATAATGGGAGTAAATTCTCTGGGTACCAAGGGAAAACTGTGAGGAGATTTTAAAAAAGGAGCTAAAGTAAGAATTACCTTCTTCTTTGCCAGGGTCCTGGGATCTAATCCCACAAAAGAAGTGGCTATATTTACATACACTGCCCAAAAGAGGGGGCAATAGGCATGCTTTCGTAGACCCAGCTAGCTGCCCGTTTGAAATCTATTCTTTTCCTTCTTCACTGAAAAGAATCCTAAATTTCTTAGGAACATCAATTGCTCAGATAAAACAGATAATTTCCAAGGCACCCTTGGAGCTACTAGCTATGCAACACAGGTCTAACTAATGGGATGTAAATACAAACATGCAAGTGGAGCTTCTGGAAACTACTGTTTTGCTCTCTTTGCATAGAAAGAGACATACATTTGCATCTTTTCCCCTAAGCCTATCCTTTTCAGGCCCCCCACTACTGCCATCCTTGACAGCATCGTGGAGGAGTTACAGTATTAGCCCTGGACAGTTTGCCTGTAGACTTTTCTACTGTAAGAAGAAAAACAAACAGACAATAATAACAAAAAGACAAGCTCCAATTGAGTTTATGCCACTGTTACTTGGTTTGCCATCAAACACAATATTTTAAACCTAAACAATACCTATGGTGTTTCACAGATTTGACATAACCAACAACAAATGGACCACTCCAATTTTTCTGGATACTTAAAAAATAAGGCCTTCGCACCAACACAGGTCCCAGATTGGCACTCTTGAATGACTAAGTTTGTAATTATTTCAAAGGTTCCATACATTTATAATCAAGTACAGAGAAGATTAATGTAGATTCTTTATTGATTCCACCAATGTATTAGTAATATCTGATAATAATAAATGGTATTTTTACATTCTCTTAACCAAAAATATAACAAATATTTACACTCAGTAAAAATACAAAAAGCATACAGAGGCACTGTCTTTCTAAAAGACGTAAGTTTAAGAGGTATCAAAAAATAGGAGACAAACATTGCTTGTTACAGGATACCTTACAATCAATGAATTGTGCAGCAGAATTGCTATCTGATTATTACAGATGTGCAGTTTTGTTTTTGTCTTTTGCTGATTAGCTTACATGTCTCAATTTTAAAAGATCAAGTTCAACTGCATTCCGTGTACCAAAAACAAAGAAGCATTAAAAATGCACAACAAAAGCCAAAGATGAACCAGGATTTAAGTTTAAATTTGAACATGTACTGTGACACTTTTTTGAAGATTTATGCCGTTTTTCTAGCCTTCAAGGTAATGCTGAAGGCATACATACACTTTAACATTACCTTTTGTAGAAACTTAAAATTGAATCAAAATAATCATTGTTTTAAGGAAGCTTCTTCTCCTCCTCCCTTTTTTTTGTAGAGGAAAGAGCACTTGATAAAAATTGGATTTGTTCTTAAAAACACCCATGATTATCATCACATTTTCAGCCTGGGAGAGATTCTCGAGGAGGTGATGTAGATCGCAATGATGTGACTTATCACCCTCAAGAAAATTCACTAAAGGCTTTTTCTCCCTAAAGATCATATTGAAAGTAACCATCTGGAGTAAATGAGAATTATTAACTTTAATAAGCTTTTATGGAATCATGTACTGGATTTACTAATTCTCAAAATCTTTCACTATAAAGGTATTTTGTTGAAACTTACTATTTGGCAAAAGTTTGCACTGAGGGTTAACTGCTTCAACAGTCTTGGCAGATTGAGAGTTGTCGTGGGAAGAGAGGGCACTAGTCTCTTCATTAAAATTATAAATTAATAAAATAAAAACAAATGGAGATCTGGAATTAGAGTAAATGCAGGTTAAGGCTTCTCTTGTTCTAGTCATATGACAAACTAAGAGAAGGCAGGAAGGTACCCTTAGTTAAAATAGAAAAATCAAAACCTCATGATTTTTTAAGGGATACATACATAACAAACTACAAAGCATTTGGCTTTGGCTCCTGATCAATGTGATCAGCTGATCTGAACACTCACAGTTAAAGCTAGATAGATAAAACAAAGGCAGCTATAAGGTACAAGTCCAAAACCATAGGCCTCAACACTCTGTGCAAGATATTTACACTATTAAGGACAAAGACAGGTAAGGCTTCCATTTGGTTTGAAAGACCTGATAAATAAAGACATTATGAAAACACACATTTTTCTGGAGAAATGAATATAAAATGGTGAGAGTAGACATCTGAATTGATAAAAAAGTGGGTATAGCAAAAACACATTTCACATTGTTTTGCCGTGGCCATGAAAACAAAATTATGTAAATCAGTGAAGGAAAAAAAGTATAATCAGAGGACCACTGTTTATAGGCCAAATCACTGAAGTGTAACTTTCAAACTAGGATTTTTGGTTCAGGTTATTTCCCATTTCAAAGGACCAAGAAAGCTATGGAACCACCAAGCCTCATTTTATCATACCTGGGATTAACTTCTAAGGCTTCAGTTTCAGATTAATGTTTTTTTTACCACAGGAATTTTTCAGACATGCTATTATTCCTAAAATAAAGAGACAATCATTTTGATGGGAAAGATGAACTACTACCATTTACCCCTTAAAACTGATACATGATTTTAAAATGAAGGGGGATACGCAGGAAGACACAGCGGAGACAGCTAGGGAAAGACAACACATTTCTACAAGGGAGGCCACAAACCAACTAAATCCTACGTGGGACACATACGGACAGCCATTCAGAAGTAAACCCATCTTGGCTGCAAGTTGATCTGGGTAGTGCATGTTAATGGCTTTGGCTTTTTTTTTTTTTTTGGTAATTACAGAAGTTTATTAAAATTCCACTTGCTTTTACACTAAAAAAATTGAAAAAATTAAACTTAATATATATAAAACATTATATTTGCAAAAATGTGAAAAATCTGCCTCATCCAGTAAACAGTCACTGAAATTTTAATTAAGAGTGCCATGCCCATGAGGCTGGAAAAGTATGTCCTCTCAAGGGCTAAAAACTGAGAACCAAGAGACAATCATTTCTATAACTCCAGCTCCTCTTTCTCCCACAAAATTTTGCTGCAGGCAGCTGAGAGCTGCAGGGTATGTCAGGTCAGACACAACCTGGTGCTATGAGACATGGGGGTGGCATGCTGCAGAACACTGCATAAAGTCAAATTCATCCTCATGATTACAACACCCATGATAAGAATTTCTTTAAAAAAAGTATTCCATACTTGAGTTATGAGAGATTTTAGTTTTGGATTTCTATAGAACAGGACTCTCTAGAACCCATTCTCTATCTGTGGGATCTATACTTTTAGTTACAATTCGATGCAGCATAACTTTCACTTAAGAAAGAATTTGTATACATGTCATTTAACATCAAAATTTCATTCTTTGGAAATTAGGGTTCCCACCCTCCTCCCCAAACTACTCCCTCCCATTTCCCAAAGGACTGACAAGAAACCCTGTGGCAGCTTCATTTGGCTTTCCACACCATGACCAGCAGGTTCCTAACACCTCAACTGCAAAGGGCTTCCTATTTCTCTCAAACTGAGACCTACATTGCATTGGTGCTACAGATCAAGTCACATCTCTGTGTAGATCAAGCATATCACCTCTGTAAAGATGACTTCTGTTTGGTCAGATCAGAGACAATTTTATGACCTCAAACATGAACATCAGCTAACAAGAGCTCTCAAATACAAACAAAATCACAACAATGCAAATAATAAGTTATTATTCAAATATACAAGAATATCCTTGGTATTGGCAGATACTTTCAATCTGTCCTTCAGCCCAAGCTATGGCTTGGAAATAATAATGCCACTCTCTTTAAAATAGCTTATTAAAGAAAAATCTATAGCAATATACAGAAGGATCACTCTGAGTTTAAATTTTTTCTGTAACTGTGGTCCCAAGGCAGTTCTGGCGTGCAAAGTGGAGACTGGTATCCAGGCATAGCATCCATTGCTCAGGAAACTATTCATCTGCAGAAAGTAAATGAAAGGAAGCATAACTCAAGTCTATTTCATTGCTCAGAGTAGAGGGAATAAAACCTCTGGACTGGTTGTAGCAATGAACTGTTTGTCAGCAATGGCCTGCAGAATCATGAGGTGGTTCTGCGCATTCCTCCATAACTTTCAGTGGTTTTCAAATAGGTCATCCAAAGGCTAGACTGCTGAAACTTGTTCATTTTCTAAAAATAAAAAAATATAATTAACTGGCAGATCAGCATATTAATGAGATCCTAACAATCTAGTTATCTATTTAGAATATCAAAGTCAACAAAGAAATCCTCTCAAACATTGCATCGAGGACCAGATTTTATTACAATAATACCTAGGATTTCTGATCACATTGAAGGTTGACAACAAACTGGAATTTCATAGTTATTAATCACTTTATTACTCTTGTTTAAAACCATAAATTTTCATTTATTTTCAATAAAACAATCATTTCTGAAACTACTGGCACACCTACAAATTCAGTCAAGACTTTTGCTAATAAAAGGAACTAAATAAACAGAATCATTTCAGATAATTTGGCATTTGAAACAGTTTCAAGTTTCCATGCATTAATGTAAAATACAATTCCATTAATGTTAACTGCTTTTTCTCAAAATTATCCCATTAGATTGAGCCACTGTTTTATCAAAGATAAGAATATTCCATCTGAGCCACAGGGTACTAGGCACACAGAAATAGGCAGCTCGCCCATTTCATTTAAAAAATACACCATCAGTGCGGGGTACAGTGGCCCACACCTGTAACCCCAACTTTGTGGGAGACTGAGGCTGGCAGATTGCTTGAGTCCAGGAGTTCAAGACCAGCCTGGGCAACATGGTAAAATGCTGTCTCAAATATAAAAAACTGTGGTGGTGTGTGCCTGTAGTCCCAGCTACTTGGGAGGCTGAGGAGGGAGAATTACCTGAGACCAGGAAGTTGAGGCTGCAGTGAGCCATGATCATGCACTCCAGCCTGAGTTGACACAGCAAGACCTTGTCTCAACAAACAAACAACCCACACCATTGGTTGGGTGTGGTGGCTCAGGCTCAGGCCTGTAATCCCAACACTTTGGGAGGCTGGTGTGGGAGGACTGCTTCAGGCCAGGAGTTCAAAACCAGCCTGGTAAATATAGTGAGACCCAGTCTCTACAAAGGAAAAATTTAACAATGAGCCAGGCATGGTGGTGTACACTTGTAGTCCCAGCGACTTGGGAGGCTGAGTTGGGAGGACCGCTTGAGCCCAGGAGTTTGAGGCTATAGGGAGTCATGATTGTGCCACTGCACTCTAAGCCTGGGCAACAAAGTGAGACCTTGTCTTGAAAAACTAAACAAACCCAAAACACTCCCTGATACTATATTTAGGAACTTTATTTTTTTGAGACGTAGTTTTGCTCTTGTTGCCCAGGCTGGAGTGCAATGGTGCAATCTTGGCTCACCGCAAACTCTGCCTTCCAGGTTCAAGTGATTCTCCTGCCTCAGCCTCCCAAGTAGCTGGAATTACAGGCATGCACCATAATGCCTGGCTGATTTTGTATTTTTTTTAGTAGAGACGGGGGTTCTCCATGTTGGACAGGCTGGTCATGAACTCCCGACCTCAGGTGATTCGCCCGCCTCAGCCTCCCAAAGTGCTGGGATTACAGGCCTGAGCCACTGCACCCTGCCAGTAGGAACATCTTACTTTTTAACAGAGATTTCTAAGGCATTTAAAGAAACAAGTACTAATTACCATAAAATACCAGAGTAAAGACCATTTAATGTGTTCAGCAATTCATTTAAGAGCCCTTAAGAGAGCTTGTCAACATACCATCCGCTTCGCTATCTGCATCAGTCACATCTGCTAGTTTAGGATGGAATGGCTGCAAATTATGTCTCTGAGGCTGAGTTACAATCTTCGATGGAACACAGGCCACGAGGTTGCTACTGAGAGAGGCTGGTGGCAGTCTAGAGAGGCTGTTATGCATCATCTTTGATCTCTGCACTGCCACACTATAATCTGGAGGTTTTAGGTGTGGGTGGGGTCCTTCCTTTAGGTCAGCTAAAGAAATCCCCAAATATCCTGGAGGAGTGGGAGGTGGTTCCCTATACCTATCATCCTTCTTGGGTGAGGTGACACAGTACACTGGCATGAAAAATAAGCAATGAAAATGTTAATGAAAAAGAAATTAAAAAAAACAACAAACTTATTACAATGACAAAATAGAACTTAAAAACAGACAAAATGAATAAACTTGAATGACGGCAGATTAAAAACATTTTTAAAAAGTTTAATAAACAAACCTCTTTTTAAAATACATAAACAACTATATTAAGTCCTGTAAACATTAAACAGAATGAGAGAGTTGAAGGAGATGACACTGATGACAAGCTTCCTTCTGCAATTCAGCCCCCATATCACAGAAGTACATGACAACTCCTGAAGTCACACCAGCCCTAAAGATGTCAGAAACATTTAAAAGTTCACCCTAAACATCTATTCTCTGTAAACTGGGAGAGTTTACATAGAAATGACATTCAGGCGATCTGTTTAAGGGCTGTTTCACCTTCTCCCTGAGGCATGAGCCACTGTTTTCCGGCACTGCTGCGCATATTAGTTCTCGGTCCCAGCACAAAAACTTTAACTTTGCTGATATGAAGGAACTAATTCCTTCAAGAACTTTACTTCTGGCCAGGTGTGGTGGCTCACACCTGTAATCCCAGCACTTTGGAGGCCAAAGTGGGTGGATCACCTGAGGTCAGAAGTTTGAGACCAGCCTGGCCAACATGGTGAAGCCCCATCTCCACTAAAAATACAAAAATTAGCTGGGTGTGATGGCGGGTGCCTGTAATCCCAACGACTCAGGAGGCTGAGGCAGGAGAATTGCCGCATCTGGGAGGCTGCAGTGAACCCAGATCGTGCCAGTGCACTCCAGCCTGGGTGACAGAGTGAGACTCTGTCTCAAAAAAAACCAACTTCACTTCTAACATCTGTGTTGTAATTAAGTTGAGAATAAAAAAACAGAATTTTTGAAATTTCATCTTAAATTTCTCTGATTTTCAGCAGACATTAAAAACAATGATGACTTTAAATCCTTTTACTTAAATTTGTAAGCCCTGAGACTAAGGTAAAGCTTCAAAAATCATCATAAATAGGTTAAAGCGGAAGCTCCAAGAAATTAAGACTAGTTCATAAGACCAACAGGAAAAATGGCTCTGAGTATCTTGATTTTGCAAGTGACTTTTAAAACACAAAAACTGTCTGTATACAAGCTGAATAAATTTTAAAAGACCATCAAATAATTCTAATATTAACTTAACATTAGAGAATTTGGTTTGTCCATATTGAATTTTCTATAATTCTACCAGTAAAATTTGCATGTACTATCAAGGTCAGAAAGGCTTTCCATTCCCATTTGAGGATGGGATGGGTGAGGTGATAGAGGTGGAGAGGTTGCCAAGAGAATAACAAGAAAAAGCAGGCAAGTGATTTGCCCACAGTCAACAAGAAATAAATGATTAAAAAATCTATATTCATCAATGGACAAGAAAAAGATTTTTGTATCTCCGTATACACATATGCTCATAAAGTGGTTACCCGAAAGGCTTCAATAAAAAATCTTGGGCCAGGCACAGTGGCTCATGCTGGTAATCCCAGCACTTTGGGAGGCCGAGGCAGGCGGATCACTTGAGCTCAGGAGTTCGAGACCAGCCTGGTCAACATGGTGAAACCCCATGTCTACTAAAAATACAAAAATTAGCTGGGCATGGTGGCGGGCACCTGTAATCTCAGGTACTTGGGAGGCTGAGACAGGAGAACTGCTTGAACCCGGGAGGCAGAGGTTGCAGTGAGCCGAGGTCGTGTCACTGCACTCTAGCCTGGACAATACAGCAAGACTCCGTCTCAAGAAAAAAAAAAAAAAGTTGGAAAAAAATGAATGAGCTAAAAACCCAACCTATAACACAATTTGAAAAGTAACTATAAGATCAACATGTTTCACCTTCACATTTTTAGTAGTTAAATGTGACACTGACTGTTCTATAAATTTAATAGTTGATTATGATATTAATTCAAAGTACAGTCATTCCATATAAGTAGAAAAGCAGGAGTTTTATATCCATGTATTTATACAGTCCAGGAAAGAAATTTGTAAAAAGTATTTGATGGTTAAATACTAAAAATGTTTACTAAGAAAGCTTGGAATGGAATTCACAAACAGGAGTTGGCCTACTTATGATGTACACCAAGAGAGAATACTGAAAAATGTTCTGGACTTCCTTATCGCATTTTCTCTCACTTACCTAAAATCAATAGCAGAATCAATGTTTCTACCACATATGCATAGCAATTGTGGTCCAAACAATTTATGAGGTGATAAAGAGAATAATCCCTTTATTTACCATTGCACACTAATGCGATGATATTCCTCAATAAAACCAAAAAGAACTTAAAAACAAAAGACAAACAAACTTGTCCCTCTAATTAAATACCTTCACATCAGACTTTTCATTTTAACGGGTTGAATAGCTGCTCCAAAGTCTTTGAGAAACCATGAATTTTTGGGAAATAATTTGTTTGTTTGTGAAGGAAAGAAAGGTTGTTAGAGAATGAATTTTTGCAATGATAAAATCCAGGGCCAAGATATCCCAATGCCATTTTTTGACTACTTAATCTCTAAATGCCACAGACAACAAAAACACAACTTACCAATCAAGCCCTTTTCTGTACTTGAAGTGACAGTTTTATAAACTGGGTCAGTGGCATCCTTGGGGTCCAAGCCTTCAGATGACTCAGTTGGGGTGCTCTCCAATACTCTCCGTTTAACTGTCCCATAGTTTGGTTCATACGTGTCAGACAGAGAACTGGAGGAGGCCCAACTCTTTCTCTCTAGGCTTCCTTTGCACTGCCCACAAGTTCTAGAGCAGCTTTTAGGACAGGAATAGGGCTCACAGTCAGTGGGTTCAACTTCAGCAATGGGGTCATCCAAATGGGTATGTCTGTAAGAGTTCAAAAAATCCCAGCTTTTTGGGTTGGGAAGGCTTTGGAAGTTGTCATGGGAGCTGCTTGAACACGAAGTCCAACTTCCACGACCACTGTCAGCTGCTTCTATAATGACATGCTCATGAGAAATCTCTTCACTGCTCACAGACGATGAGACAGCTAAACACTTGATTAGAGATGGCTTCAGGAGTGTCCACCTAAAATTGGAGACAATGTACAATTAGAAGTAATTTACAGGCTTGCTGGAAAAACTATCTTCTCTCTATTTCAAGTTATTACTGCCTACGAGAAATTACAGAGCATGTACCACAAGTGTTCACGCCAAAACATCATGAAGAAAACAATATTATCATTATTTATCACTCAATTCCTTGTAAGTATTTAGTTAACACTCAGAAGACACAGTAAAGAAACTCAAATGCTTAGCAAAGTTTCCTTAGCATTTTTCTTTTTAAATTTTAAAATGGTTTTTTTTTTTTTTTTTTTTTTTGGAGACAGGTGTCACTCTGTTGCCCAGACTGGAGTGCAGTGGCTATTTATAGGCACGATCATGGTGCACTGTAGCCTTTAACTCCTGGGCTCAAGTGATCCTCCACCTCAGCCTCCCCAGCAGCTGGGATGGACCAGAGGTATGCCTGGCAAGTATTTTTCTTGAACTGATTTTAAATGAAAATGCAAAGATGAGATCTGAAATGAATAACATTAAGTATACATATTCATTCTTGGTCATCACAATATTAGACTACTGTCCATGCATACAGAATTAAGAGTTCCCAACTTGAAGAATCATGTTTTATTTTTCAACGTATCTCTGAGGTTAGCCCAGTACAGTGCCAAGTAAACAGCAACTTCCCCAATTACCTATGAAATGAATCATTTAGAGCAGGGGTCCCCAAACTACAGCTCATAGGCCAAATTTAGCCAACAGCCTGTTTTTGTATGGTCTGCAGCAAAACCTTTTAAAAGGTTTAAAACAAAACCAAACCAGAAGAATTTGTGACAGATACTGTATGTAGCCTGCAAAGGCAAAAATATTTTACTACCTGGCCCTTTACAAAGAGTTTGTAAACCCCTCATTTACAGTATAGAGCAGAGGGTAGCAAACTACAGCCCAGGGCCAAATCTGGTGGTCCCTTTGCTCATTTTTGTAAATAAAGTTTTAATGGGACACAGTCATGCCATTTGTTTATATGTTGTCTATGGCTGTTCTGGTGTAATAGGCAGAGTAGTTATGACAGAGGCCTTATGGCCTGAGAAGTCTAAAGTGTTTACTACGTAACTTTTATAGAAAACATTTGTTGACCTCTGGTGTAGAGATCAAAGTTTAGAAACCTTTATAAATGTGGTAATACTTTATCTTAAATTTTTCATATTAAAGTAGACCAGATTTCACAATATTTATCAGTTAAAATAAACTTTCTCAAAGATTTCCATGTTGCTTGATTCTAAACAGAAATTTAGAGTTAATTTTTTTTTTTTTAAATTAACCTTTGCTAGGTGATTATTCTTATTCCCCAAATTACACTTTCAGAGAACAGGAATCAAGGGCTAGTCCTACTCTCCCAACCTGTCTACAGTGTGCACAGCACTGGAGGCACTTTCCAATATACAACCTTTTTGATTAACCTATAACAGCCAGAATTTCAAAAATTATCTCCCCTATATAAATAGCAGACGCACTTTGAGTTCTGATTGGAAAGATACATAAAGATAAAAAGTTACTTGAATTTAGTAACACTTCGAAAATGAACACCCATACATCTTTCAAAATAGTGCTTATTTACATATTCAGAATACAGAATATGTGCTTGGCCCACATATTCTTTTATGGATAACTCTGCAATTACCCCATGGGAGGTCCAAGGTCAAGTTAGGGAGCACTGCTTGCAGTGGCCACTTGGCTTGGGTTTTGTGTTATGAACACAGACAATGATGCTTACCCAGGGCCATGTTGACTATGATCTCCTATCCCTGAGGGGTGCTCTGTCTTTTCCAATGCCCCAGTGGGTTCAGGGACTGGCAGGGCCTGAGAGGAACACCGTTCATCCTGTAGAGCTGCAGACATGGAGTCAATAGAACAATTGCTCACAATGCTGGACCGTGAAGAAATCTCACTATGGCTGGAGTCAGACAAGTTGTCAGATTTAGCTGATGGAATAAGTGTGTAACCTGAACAAGAAAAGAGCATTGATCAAACTACAAAAAAAGGGAACATAGGGTGGGGGTAGTAGGGGGAAGGATGAAAAAAAACCCCACAAAAATAACAGAAGACAAAGTAGAAGCAATTTTAGTTTCCATCTACGTAGATATAATGGTGCCAATTATATCTCCACACATTCCCCTACATATTCCCCCTACATATCCATTCACCTACCCATCCACACCAATACAACTAGATTCAAGAAAAAGACAGTCAAAGTCCAGTGTTACTAAGAAAACTAGTTTAAAGGTACATCTGTCTCAGGCTCTCCCACAGCTATAATAATCATTTAATAAAATAAGAACATTACAAATATTAAAAAGTACATGTCTTTAGGGTTTCTCAACTTCTTTTTAACCCAATGCTCCTTCCTTTGATTAATATGAATATTTCATGACCTATTCTGAATCCAAAATACCATCTTGAAGTAAGGATAGGGGTGGGAGTCCAGGACTCAAGGGAAAGAATTACATTTTTGCTTTACCAAACTATATATACTTACCCCAGATATTCTGCATATCCCACCTAAGAAGTCTTGTCTTGAGTTGAGAGTCACCGTTTTAGATTATTTTTATTTTTTAGACACAGGGTCCTGCTCTGTTGCCCAGGCTACAGTGCAGTGGCATGATCATAGCTCACTGCAGCTTTGAACTCCTGGGCTCAAGTGGTCGTCTTGCCTCAGCCCCAAGTAGCTGGGACTACAGGTCTGCACCTCCAAACCCAGTTATTTTTAAACTTTTTGCAGAAATGAGGTCTCATTATGTTCCCCAGGCTGGTCTTCAACTCCTGGCCTCAAGCGATCCTCCTGCCTCAGCCTCCCAAATTGCTGGAATTACAGGTGTGAGCCACTGTGCTCAGCCTGTTTCAGTTTTTAAAATTGTTTTAGGTTTAAACTGAGTGTCAGACTTAGTTTCCTTTTTCTTCACCAACCTTGCAGAATATTAAACAGCTAAGTGGATATATTTTTAATAACGTGTTATAGAAAAAAACAGCATCTACATGTTCTATGTTGTTCTGTCACTTACTGCACAGCAGACAACTAGACAGATGTTCTTCTGGATTCTAGGGATGCACTGAGGTGAAGGACCCAAAAACAAATCTTCAACAGAATGGCTAATGTACATAATAATCTATTTTGATAACTGGAAGAAACGAAACTATTGTTGAGAAATAAAAGAAAAAGAAAATGCCCTAGTAATCCCAACGAGGGATGGGTTTCAAAGAAGTGAAAAATATCTTCTTGCTCACAGAGGAGAGTAGGGTTTAGTAGATATGTAGTCTTTGGGCAATACCTAGAAATGTCATTAGGAAGAATCACAGGCTTTGGGTATGTTACAGGAATTCTCAGGGCCTCATCTTCATGCAGAAAGAGGATGACAACATCCTTAGTTCCAAGGTCCTTCTCTGTTTATGGATCTTGGAGTTATTCACATATAACTCAAGTCATTTAAGGAATAATTTGTTGCACAGTAACCTTATTAAGTCATTTTGTTAACTATTTCAAAGAGAAAAAGGCCCAGAAAACTTGTGATTTATACTTGGCCTATGTGGCCCGGAACAGGGTAAGCCAAGACAAGCCAGTCTTCTGACTTCTATCAAACATCTCTGAACTTGGGATCATTGCTATTTGTCAGTGTCCATGAGCTGATTAGTCAAATTTCAAGAGGACCAAGAAAATGGATGTAATAAGTAAATTAAAAATAAATAAATACCTTCTTCCTCAAAAGAAAAAGTCATTGCTCTACATAATCATCTTGCTTCATTGTTTTAAAAATAATTTCATTCTTACGTCTGTTTGATCAGTATTTCTCAAATATAACACTACTAAGAACCACCTGGCAAGCCAATTAAAATAAATATTCCGGATCTCATTTCTGGCAATTCAGGTTTATGAAGTCTGGGGTGGGACACAGTAATTGCATTTTTAAACAAGTTTTCCAGATGACTCTGAAATTGCTATGTTAGACTAGTCCCTTCTCCCCCAAAGATATGTAAAAAGTAGAGGATAAAAAAGCCTCCTCTACATATTTCACTCACAGATTCAGCTAACAGTAGAAAATAAAGTCAACTACAGAAAACAAAGAGTATAAAATTTACTAACTCAATACATTAGTAAAATAACATATGTACAAATGAGGCATTTTAAAGTGCTTATAAATAGTATTTTACTAAGTTGTCTGCCTAAGCTTTGACAAATGGTTTAATTTAAGCCATGTATACATTAATAACTGAAAACAAACTTAACACTAAAATAAAATAAGGAACTTCATCAGAGTGTCTTCCTCCTTTTAGACTTGAATCGCGTATAGAAGCAGTTTAAAGTGTTACTGTTGCCTTGGCTATTTGAATTGAAGATGGCACTCCCTTTCTCATCTTTGATGTTGCTTCCAACATCCTTCACTTTCTCACAGCTTTCTGTAGCTTGATTGTGATCTGTGTCCTCTTTTTGGCTGTTGACTAGTCTTTCCCTTGAAAGCATTCTTTCCCTAAGTCTTCTAAACGGGGATGTCATTCTTTTTCTGGTTGTGTTCTCACAACTTGTCCTGTCTCTATTCTCCTCAGTGGCCTTCTCAGTACTGTCTGTTCTTTTGGCTGTGCTCCTGGTAATCTGAAGGATTTTCTTTTGCAAGTAAGCCCCACCTATTCCGGGGCAGCTCTGGCCACTGATCTTGCTGCTGTGATCAGATATGATACTGCCAACTGGAGGGAGAGATGCAAAAACCCTGACATGGTCAATCACAATTAGCCTTGTTTACATAATATTTCACTATTTAAAAATTCTAACATCTTGATAATATCTGAAAAATTGAAATCTAGCAACATATTTTTTAATGCATGGAAAAAATCTACTTATATATAACATATACACATCAGTTATTGCAAGACAGAATGCAGGAGAAAGATTACCTTTATCAGCACAAGCTGGTGACAAAAACAAAAACAAAAAAACTGTTGAAAGGAAGCCAAGCTGGTAAAATCATAAGGAAAAAAATCACAAAAATATCAGGTAACTAGAATTATTTTTGTAAAGTAACTATGTAGGTCTAGAATTGTAAGTAGATTTTCCTATGAAAAAGCTTAGTAAAAACCAAGTAAGACATACAAATAGTACATACAACAGGTATATTTATAAAGCTCATTTTCTGATCCTGTTGTAGATCCAAGGTGGAGAGACTGCTTTTCTTAAACACTAGGGTAGATAATGTTTAAGGTCTCGACTTCTTTTTAAAGTACTTGTTGAAACTATCCTCATGCAAAACATGAAGATAGGTTTATTTTCTTAATCATAAGAAAACAAAGAACAGATCTCAAAGTTTAATAAGAACCAGGAACAGATCCTAATAATTTACTCTGAGCATAATGACAGTTTTGTTCAATCATAGATTACTGGCAAAAACCTGTCTACACAAATAGAAGGATCATACTTGGTTGGGGTTTTGACAGTACACATGCAAGAACAAGCTGAAACAGTTTTGAAGAGAAGATTTTCTTCAGGCTTCTAAGAATTCCAAACATTACTAAGAGAAGCTCACAAATCTATAAACATGGTGTTCAACTGTTGGCTACACAATGAAAGACAATGGAAAAAAGACTTCTCTATTCGAGTGTTGAGTGTAGATTTTGTTGGGAATAAGAGCAATGGAGGAATTCCTGTTCCTAATACCTCTTGCCAGAAGTCACATTTAGGCATAAAATACCAAATCAGATCCTACTAGTTAGAATTATCTATAATGGGATGGACCTCTGAGCAGTCTCTAAAAGGGGTAAGGAGTGTAAAGATGTTCCTGAAAGAGCATTAGGAGCATATGGACACTGTTCATTTGGACCATCTGTCTGACTGCAGGCACTGCAGCTTATCCTACACTGCAAGATCTGGTAAGGGGTGCAATGGATAGGACCATACAGACAAGGAAAGTGATGACATAGGTCTGTGTGCCACACAAAATTTATATATGAGCTATAACGGTATCAAAATCTGTGTTTTATAAATACACCTACAATATGCACTGTTTATATCTCCTGTTTCATTTTTATTAAGCTTTCTTTAGTAAAATCTGAATGAAAAAAACCTAACCAGTCTCAGCTATGTGAGGATGAAAAAAGCAAGTAAGTAATGGAGCTATGGTGTCCTGAGGTGGCAGCAGAGAAAGAAAAGAGACATTCCAATTCACTAAACACTTACCACACATCAGGCTTTATAAATATTATTTCATTTAAACCATATAAGAGGCTCTCAAAATAGATGAAATAAATGGTCTTTTTCTTTTTCTTTTATTTTTCTTTTTTGAGATGGAGTTTTGCTCTTGTCACCCAGGTTGGGCAACAATTCTGCATCCAGTTCTCTCTTGATTTCCACAGCCACCAAACTAGTTGGGATGCAATGGCACGATCTCGGCTCACTACAATCTCTGCCTTCTGGGTTCAAGTAATTCTCCTGCCTCGGCCTCCTGAGTAGGTGGGACTATAGGCGTGTGCCACTATATCTGGCTAACTTTTTTTTGTATTTTTAATATAGGTCGGTTTCACCATCTTGGCCAGGCTAGTCTTGAACTCCTGACCTCAGGTGATTCACCTGCTTCGGCCAAGATGGTCTTTTTCCCATCTTAGACAGAAAACCTGACCGTATAAATAAATTACTTGTAGTAACACAGCTACAGTGGAGGACAGAATCACGGTTCAAACTCAGGTCTGACATCACTGTACATAATTGCCACACAGGTGGCAAAAATAAGAAAGAGCTCTGCAGAGTGAGAATAAACTTAGAGCCTGGAAGCTGAAGCAAGCTCTGGAAGAATTATTATTATTCTCTCTCCTGTTAGAATTATTATAATAAGTCTGTCTTCCCTCTGACCATGTACCATTCTCTGGTGTGATTATTTAAATATGTACTTCTTTTACATCTGTGAAGAAGACGCCAGAACTAAATCCCCTTTCTCTCCAGGGTACACACAGAATGTGAAGGGTCAATATAAGAAATACACACTATATTTAGAATGCTACATGTGCAGCTAACATGAAGTGGTATCTGCTGCACACTGCCCAGGCTGGCTGCAAAAAGAAATGCTCCAGTCTGAATTATGAAAACATGTAAATGAACAAGAAGAATTTCAGTTTTTCACCTCATGAGATTCTGTGTAAGTAAAAAATCCACAAGAGTACAGGTTATTTTAAATCCTAATTTTAAAAAAGGTAATACTCTATTACTAAAAAAAGGAAAACCATCAACCTAAATATTTGTTTTCCTAAATCTTATAGTTGGTTAAAAACAATTTCTTTCTTTTTTTTGAGATGGGGTCTTGCTGTGTTGCCCAGGCTGGAGTACAACGGCACAATCACAGTTCACTGCAACCTCTGCCTCCCAGGCTCAAGCGATCCTCTCACCTCAGCCTCCCAGGTAGCTGGGACTACAGGCACATTACCATGCCTAATTTTTACATTGTTTGCAGAGATGGGGTCTCATCATGTTGCCCTGGCTGGTCTCCAACTCCTGGGCTCAAGTGATCCACCCGCCTCAGCTTCCCAAAATGCTGGTATTATAAGCATAAGCCACTGTGCCTGGCCTAAAAACAATCTCTTATAGAAACTTTTATTTGCAAACACTTCATAGAAATGTCCAAATATAGGAAACTGGAATGACGACACCAAGAATTTGCACCAAAACTATGGCTTCTGCCTTCATTCTTATCCATGCTTGCTGTCTGTTGAAGTTTAGGATCACACTTTGAATACTGGAGTCCTAGTTACATGACGCATAATACCCAAAAAGCATTTGAATAATGCAATACAAAACATCAAAGTTCAAAAAGCATTAGGAGTTATGCTTTTCTTAATGATTTACAATTATTGCTATAGATTGAAAAGCAAAGTATGTGCTATAAAGTATTGTTTAGTTTAACAAGAACTAGTTTGAAATGTTTTGTCTTACCTTTGTGAGGGGAACCTTGAGGAGATGCAGGAGGACTAGAATGTAAAGATGATGCCACAGAAATAGTGTCTTCTGTATGTTTCTTACCACTTACTTCTTCAGTTGTTCCTAAAACTTTCTGAGGTAAACTTGTATCTAAAAGTAAAAGCAAAGATGCAAATAAGTATCATTTCACAATTAAAATGTCCATAGTTGCCTAAATCACTATGTAACTAAAGCTATGATACACAATGACTAGTGTAGTCAATTGAAATGTGTAAATGACAAACAGGGACTAAATGACTGGGTAATGGCACACAGAGATTCTCACCTCTAGGTTATCCATTCAAATTCAGCTGGTCAGCATGGACCAGATTATATTAGTTTGTCTGTGCTTTGTGGTATAAGGGAAATAAATTTAACAGTCTGAGTGCTGTGCCCCCACCTCCCACAATTGACACAGTGATTTGAAATCTTCAAAAAGAAGGCATGGATTCAAACTCTTCCCTCCCCTCTAGAGGTGGCCTCTCCAAGTCAGGGCGAGGCATGTAGCAGGGGCAGTGTGGGGATTTTGGCACTGTCACTACCTGCGGTGCATCTGTGCTGTGGGTATACAGAAGAGGCTGCAGGGCTGCCAGTCCAGCCCTTTTCAAGAGCACTAAATTCACACTACAGGAGAGAAGTAAACAACAGAAAGAATCATGAATGTATAGAAAAATAGTATGCAGCACAGTGGAAAGATTCCTTAAAGTTCTCATTACCCTTGTCCAACATCTGGTCCTGTTTAGTGTACCTCAAACCTAGCAATGGTTTCAATATATTGATGTTTTTACATTTATCTTCTCTAAGAAATGTCAAAGAGCTATAGACACTGTTCCTAAAACATAAAGTAAGTGGCCGGGTACAGTGGCTCACACCTGTAATCCCAGCACTCTGGGAAGCCGAGGCGGGCAGATCATGAGGTCAGGAGTTCAAGACTAGCCTGACTAACATGGTGAAACCCCATCTTTACTAAAAATACAAAAATTAGCCAGGCGTGGTGGCGCACACCTGTAATCCCATCTACTCAGGAGGCTAAGGCAGGAGAATCGCTTGAACCCGGGAGGCGAAGGTTGCAGTGAGCTGAGATCGCACCACTGCACTCCAGCCTGGGTGACAGAGTGAGATTCTGACTCAAAACAAAAAACCCCCCAAAAAACCAAAACATAAAGTAAGCAAACTTTGATGAGGATTTTGACATAGTAACAAGCAGCCACTGGACAACGAAAAAATTTAGATCATAGTATACTCACACTACCCTTCATTAAATGTAATATAAACATATTTATCATATAAACAGCCATATTACAATAAGAAATGAAGAAACCTATACAGGGCCAGGCGTGCTGGCTCACACCTGTAATCCGAGCACTTTGGGAGGCTGAGGTGGGTGGATCACCTGAAGTCAGGAGTTTGAGACCAGCCTGGCCAGCATGGTGAAACCCCATCTCTACTAAAAACACAAAAACTAGCCAGGTGTGCTGGCAAGCATCTGTAATCCCAGCTACTCAGGAGGCTGGCACAAGAATTGCTTGAACCTGGGAAATGGAGGTTTCAGTGAGCCAAGATCGTGCCACAGAAACTCCAGCCTGGGCAACAGAGCAAGACTGTCTCCAAAAAAAAAAAAAAAAAAAAGCAAGCAAGCAAGCAAGCTACATGGTACAAGTAATGTTGCCTCTCAAGTGGTGATATTCAAGTAAAAAAAAACCAGAGCTAACTTTGTCCCTCTCTCACTCCTACCAACAAATTCATCAACTTCACCAATTCTGCACCCAATTCTCCATTTCCATAGCCACCAAACTAGTCCAGGCCCCAGGCAACCTTCACTTAACTGTTAGACCAGCTTTCCATCTGAGCTCTCTATCTCCAGTCCTGCTGTGATCCTTACTACAGTCCTTCTCAAACATAATTTGAACCATAATCTTCCCTTGTTCAAATCTCTTCAATGGCTTCTCACTGATAACTTTCCTTTGGCATGGCACATTGTAATTTCAGCATACCTGTCTTCATTCTCTGCATCTTGGAAGCTGTTTAGTACAGTGGTTAAAGGCAAAGATTTAAAGCCAGTCAGCCTTCCTTTAGCCTCTACGCTTCCTTTGCAGAATGAGGGTAAAATACCACTTATCTTGTGGCATTACTATGAAGACTGACATATAAAATTAATAAAGCACAATTTGAACCATGCCTGGCACTCAGTAAGTGCTCTCCAAGTGTTAGCTTTAATTATTATTGTCTGTCAACACTGCATGCAATTTCCACTCAGAGTCAGCAAAGTGCTTGTAGTTTCTTGCACACACCAAGCTGTTTCCTCGGCCTGAAGCAACTTCTCTGGAACTTTTGCCTAATCATCATCTTTGTCACCAGCCTTTCAGGCTGCTTAGACGTTATTTCCAAAACGCCTTCTTCTGAAGCCCTATCTTACCTCTAAGTTACCTCTGTTTTGTTTTGTTCTTTTATATGTTCTGCATATACCCCTGGCATAAGAAGAAGACACATTACACTGAAGTTATCTGTGTGAGTGTCTACATCACCAGACTGAAAATCTGGCAAAGGAGGGGGAATTTCTTATTCAACTTTGTATCTCAAACAACAACAGATTAAATGAACAAAGTTCTACTAAACATATACTACATATAATTCATGGTCTAAGTAATCATGCTAGGAACCAAATCTAATCTAGCTTCTCACCTAAAAGGCTAAAATAATGATACTGTTAAAACAACAAATAAAAATAATATGAATAATGACTACAAGGCCTAACAGAAAAAAAAAAAGTGTGGTCTATACTTTATAAAAGTTACATTCTCTTGTTTCCTAACTAGGTTTTCAAAAGGGGTCACTAAAGACAAAAAACAACGTATAGTCATTTTTGGAATAAGCAACTTCATTTCCACAGTTTTTGTAGATTGTGTCTGTATTAGATATTACATTAAATACACCTTTGAATGCAGTAAGCCCCTGGTACCCAAAACGCTTTGCTGTAAATTTTCTATTGATCAACAGATTTCAGTATTATAGGAAATCCAATGTTGGCATTTAAAACATGTATGCTGTCAGCAAACATCTACAGTCAAAATGAAACACTTTTTGATTCATGAAATGATGATTATATTACACAACCTACAACAGCTTATCTCCTGAACATCTGTAATTATTTTTCATTCTAACTCCCCTGGAAATTTCAGTTAAATGGATGTAATATTAATGGTGAATACTCACTCAATGCAGGGTCTTTTGTTTGTCCCTTCTTCCGGATGGGGTGCAAATTAACAGCTGGCACCTGAAGCACCTGGCTTACTCTGTGGGGTTGATGCAAGTGGGCTTTAGTTGTTTGGCCAGCTGACCTCATAGGCACTGGGGATATTTCAGATGATTTGGCTGATCTTTTCTCATTTAAATTCTTGGTCACTAATAGGAGAGAGTAAGAAATAAGTAACTGAATGTTTTTAGGCAAGGTTATCACCACTGGCAATAATAAATGGTTACTTTAAAACCATCTATTTTTAGTACAAAAAATAAAATAGATTAATTTTCTTAGCAGGAATTTCAGTTAAGTACTATAAAATGTTATCTCCATTGCTTGGTGAGTCAGATAAAAAATGTTATCTCTAAAATTTTTGTAGAATAAGTTGTTAATTTTATCTCCTAAATAATTCTTTTTTAAAAAATTTTTTGAGATGAAGTTTCTCTCTGTCGCCAGGGTTGAAGTGCAATGGTGCAATCTTGGCTTACTGCAATCTCCACCTCCCAGGTTCAATGGAGTCTCCTGCTTCAGCCTCCCGAGTAGCTGGGATCACAGGCACCTGCCACAAAACCTGGTTTCTTTTTCTTTTTTTTTTAAGACGGAGCTTCGCTTTTGTTGCCAAGGCTGGAGTGCAATGGTCCTGGGACTGTAACCTCTGCCTCCTGGGTTCAAGGGTTCAAGTGATTCTCCTGCCTCAGCCTCCCAAAGTGCTGGGATTACAGGTGTGAGCCATTGCACCTGGCCTATTTTTGTATTTTTAGTAGAGACGGGGTTTTACCACGTTGCCCAGGCTGGTCTCGAACTCCTGACCTCAGGTGATCCACATGCCTCAGCCTCCTCAAAGTGTTGGGATTACAGATGTGAGCTATCTCACCCAGCCCTAAATAATTCTTGAATCCATGTTAATTAGCTCCATCATCACTCTGCTGAGGGTCAAGTTAACATTCTCTCTTTACTACTGAAATATTTTTCTCACTGTATCAATTCTAGCATGCCTTCAAGGCATTCTTCATAGAAGAGTAACTCTTCCAAAATGAGTATCTGATCATATCATTTTCCTTCTCCTTCTGCACAAACCTTAACTTGCCCCTGCTTTTAGAATAAAGACCCGAATCCCTAAAACAAGGCCTACATGACCCTGCATGATTTGCCATCAGCCTGCCCCCTTGACTTGACTCGCTTACCTTTTCTCTCATCAGTCCTATACTCTCATCAGGCTTTATCCTCTCTGTTCCTTTCATTAGGCTTTAACCTACTAGAGAGTAAAGACTATGCATTTTGTTTGTTACTACATCCTTATGTGCCAGTTACTGACTGAAAACAGATGCTTAATAGGTATTTGTTGAATAAATAAGTGAACTTATCTCAACAGCTCTAACAGAAGAAAACGAGAGATAGTGTTTTTATAAATCCATAGGTTTCTTGAAAATGAATGTGAGAATAAAAAACTGAGAACCCTGACTTATAAAAGCTGCCTCCTTCACATAAAACCAATACTGACAGTCCAAGGGGAAGACATTCTTCCATCAGGGAGTACTTTTAATCCTTAGGTTATCCAGGGTGGATATATTCCATGCAGGTGCAGCCTCAGTACTTCATGAAGTATTTGTTTTAAACATCAAGATAAAAGCAAAAACAGATATCTAAAGTGTCTCAACACAGCTATAATAGCTATTATGCTTTTATTAAGACAGTTAGACAATATGTGGGGTGATACGAATCACAGAATATCTTAGAAAGTCAAAATGCACGGACCCTAGGAGAAAATATGCAGTGGCTCACCAACTAATTGAATCCAAGAGGTTATCATCTTTGTTTAGAACCATGAAATACTTTCATCCTTCTCTCATTGATTGGTCAATACTAATCAATGACATCTTATTTTAATAACTGCTACAGTACAAAGAAAAAAAACCTGAGCCTACTTTAAAAATAAAAAGAGTTCACAGATGAATGACAAAAACCACATATATTCTAATTAATTAGGAAGAACCAAATTCTATAATGCTCAGAAATCCACTATTTTTTGGGCTTGGGAGAGTGACTATTTAAACATTTAAAAATCAATTATGCATTATAAATATGCTCAAACCAAATTAAAGGAACATGCATTGAACTAAATGTTCAAATCCAGTTTAAGAAAGAAAGGCCTAAAGATTTTCTCATTTCAAATAGATATAAAATATGTAGCATGGGACATCATTTAGTGTTACAAGAAAAGACAGACACAAGTCTGGGGTGGGTGTAAGAAGAGGAAGGTACGACAGTGTATATAAACTGTGTTTCATAACCACAAGATGATTAAGTCTGTATCAAATTACCTGGGAAAAAATAACTTTGATGATGACTCAAAGCTGGGTCAGAAGGCTTTAATAAATATGTATGTGGCTTTGAACTTTAAAACATGAATAAATGTTAAAGGTTCTATGTACTCTTTCAGCTTTTACCTTTAACATGTACTATTTAATATGTAGCAGCCAGAATGTAGAATGCTCTCAGTAACTGTTAGCTTTTCAAAATTTGTTTTTCCAAATTCAGTAACTTTGATGTAGAAAGAATCACAGAAACAAAATGTATTCCCAACCCTTGCTAAAGTTTTACATTCGAGAAAACAGGGACCAAAGATGAAGAAAATCTTACTCAAATGGTAATAAAAGAAACTCAAATTCTGCCTCTATCCTTTCGTAGGTATTCTTCCCATCATACTCCAAATCTTTTCTTATATGTAGAAGCATTCATGATATTGTTTTGATTATAGCACTTATTAAAAGGCTCCTTATCCTTATTTAAAAATTGTCAAAACTGAAATTTTAAAAATCAGTATTTGGTTCTACTTCCACTTCCTGTTTTCGATTATTTCTTTTGACATACTTTTAAAAATTACTATGCAAATACCATATCATTTATCAATCTTAGGGTCAATCCATGATGATTACTACCCCTTGTCAATTAGGAATTTTCAAATAAAATTCTATTGCAATTTTTATGGGCAAATTTAACCCACTCTGTGTGTGTGTGTGTTTATATTTATTTATTTTTTAGAGACTGAGTCTCACTTTGTTGCCCAGGCTGGAGAGCAGTGGCACAGTCCTAACTCACTCCAGCCTCAAACTCTTGGGCTCAAGTGACCTGCCTGTCTCAGCCTCCCCAAGTTGCTAGCACTACCACTCGGCTAATTTTAATTTTTTTTTTTTTTTGTAGAGATGGGGTCTCTCTGAGTTGCGAAAGCTGGCCTCAAGTGATCCTCCTGCCTAGGTTTTCAGGTGTGACACACCATGCCTGGCCTTAATCTACAACTTAAGAATTACAATTACTTTGTTATAACAGTATATATTTCATTATCTTTGATTTCTGCTCTTAGAACTCATAATTTCCTTGATCCAAAGATATATGCATTCTTTTGCTTGTATTTAATTTAAAAAATTTGTATTGAGAACATGATCTTTTTCATCATATTTTCTGGAGACTACCTAATATCAGAATGTGTCTGATTCTTTTTGTTTTACCTTACTACTGGCACCTGTAAGGTACCTATTATCACTGGTGTTTTAATCAAATGTCTTATATTTTCTAGTTGGTACATATTATCCATGAAATAAAAAGGGGTAAAAATTCCCCTTATGTTTACTCTTTAGGGATGAATGTAAAAATGTTCTCCAACAGAAAGGCTCCTCTATAATGATCCAGTTTTTAAAAGACTTAAAAGCTTCTTAAAGATCTACTTGTTTCTCTATTTTTTGGATGGCGTAGGCATCAGGAATGGATGGGATTCAGTACGTGGTTAACTGGATCACATGATGCTTAAGGTATGCCAGTAATCTTTTGTGAGTGAAAGTTAATTTTCTTGGGACTTAGGCATAATTCTAGAGTAGTAAGTTTTTATTTTGTTGTATTCTTTAGTGTCACATAAATGAAAACTCATACTCACAAGTACCATACGCAGGCTCCCACTGTAATGACATCATCTGGAACTTCTCCTCATCTGTCTCTACATCCAGACTGGAAAGATACTGCTTCACCTTCCTTGCCATTTGGGCATCCTCATATAGCTTCTTGGCATTAAGTAGAGAGCTGCGGCGTGCCCTTTTTTTGTGAGCACCTCCCTGAACATCCAGCATGTTTGAATTTGTGCTTCCTTGACTCAGTGACCTGTAAGAAGATGAAAATCACAATAAGGGGCTGTAGAGAACTAAGTATAGATTGAAGATTAAAAGATTTTGTTCTGTTAATGCTATTGCATGCTGATGTAAATGAGTTAAAAGATGAAGAGCATTAATGTAAAGTAATTTGGCACATATAGTGATGTTCTGAATTAAGAACAGGATTTGGCAAAGTACAGAATTCAAAAGAAAAGGATAACAATGGCCCCCTGAGTGGCATGTTCCAACAGGCCTGTGTTTGTGCCTATGCAACCCATGGCACAACAGTAACAAGAAAAATCATTCCTCTGGTCCTGGAGGCCACCCATGCATTGAAGATATGGCAAGAGTCTGGACCAGGACAAGTCCATCCTCAGCCAAATCTCTGAACCAGGGTTCTTTAGCAATGAGGGTTCTAAAGTAGTTTTGCTTGTTGTTCTGCTTTCGACATGCTATTGCCGCTACCATTATAGCAGGCCCACTCTGAGCATGTTAACCAATTTTACCAGTAACCATTATTTTGGCCAAAACTCAAAGAGAACTACCAATAACATATTAGCTGAAAATTTACAGCATTTATACGCAATTCAATATAGTCAGAAATCAGAATGCAGGAAAAACTCAATGCTTCTACTCACATATGGAATGGTTAGGCAATATTTGGGTTCTAGAACTGAGGATCTAGGACATCACTTTTTTAACGCCTGTGAATGTGACAGAATTGCAAGCTGGGTGGAAATAACCACAATTCAAACAAGCTACAGCTTCACCCGACTCTACTCTTTTTGGCAAACATCCTACAATGACTGCACCTAGAACCAATGGAAAACAGCAACTGCAACGATGTTTGTCCTTTCTAACAAGTCTAACAGACACAAAATTCCTATATAATTTTTATTTAGATGGTATTTTATTTCGCCATTCCAAAATAATATGGTTATCTACGGATTCTAAATTAAGCTTCATTTTTATATAAAAATATTCTAAATACAAAGACCATAGTGCTCATCTATTTACTTTAAAATAAACACTAAAATCCTAATGCTTTCATTGTAAATTAAGTGAAATATAGTTGAAAAAGTGTTACGGCATTTTTTTCTTTCACATTTTAAGATCTCTCAAATAGGGGTATATCTTACACTCAGTGGCAACTTTCAATTGTTATTAGCCTGGCAGAAACTATGACAAGACATTATTTACACATGCAGGAACCTCAAAACTTGCAGAATGGCTTGAAAGAAAATCCAATGACATTAGTGAATTAGCCTTTTAACCTCCAAGGACCAAACGATTATAACGAAGTAATAAATCTGACAAGTTCAAGAACATTCCCAAAGCAAGTGACAAGAGAAAACTAACTCTAAGTATTTCCAAAGCTAGCCTGAGAGCCCAGCACCAGCAGCTTTCGGTTCTTTTGTGGTTTTTCAAAGAAATGGTGCATTACCAACACATTGGATGGCACAGAGGGCAATACTGTATGGGGGAGGAGGGTTCTGGAAAACAAAATTCAGAAGCTAATGACTCTAAAAGAAAACATTTCAGAAGATTCATATTTTGAATATAAAGAAATTTTAGGAAAATCTAAACCAATTTACTTTGCTTATATTTTCCTTTTTATGCAAATAAAAATATTGATTTTTAAAAATTCAGTTTTGACGTTGTGATAAAAATCCATAGCCAACTCCATAAGAGCTCCTTCAATAAGCATAAAGCAGAAATTATCAGTGGTAACAGGACACTGCAGTGATTTTCCTTAGTAGTAGATAAAAGAACAATATGCCCAACAATTGACGATGTCTTGAATTCAAAGAAATGCAGTAAAATCAAGTTGCAGCTATTTAGGAGCAAATTTTAACACAAATATTTAATAATTTTATCTTAGTTAATATAAAAAAAGTAGGTGTTGACAAATCTAGGAGAGACACAAAATTCTAACAAAAACACTGTGATAAATATCAATAAAATGTTTTCTAAACTACTTTGAAAACAGAAAATGCTCCGATACAAAATAAATATATCTAATGTTTGCAAGCATCACACAGTGCAACCCTAAAGCTGAATGAACAGTGAAACATGTTAACATAAGTCATTCAAACACACCCAACGCCCACTAAAAGATATTGTCCAAGTATTCTTCTTTATAATAGTAATGCCAGGTATCAATTTCTATTTTCGGTGAGAAGAGCCAAAAGAGACCAAGACATAAATTTATGATCCAGAAGAAAATACGTGGGAAACACACAGAGAAGGGAGAAAGAAAATAGAAGGAAAGTCAAGTTCACCAAGCATTGACAGAAAACAAGACCACAAATGAGACAAGACTCGAGTAAAGAAGGTGGCTCACAAAAAAATTCTTCTTACATGTAATAAAAGCTTCTAACTTCATGGTTCACTACAAGTCTTAAAATAACAAAATTCTTCTTATGCAATCCCTTCATCCACAAAAGTCATCTCTTTCTTCATCTAAAAATGAAAGGACTAGATAGATGATTTATAAGATCTTTAACATTCTATGATTCTAAATGGACACTTAGCTATGTAGAAGTAGAGACCTAAATCTATAACAAATAGTGGTGGTTGCTGATTCTATCACAACTTTAAAGATAAGGGAATCTTCAATTAAAGCTGGTAAAAATTTCAAGTAAAATTCAATCAATGCTACAAGTAAGTGGCATTAGTGGGTCTGAGGAAATAAAATCATCTTCTACTTCAATTTTATAGTACAGCTTGGATAAGGGCTGCCTCTTTTTGGAAAACTGATGGAAAATGCAACCTTCATAAACAGATCTTTCATTCATTTTTATACATTCATATGACATATTTACTTTAATAAAATGTGGCATTTGAATAAAAGAAAGTGGTGTGAACTCTAGAATTAGACTACCTAGGTTTGGATCCACCATTAATGAACTCTAAAACTTTGGGCAACTCAACCTTTCCCATCCATACCATGGAAAGAACAGTATTTCCTTATAGGGTAGTAGTAGAATTAAGTAAGATAATTTGTTTAGAGTGCTTAGAACAATGTATGGCACATAGCAAGCACACAACAAATTCATTATCATTATCATCATCTAAATGACCTAGCTAAATTAAAATCTAAAAAGGACTTATAGGACATCAACAGTGGAAAAATAAATGAAAAATAGCTAGTTCTATCACTACTTTCACCTTGTTAGCAGAAGGCATTTGTCAGGAATGTAGGCTGACAGGGTTAATAGAATTCATGCTACTTTATGTGCGTGCATTAATGAAAAGGATGCAGTATATGTTAAGAGTCGCACAACCTTCATTCCAGTTGCGTTCATCTCTACACTTACCCCAGACTCCGCCACCTCTTCTTCCTGTAAGCAAGAGCCACAAACATTGAAGCATGTGTTTGAATAGGAAAGCACAGAAAAAAGACAACAGTTGAGAGTCAGAGGAACTATGCAGACAGAAAAGAACAGAAAAATTTTATCAGGAAAAAATTATAGCTTAACAGTAATATGACTTTAACGGAAGGCAGGAGGGTAATATGAATATATACAGAAGGTCAAAAAACCTCCAAAATAGTTTATAAAAATATGCTTTAGATCAATTATCAGGAAGCTTTAATTTACCTAATTTATCAGGAAGCTTATATAAATAAGCTTAAGGAAAAACATTTACTTACTATAATATAAATTTTGAATTCAAAGTTTTAAGGGAAAAGACCTTAAAGGGATAGAATTTTTGAACATATTTCTGGCAAGATTTTTGGGCCACTCATTTAAATGACAGAATGAAATTACAAGGGACATAAAAACACAACATTTCATTTTTAAGTGCAGAAATTTCTCTGACAAGATGTCTTGTAAGAAATGTTGACCAGCAAATCCAACTTACAATGTAGGTAAAAATACATCATTAAAATCTTCATAATACTATATATCTTCACATTGCTGTTTGATTGACTAAAGATTCTATTTTTTAAGTCTGCAAATTGATTACTGTTAAAAGGGGTTACTTCATCCAAACTAGATACTCATATACCACCAAAATGGACACTGTTTGCTTAAAGAAAGGTATTACATTTTAGCACTGGCTGACAAAACTGATTCAGGAAAAATTCAGTCCAATCTTTAATACAGATGTTTTTTATATTCCCCAAACACCTTATTCTATTCAATCCAGGCCATTCCCAAGAAAACAGCCATGTTTATTAATTTCCTCATCAGTTTTTCTCCTTGGCTCATTACTGAGGTATGGCTAGTACTTAGTACATTATAAACTGGTCTGGCAGGGTCACAAATTCATCATGTTCTTCAGGAACCAGGATGTTAACATGTATGAGTAAAAAGAGGTCCATATAAGACAACAGGGAGTGTTAGGGTCACTGTACAAGGACATGCAACAAAAAAACAAACAAACCCTTCTTTGCTTTGGTACCTAGTTCTTACTCTTTTCTGCTTCCCCACACTGTTAAGCAATGACATCTTTCAATACATGTAGTGATTCTCAAGGTGCAGAAGTGGGATGTGTAGGAAAGAGGAGATCTGGCACACCCCCTCCTTCCTTCCATACTTTATGGATCTCTAAATCAGAGAAACCATCAGATAAACTACTTGCAACATGGTGAAACCCTGTCTTTACCAAAAAAAAAAAAAAAAAAAAAAATTAGCTGGACATGGTGGCATGCACCTGTAGCCCCAGCTACTTGGGAGGCTGAGGTGGGAGGATCACCTGAACCCGGGAGGTTGAGGCTGCACTGAGCCGAGACAGCACTACTGTACTTCAGCCTGGGCAACCAGAGTGAGAGATCCTGTCTCAAAAACAAACAAAGACCCCTAAGCAACAATTTAAACAAAACAAACAACAAAAAAACCCCAGTATATCACTGGTTCTATTGGGTTATGAAAATTTCAACTCTGGTTTATAAAGTATTGTGTTGGGGTAAAAGTAACGGCAATTTTTGCCATTACTTTTACATTAAAAGTAATGGCAAAAACCACAAATACTTTTGCACCAACCTAACACCAAGTATTTTTGTTTCCTTAGCACAGTATATTTTTTAAGCCACAGAAATTGTGTTGGCCCCGGTACATTATTTCATTTTTAATGTCCCTGTGAACTGAAGCTATAGGTAGGTAAAAATACATCATTAAAACCACAAATCGGTCTTATTTACACCCTGAAAATTATAAAAATACTAGGATAGCTTAACAACACCTTGTTTCAATTTTAGATGTAAGCCGAGGAAGCCTTTTGTTATTACATTAAAAATGAACCTTAAAAAGTATTCTTAAATATCAGGTCAATACAGAAACACAATAAAATTTTTCATTTTTAGTAAAGTATGATTAAATTTCCACTTTCTACATTCGTTCATTTGTATGTAATAAAAATTATATACAAATGAAACACAGTGTAATTTGAGGAAAGAAAAAAAGAAAAATGGTTTACAGGAATGAAGTATGAATTAAACGAACACGAATATTAAAATACTCAGTAAAAATAAAAAACACGGTCAGACTAATACTTTACAAACTAGGTTAGAAACGAGATGAAACAAGACGAATATCAGCAATTTTTTGTATTTGTTTGCTAATCTTTTTTTTTTTTTTTTTTTTTTGTATTTTTAGTAGAGATCGGGTTTCACCTTGTTAGCCAGGATGGTCTCGATCTCCTGACCCTCTGATCTGCCCACCTCGCCTCCCAAGTGCTGGGATACCAGGCGTGAGCCACCTGCACCCGGCTGCTGATGTTTTAAAGACAGTATAATACAGAACTATCCACATACAAATATTTGCAAATTATATAAAAACTCTCTGAGCCTCATTCAGTTTCTTATATATAAAAGGAAGGCCAATACCACCTACCCTACTGTTATTATGATAAATGATTACATGAAACTGACATATACAAAGCACTTTGTACAGCACATAACACAAGGTAGAATAAATATGAACATAAATGATAAATATGTTAATTATGCGTATCTACATCGCCCTTGACACCCACTCTACCACTTCTACATATTTCAATGTCCTACCTCTGTCGAAACATCATAGCTGGGTCCATATTAGCAGAAGTCATTCGAACAACTTGGCGGATTTCCTTGGAAATCATTCTTAACTTCTCAAAGTTTACTAAACCATCTACTTTGGAGTCATTTCCTATAGAACGAAAATAAATGTTTAAGTTCACAATTAAATTATCTACATAAAAGTAGCAAAAGTCAAGCTGGTAATCTTGAGGGGCACACAGAAGGACCTTCTTTATCACAGTGCCAATTTTGCTTTTAAGAACTGATATACCCATACATGGTTCAACCCTGCTCTTAGGGAATGAGCCACTAGGAGATACTGTGTTCCACATAGGAGTGATGGTTATGAATAAAGTCAAGTGATAAACTGTGCATGGCTTCTAAAACCAGTTTCATGGGCTGGGGGCACAATGGCTCCCACCTGTAATCCCAGCACTTTGGAAGGCCGAGGCAGGAGGACTGCCTGAGCTCAGGAGTTTGAGGCTGCAGCGAACCATGACTGTGTGACTGCACTTCAGCCTGGGCAACAGAGTGAGATCTCAACTCAAAAAAATCCACAAAAAACGAAACAAAACAAAAATCCCAAACAAAGGGCAACCTGACGTCTATAGCACTGTTTTTTCACACTTGTCTATAACACAGCATGACCCCATTTATCTCCTGAGGTAGACTCTGAGGTCTGTCAGAGTCCAAGGCCCTGAAGGCAAGACTGAGAAATATATGGTAAAAATTGAATAGCACATATACATTGTAAATAGCACATATACACTGGACACATGAATTGTTCAGAGTCTCAACACAAGCTGGAAACAAAGGAATCATGACGAATACTCTCAAGTTATATAAACATATTTCAAGGAACATGTCAGAAAAACATATTTGAAGTCCATAACATTTCCTTATGAAAAATGAGTGGTAATGAAAGAAGAAGCAGTAAGACTACATAATTAGAACAACACTTCTGGTGAGATCAGAAAAACTGGACAAAAGTACAAAAAAATGCAGAGAAGCAAGTTTTGCATTTCCCCGTGCTTACCCCTAGGTATATCTGATTTCAGAAAGGGATAATGAGCTGAAAAACCGAGTACAGACACCCTGCCTTTTGAGGTAAAAGGAAAAGCAACTTAAGTCCATGTAAAACTCCAATGCTTGGTTGAAACTCTGAGGAGCCATATACTGATACCGAGGATAAACTGAATGTAGACTGGGATAAAAGTCTGTTGTTAAATTACATCAAAACGGATTAAAGTGATTTTGGAATTCTAGCACCCCTAACTGCCTGCCAGAAGCAAGCTTTAATCCTCTCTGGAGATATGGAACATCATTCAAAAAGCGAGATTATTTCTGTAATCTCACTTTTCAATAATAACCAGATACATTAGGAGAAAACATAACATGACAGAAATGAAAGAGAAAAAAGAGAAAACAGAATAAGACCCAAAGCGGATCCAGATTATGGAATTATTAGAGGCAGACTTAAAAATAACTATGCTGAATATGTTCAAAGATATGAAAAAACAAGGAGAACTTTGGAAAAGAACATGAAACTAAAAAAAGAAAAAGGAAGCTGTAAAATAAAACAAAAAAATACATAATAACTGGAATTAGGACATCAGTAATGAATTTACCAGAAGATGAGACATAGTTCAAGAGAGAATAAAATATACAATTACTGAGAATTTTCTAAAACTGATGAAAAATATAAAACCATAGGTTTCAAGTTGTCCTATAAACACCAATCAGAATAAGAAACAAAAACAAAACCCCACACTTAAGTCATATTAGGCAAAACTAGGAAAAACTTAAGAAAAAACAAAATCATAACAGCCAATATCAAACAAAGGCAGATTACAGTTAAACCAACAGCAAATAAAACTGTAAGCTAACTTCTCAACATTAATAGTGGAAGGCACAGAACAACTGAATGTCATTTTAAAGCCTTCAAAGAAGATAGCTGACAACCAAAAATTCTCTAAAAATGAAGTAAAGGCATTTTCAGATAAACAAACATTAAGAGATATTCATCACCAGCAAACCAGCACTTAAGAAGAATACTAAACAGTGTTCTACAAGGCCAAAAAACTATGCCCAGCAATATGGAAGCTCTGAAATGCAAGAATGAATAAAAAATAGTAGTAACAACAACAAAAGTAAATATACAGGCAAGGTTAAATACTTTATTAAGCAACAATATCTTCTGGGAGTTAAAAGCACAGCAACAACTGCAAGAAAATCAGGAGATGAGCAAATGGAATTGTCCTTTTTTTTTTTTTTTTGAGACGGAGTCTCGCTCTGTTGCCCAGGCTGGAGGGTAGTGGCGCCATCTCAGTTCACTGCAAGTTCTGCCTTCTGGGCTCCTGCCATTCTCCCACCTCAGCCTCCCACATAGCTGGGACTACAGGCGCCTGCCACCAGGCCCGGCTAATTTTTTGTATTTTTAGTATAGACAGGGTTTCACTGTGTTAGCCAGGATGGTCTTGATCTCCTGACCTCGTGATCCACCTGCTCCGGTCTCCCAAAGTGCTGGGATTACAAGCATGAGCCACTGTGTCCAGCCGAGCAAATGGAATTTAAGTGGTCTAAGTTCCTTGCATTATCTGATACAGAAAAAAGTACTAATAAATATTAAACTAATTAACAAATATGTATGGTATGACATCTAATTCAACACTAGAAAAATGGTAAAATAGTGTATAGTTACCAAGTTAATAGAATAGGAAAAATATCATACACAAAAATCAATTCAGGTAGACTTTAGATAAACCATATGGTAAAACATCAATAAATAATGTTTTCATACCTTCATGTAGAAATGTCATATCTTTCTTGACAACAGGGAAGAGTGGAATAATTGGAGGCTGCATACTTTGACTACTAAGAATATTTCTATACTTGGCCATGTTTCTAGATGGATCAAAAATGTCTTGTAGATCTTGAAGATGTTTCTCATATTTGCTTGGTAACTTTTCCCAAGTACCTCTGAGTCGTGCTACAGATGCCAGGTTCAAGCCACTGCCAAAGATGAGAAAAGAAACATTAAAAAGAAACTTGGGGGGAGGGGTGGACTCAGGTCAGTATACACACCATTTTCTCTAATAAAACTAAAAATAAGGAGGGACATATTTTAATATATTGAAATAAACAGAGAAAAACTATGAAAAAAAATAAATAAGAGACTCCTTGATCTTACAACAAGAACTTCTTTTGGAGGAACTATAATGTTTGCCTATAGTTGTACACCTACATAGCATTTATTTTACAGTTTAAGTGACAGAATAATACCACAAAATAGACATTTAACTTAAAAAAAAACTTCAAGCATCACAATGTTGCTTCTTTTACTTAGAAATAAGTTTATGGAGACATTAACTATTTTAAAGCAGTTTAAGTAATGCTGAGAGCAACCGTTAAATAATAATGGGGGCTAATCTGCACCTTAGGAAGCCTTTTTTCCTCTGTGATTTTGTTCACTCACGTCCCTGATTCCAATACATCCATATTCCTAGGTTCTAATTCTGTTCACTAAGCCTCCAGATATTCAATGTCTCCCTTCCACAGGATTTTAAATAGGCTCAGATATTCCCTAACTTGAAAACATAATTCATGCCAATTAGGCTGCAAGTCTTTGTGAATTCTTTACCTCTACAGTACCATCACATAGGTAGGTTGCCAAATGAATAGTGTATATACAATGTCTCAATTTTCTTATCAGCAAATCCTGTTTCTCCCCATCTCACTTTTACCCATACCACTGTGTATAAAATGTTCTCCCGATTTCTGACTTTCCGGCATGGAGTTAGGTATCTTTGTTTCCTTTTGCTTCTCAGAAATCACCCCAAACCACTATAAGAAGGTTGAGCAACCAAGACAAATTTCATATCCACCAAAACTAAGAGATACGAAACTCCTAAACACACTAGAAAGGTTGCCAAAAAATAGTCGAGGTCAAACACGAGTAAGCAAAGCTGATGAAAAATAATGTCTGCAGCTGAAGATATCAATGACAGCTGACAAACAGTTCTCCAGAGCAGAACTCTTTCTGCTCTGAGGGTAAAAACAACAACCCTTTATTTTATTTATTTATTTGAGACAGAGTCTTGCTCTGTTGCCCAGGCTGGAGTGCGGTGGTGCTCACTGCTCACTGCTACCTCTGCCTCCCAGGGTCAAGTGATTCTTGTGCATCAGCCTCCTGAGTAGCTGGAATTACAGGAATTACAGGTGTGCGCCACAATGCCTGGCTAATTTTTTATATTTTTAGTAGAGACAGGGTTTTACCATTTTGGCCAGGCTGGTCTTGAACTCCTGAGCTCAAGTAATCTGCCTGCTTGGCCTCCCAAAGTGCTGAGATTACAGGCATGAGCCACCATGCCCAGCCAACAATCCTTTATTTGGCATAGCACACAGTGATACACTTTGGTACAAATCTGTTTGAGACAGGAGAGAAGGCAGAAACTCCGAGTTGTAAGCAGCCCTAATGCTACCACAATCTCCATTTACTAAGAAAAAGTAAAGGATAAAACAATTAACATACAAGGCTAACTCCTGCTACCGCGGAATACTGCTGCACAGATCCACTTACATGCAGATATTTTTCAGTAAATTCAGTCACCCCTCCATATCTGAGTGTTCCACATTCACAACCAAATGTGGATCAAACATACAGTTTCCTTGGATGTGAAACCTGATAATACAGAGGGCTGACTTTTTGTATCCTCAAGTTTCTCAGGGTCAACTGCAGGACTTGAGTAAGTGAGGATTTGGCTATCTGTGAGAAACCATGGAACGAATGCCCCACAGACACTGAGGGACAATGTATCATTTAATATGAAGCACCAGCAGATGAAAATAGACAAAATAGAGAAATAGCTATTAATAAATGGAATGAGAGACGTAAAGTTATCATTAGTCGAAGAAAATTAGATTGTTTAACTCAAAACTCCCAAAACATTAACTGAAAAGTATTAGAAGCACGAAGAATGGAGTAAGGTACTAGGTACAACATCGATATTCACAAGCATTAGAATACTCAGGCAGAAACAGTTAGAAAACTTAAGGATCCCATTCATAATATACGGATCCCATTCACAACAGCGATAAAAGATATTAAACATTCAAACAAATGTTCAAGATTTACATGAACACCATTATAAAAATTGATATGGTTTGGTTCTGTATCCCCACCCAAATTTCATGTGGAATTTTAATCCCCACATGTCAGGGGAAGGACACGGTGGGAGGTGACTGGGTCATGGGGGCAGATTTCCCCTATACTGTTCTCATGATAATCAGTGAGTTCTCAAGAGATCTGAGTCTAAAAGTGTGGCACTTTCCCCCTCGCTCTCTCTCTCTGCTGCCGTGTAAGACACGCCATGTTTGCCGTTCGCCTTCCACTATGGTAGTAAGTTTCCTGAGGCCTCCCCAGACATGGGGAACTGTGAGTCAATTAAACCTCTTTTCTTTATAAATTACCAGTCTCAGGTATTTCTATATAGCCGTGTGAAAACAGACTAATAAAACAACTCCACAGAGGAAATAAAAGAAAACTGAAACAAGTGGAATAAGTGTTCTTGGATGGCAAGAGCCATTGTATAAAGCTATCAAATGTCCACTAAATTAATCTAGGTATTTAATGTAACCTCAATGAAAACATCAACAAAACTTTTATTTTTTATTTTTATTTTTATTTTTTTTTTGAGACAGAGTCTTGCTCTGTCACCCACGCTGGAGTGCAGTGGCATGATCTCGGCTCACTGCAACCTCCACGTCCTGGGTTCAAGCGATTCTCCTGCCTCAGCCTCCTGAGTAGCTGGGATTACAGGCATATGCCACCACACCCAGCTAATTTTTTTGAATTTTTAGTAGAGACGGGGTTTCACCATGTTGGTCAGGCTGGTCTAGAACTCCTGAACTTGTGATCTGCCTGCGTTGGCTGCCCAAAGTGGGATTATAGGTGTGAGCCACTGCGCCCAGACATCAACAAAACTTTTTAAAAGAACTACATAAATTGATTCTAAAGTTGATATGAAACAAATAAACATGCCAGAAATAGCCAAAGAAAAGTATGAAGAGAGGCATGAGGGGTTTGACTAGCCCTACCAGACCTTAAAACCTACTTTACCACTTCGGCAATCAAAACAGTAAATAAATAGACAAATCAATGAAGCAAAGAGTGGAGACATAAACCCAAATATGTATTAGATTTCAATACATAATAGATGGCATTGCATATTTTAGAAAAAAAGATTAATGATGTTGGGTGAAGAAGTCATTTGGAACAAAGAAAGATATATTTCCTTATCTCACTGTTTACAGAAAAATTAATTCACGATTAATAAAAAATGTCATCTAGGGTGTTCTAAGAGCTCTCAATGTATTAGCTCATTGAATATTCTTAACCCTATGAGGTAGGAACTATCAGGATTTCCCATTTGACAAACGAGGAAACTCAGTTCACACAGTCAGCAAGTGCCAACACTGGATTCAGACCTAGGCAATTCTGTGTTCTTCACTAACGACAAAAAGTAGAGACTCCAGGAGGAAAAAAAAGTAATACATCTACATAAGAATAAAAAATTTCTACATGGCAAAAGTAAACACCACACACTGTTTTAAATAGCCAGAGGCTGGAAATTTAGAAATATCCATAATGTGTATTCCACAATACAAAGGAGTACTTTGTAGTTGTTTAAAAAAAAAAATGCGACAACTGTATAAGTACTGATTTAAAATAATCTCCAAGATAAATTAAAATAAGCCAACGTAGTTCTAAATATACATTTATATGCTTGCTATATGCACAGAGTATTTCTTGAATGAAAAAAGGTAACAGTATCTCTGGGGAGAGGAATTTTGCTGGATTAGGGACTGAGTGAGAGAGTTACTTTCACTGTGTACTCTTTTAGTATCTTTAAAGTTTTTTCCATGTACATGTCATGTCTATTCAAAAAGTAAAAATTATTTTATAATTATAAAAAGTTATTATAGCCAGAGCAGAATGATTCACCTTTGCCATCTCTGCTGAAAAGAGTATATTCTTTGATCTGCCTGAATATGAAGTACAAGAATACAAAGCAATTATCTTAAAAAGAATACAAAAGAAACAAAGCAATGATCTTTACATGAGCTATGAAAATGTGCAGAACAAATATTCTTTGTAACAAAACAAATCTCTTAACCAAACAAAGCCTCTTAACCAAATCTCAGCCCTTTCCTATCCACCCCCTTCTTTGGGTTACTGTTCATCACATCTCTCAAATCACTCTCTTTTGTTGACTTTGATGACACTATCATAACTGTGCTACCCTATTTCTTGTATTGATCATCCATCTCTTTGGCTAGACTCTTTTTCTTTACCCTCACACTGAGTCATCATACTAAGGTATGGTTTTTAGACCTTTAACACTTCCTTTCTATCCTCTTTTCTATACAGAGATCTGTTCTCTCAGTGTCAATCACTTTTCTTCATAGTGGACTCTAAAACTGAGTCCGTAATTTTCAAATTCTTTACTTGATGCTTCCTTTACAAACAGGTTCAATTTCTAGCCTTCCAAGTGTTTATCAGTGGTATCTTTATTCCCCTGTTTTAGACCTAGCTGTTTAAAAACTGTGATATAGGTGGTATAATCCCTACATTTTACAGATAAGAAAACCTATCTTCAGTTTTCCACTGACACACCGCTACTATATGGGAGAGGCAGGATTCAAATACAGGTGCAGCTGATTCTAAAGATCACTCTGTTAATCTCTATTCAATACTCCGATTCTAAAGATCACTCTGTTAATCTCTATTCAATACTCCTAGAGTGTTCAGTTCAATTGTAGCCACTGGTTAATTTAATAAAGGCACATCCTATTCCCATGACAGAGTCATGATTAAAGAGTCCCTATAAAGATTCTACTTTTTAATCTTACATGAGGAGTAGAAACAAATAATCATAAATTCTGTGGGGGATGTGTATAGGTAAGATTAGAGCAAGTGGAATTATGCTGCTATTTATTAGTACATCATAGACCTAACTACAACTCCTCTCCCTTTTAAAATTAAACTTGTTTTAAGAAGAATCCCTTTGTCGATCTACAGTGTGCTAAATAAAGGTCAGAAAATAAATTACCTACAATTAACTTCTCATAATAAGTGGGGAGAAGGGAGTGGGACAGCTCACGTAATTATCTACACTTCCTGGGCTTATGAATGTCAAAACATGTTTATTATTCTAATGGCCTAACTTGCTTGAGGAATACCACATCCAGTGATTCCTCAAGTAGTGCCTGGAAAACAGGAAGAGCTTACCAAATGGTTGCTATTATTATTATCGATGTTGTTGTTTCAAAATAGCAACTTTAGGTCAAAGTACTGATACCATACGGTGATTTTTCAGTGTCAAATCATAGTGAGGCAGGTACTTAAAAAACCACAGTACAGAAGTCTAACAATAAAGACCAGCCAGCCACTGGGCACATATCCGAAGACGATATAATCACTCAAGGCGGGGGATGGGGGGTGAGGGGAGAGAGAAAAATTAGAAGGCAATCACCCACTTTCATTTACAAAAAAGAAGAGAAAGATGGAAGAAATAAAAATAGAGGCCGGGCGCGGTGGCTCACACCTGTAATCCCAGCACTTTGGGAGGCCCACGCGGGCAGATCACGAGGTCAGGAGATTGAGACCATCCTGGCTAACACGGTGAAAACCTGTCTCTACTAAAAATACAAAAAATTAGCCGAGCGTGGTGGCGGGTGCCTGTAGTCCCAGCTACCCTGCAGGCTGAGGCAGGAGAAAGTCATGAACCCGGCAGGCGGAGCTTGCCGTGAGCCAAGATCGAGCCACTGCACTCCGGCCTGGGCGAAAGAGCCAGACTCTGTCTCAAAAAAATAAATAAATAAATAAATAAAAAGTAAAAATAGAAAAAGCCAATACCACCAGAATGGAAAATACATTAAATCTAACAACACTTCAATAAAGGCATATTAACTGAACATTTCTTTTCATAGGCATTTAATACCTAAGCAGAAAATCAGCTTCATGTAATGACAAAACCATATAGACATTTGTACCTATTTGTACCAACTTACCTTATTATTGCAAACATGGAATTGAAGTTCTTACATTCTCGACAATGAAGTGCAATTTTAATAAAATGCTTAATAATCTTCATTCGTTTGAGCTGATTTGCTTCAGTTAAAATTTCTGAGGCAACCCAGAATGTCTCTTGGTTTACAATGTCCTCAAACCTCTTCAAGTGAGTATTTCCTGCTTTGGAATTTAACTTAAAAAGGTCATCGATGTACTCAGTCGGCTCAATATTACGAAACAAATCAAAGTCCCTCATTGACAGCTGGGTGGCCACCTCAATGGTACTGAGCTGCAGCATGGATAGCTGGCTTTCCTTAACCAGTTCTTGAGCATCTTCATCTGAACATAAGGTTTCTGTTTCCATGTTATTTTTTAAATAATACCTAAATGGAAAAATTTTTTAAAATAAATGTATTCGTAAATATGATTAAATAAGAGCACTTTTCCTCTTTTTTGTTGTTGTAAAATATCATTTTATTGTTAATAACTTTTAGCCAAAAATATTCATTTACAGGTAAAATGAAAAATTAACATTTTAAATGAGCAGAATTTTTGAGAAGTCAGTCTCTTATTCCACCAACCGGCATCTATTAAAGAGTAAATATAATGTTATGTCATGAACTTAATCATTTTAGAAACTGTCAGATACTATTTTAGGTACTGGCCTTGCCCTCGTAAAGCTTTTATTTTACTGTTTTATCTGACAGATGGTTGGTACTATGTAAGTATTTGTTTATGAACAGCATGAATTCTAATTAAGGCAAAATAAATTCCTGAATCAAGATGGTTAAAAATCTCTATTCAGAAGTTACTGCATTCATTTCCTTTTTAAATAAATTTCCAAGTGAAGCAAGAAGAATGAAATCTACAAAGGAGGGGAAACACTTCCACTAATGGTTTCTCCCTTGTTAAACACAAAATCTCATTCCAGCAAGTAGCACTGATCAGTAACCATACATTAAGAACTATATTTTGCTTTCTTCTCTTTAGATCAACAATTCTACAGCACTTAAAAGCTAAGAGACAGGAAACATCTTGTGCAGGGATGTTACTAAGGAAAAGAGGTAATGTATCACATGCTTTTACTTCATTCTTTTCTAATAATCCAACTTGATTTAAGCCTAAGTTTGTATCCATCTATCCATCTATTTTTTACTGTCAAGAAACTCTTTTTTCTGTTTTTAGACTGTTCATACGCCTAAGACAATGCCATAAAAATACTGTTGAAACTCATCACACTATATGTGATAATGTTGATAAGGTATGGTAGACTTAATAACTCACTTAATCCTTACAACATTCCCATGAGGTATATTCTATTATTATTATCCTCATTTTATGGATGAGGAAATTCAGGCAGAGAAGCTACATAACTTGTTCAAGGTCACATAGCCAGAGCTGGGATTTGAATGTGGGCAGTATGAATCCAGGGTCTATGTTCTTAACCACTATGTATAGCCAGCAAAACAGAGTTAACTCATTCTCATTTCACAGCAACCATGGCATGCAGTCACTGTGAGCTTTCTAAGGATCTTGTTCTACATATGAAACTGGGTTACCAAAAAGATTATTCTCAGAGCGGTTGGGCGCAGTGGATCACGCTTGTAATGCCAGCACTTTGGGAGGCGAGGCAGGCAGATCACTTGAGGTAAGGAGTTTGAGACCAGCCTGGCCAACACGGTGAAACCTCGTCTCTACTAAAAACACAAAAATTAGCCAGGCATGGTGGCATGTGCCTGTAGTCCCAGGTACTCAGAAGGCTGAGGCAGGAGAACCGCTTGAACCTGAGAGGTGGAGGTTGCAGTGAGCTGAGATCACGCCACTGCACTCCAGCCTGGGCGACAGAGGGAGACTCCATCTCAAAAAAAAAAAAAAAAAGATTATTCCCAGAGAAAATTACCAGAGTAAGGAACAAATGTACTACAGAAATAATCTAGTTTATTAAATAATTTTCAGAACACATTTTAAAAATTTTTAAATTTTCCTACATATTCATAAAAGGAAAACTACTTAGAAAAAGAACTGTGAAAACCATGGCTTCTTTTGCCAAAGTACATACCGGCCACATTAAAAATAGTCATTCAGATATATATGAAGATCTGCATCATTCAGTTTCCTCTATAAAAAACAGGAACTAGATTATATCAGTGGTTCTAAGAGTTTATTTTAGCAGGAGTGATAAGATATTTTATCAAGCTGTCTTCTAGAGTGAATTTAGCAGCACTAAAACATGATGATGTTTCTACTTACAACATCTGTTTTAACAGGAAATCGTCAAAAGCACATCTACAAATAAGCACATCCACTAATAAGCTTATTCACCTTCCATTGAGTTGAATTCTATCAGCTAATTTGGAGAACTGATCTGGAAGTCTTCTCTGTTTTATGACACCCTCAGGAGTAACAGAAACTTCACAGAGAGAGTATGTGTCGGATGCACCGGTCAAACCAAATTCATGAACGGCATGACAAACTACTTCTTTAGCTGTAGTGTCTTTACTGATGATAATGTAGCAACTTTGCTGATCCACTTTGAAAACTCTTATAACTTGATCAGGAATATCTACATAAATAGAAAGATATGCCTTGTTATTTTATTTAAAAATTACTTTTAAACTCTTCAAAAAGCAATGTGAAACACAATGATCCCTCTGAACACTAAAATATACATTTCTATTTCACAATATTAACAGAAGTCACTGTTGCATTTATTGATAAATATATCTATTTTTTTTTTCAGTTAACAAATCATTGATAGAAAAACCCAAAGACAAACCTTGTGCTCATACTATATATATGATTTGGAAGCCAGAATTTTTTTCATTTAATAGCTTATAAAACATTTTAATGTCATTATATGCTTCTACAAAACTCTTTTTAATGAAGACATAGTACTCCATAATATATATTTTATATATTTCAATTATCCAAACCCTTAATGACATTTAGATTGCTTACCACTTTCTATTATTATAAATGACATGATATGCCGTTATCCCCTGTCAAAAGTAAGTAAGCCTCTGCAGGCAATCTAATTACTTCCTCAGTGAAAATTCTCAAAAACAGAACTCCTGAGTTAGAAGGTATACATATTTTTAAGGTTTCTGAAATATACTGCCAAACTGTTCTCCACAGAGGTTATAATATTTTATAATCCTAGAGTGTAAGGGAACAAATTTGGTCACATCCTTAAAAAAACTGTGTATTAATGTTTTGTTTTGCTTTCTCATTTCATAAACCCTATTCTTTTCCTCCCTCTAAAAATAATACCATTATTTTTTCATTTCTTTGGTTACTGGTAAGACTGAGTAACTGATAATGGTCTAATGAACCATTATTTATTTTTAAAAATACTTTTTGGCATCCTTTATGTTTTTTTCCTAATGTACTGTAGTAGATAACAACACTTAGTCAACTATGAAGTGGAAAATGCTTAGTTTCTATATTTTATTTATTTTTAACACAGGAAAATTTTAAATGTTTACCTGGTGAAATCTTAGTCTTTGCCCTTGTAATTTCTGCTCTTAGTAGAAAAATTTGAGACAATGTTTATATGATAAGCACATGTAAATAATAATATTCCACCCCCCCTTGTTCTATCTTATTTCTTTTTGTCATTATAGAACTCTGGACCAACGTTCAACATGATAAGCTAATATTTAATATAATTAAATGTAAGTGAAAAGTGACTTTATAGCATGAACAAATGCTAAAAATTTTCCCAATGACAATAAATTACTGTTGCAAAAATTTCCTTTTTTAAAAATTAGGAATACAGGCTGGGCATGACTCACACCTATAATCCCAGGACTTTGGGAAGCCGAGACTGGAGGATCACTTGAACCCAGGAGTTTGAGACCAGCCTGGATATATAGCAAGACTTTGTCTCTACAAAAACTTCTTAAAAATTAGCTGGCTGTGGTGGCACATTCTTGTAGTCCAGCTACTCGGGAGGCAGAAGTGGGAGAATCACTTGAGACTGGGAGGTTGAAGCTGCAGTGAACTGAGATCATGCCACTGCACTCCACTCTGAGTAACAGAGCAAGACCCAGTCTCAAAAGAGAAAAAAAATTAGGGAATATATATTACTGTGGCTTTTTTGTATGTGTGTGATGACTGCAGTGGGGGCAGGGTGGAAGATTTTGGGGGCTCAAGTAATTATACAGTTTGTCCAGCATCACCTTCTTAGCATCATGGACACTGTTAACCTTTAGAGGAAAAAAAAAATTACAAATTTATCTCAGAATGTCCTGAGGTATAATCCCTGGTATAAAAGGGAGAAATGGAACAGATACAGATATGGCAGGAAATGTTTTCATAAAATAATTTTTTTGGTCCTCTTGAGACTGAGGACCAAAAAAAAAAGACTTGCTCTGAGGACTGAAAGATTCAGCTGAATATACATGAATATAATTCCAGGGACAAGGGGTCTTAGCCAACATATGTTGAATGTTCTGGGTCCTGTCAAGTTGAAAGTAGAATACTTCATCCACTCAGGTTCCTTCTGTAACAAGGATGCATCAAACTCTCTTTCCTCACTGTATTAAGAAATCTGAGTTATCACATGCACCTTGTTCAGATTTCATTCTGATAAGCCAATCCTTAGTAGGCTGCTGACATCATCAGGTTTTTAAACCTACAAGGTGGGACTGTTTCAAGATTCACCAAAATCAGAGATACTTCTTGAAACGGTTTGGCTGTGTCCCCAACCAAATCTCATCTTGAATTGTTAACTCCCACAATTCCCACATGTCATGGGAGGGAGCCAGTGGGAGGTAACTGAATCATGGGGGCGAGTCTTTCTCATGCTGTTCTCACAATAGTGAATAAGTCTCACGAGATCTGATGGTTTTAAAAAGAGGAGTTCCCCTGTACAAACTCTCTTTGCCTGTTGTCATCCAAGATGTGACTTGCTCCTCCTTGCTTTCTGCCATGATTGTGAGGCTTCCCCAGCTACGTGGAACCGTTAAGTGCATTAAACCTCTTTCCTTTGTAAATTGCCCAGTCGTGGGTATACCTTTATCAGCAGCGTGAAAACGGACTAATAACTTCTCTACCCTGTGCTAGAAGATTACTGCAAACAAATGGACATTTCAATTTGCCATGAGAAATATACTAAACAAATGGGTTTCCACTATCTTTTTAAGTCCATGAAAAAGGAACAAACAATATACTGTTATTACCTGTATTGTTGCTACTCTCTTCATAAAAGTAGGTCCCAGCCATCCTGGGCTTCAGAATTGAATCATTTTACTAGATCTTTGGGGGCTGAGCCTTAGCCAGTGGTACTGACTGACCTTGAGGGAATGGGGAGATGTTCTGATACCTTTTATTACTTTCTTCAGAGAAATTTATTCACAAAGACAGGGTGGGAATTTGTACACATTTCATGTTCTCTTCCCTTGCTGCCAATATATTGTAACATCTTCTGGGAAGGAGCACACAATTGTGTATCTTGCTGCATAGTGTTAAAAAGTCATACTTTGTTAAAGTGATTTGTCCATGTGAAGGACAAATTGTTACATGATCATATAAGAGTGATTCAGGTATCACAAATGGATACCTTTCGAACAGATTCATAAATGGGATTATCTAAAGGGTATCCCTTAATCCAAACTCTGATGAAACTGCCAAGGTAACAAATGTCAACTTGGAAAAGTGATGGAGAGCCATCAGAGGAAAAACATTCTCTGCGTTTATATTAACGACAGTGTAAACCTCTATTTTAGAATTGTTACATATATATTATATAATACTCTTTACAAACATGTTTCTTGTTAGTAGGAAAACAACATACATGCCAAGTACAATATTTGGCATGCAGCACTCAAATGTTAATCGCTTAGATGAATGGTCAATATGTTCCAATAAAGTTGAATCAAAAGGGAAAAAAATGATCCAATCATTTTAAATTTTAGGCACAAAGCTAAAATGCACACAAAAATACAGTACAATTTTAAAAGCAAAACAGACATTTAAAAAGAATCTTGGAAGCCAGGGGCGGTGGTTCATGCTTACAATGCTAGCACTTTGGGGGGCTGAGGTGAGCAGACCACTTGAGCCCAGGAGATCAAAACCAGCCTGGGGAACATGAGGAAGCCCCGCCTCCACAAAAATTACAAATGTTATCTGGGCGTGGTGGTGTGTGCCTATAGGCCCAGCTACTCGGGAGTCTGAGGTGGGAGGATCACTTGAGCCCAGGAGGTAGAGGTTGCAGTGAGCCGAGATCACACTATTGCAGTCCAGCCTGGGTGACAGAGAGAGACTCTGTCAAAAAAAAAAAAATCTTGGAGGATCAAGATTCATATTTCATATTTAGAAATCTTATGTAATAGGTAAATAAATTTAATAGAAACCTCAGATATCTAGACTTTCAGCCACAGATGAAATTTCTAGAGAGCTAACTTATAAATCTTACAGCAGTAAAATTAAAAAACGAATACTTCAAGGATGTATGTACTGACTCTGAGATTACACTAAAAATGGGAGAACTTTTAGGTATTTAAGATGATCTTTAAAAAAAAAAAGACTGACTTTTCATTCTGCTTTAAATTGTTAATTGCTGAATAAATATTTATGAAGTGCCTGTTATGTGTCAACAGGGTTCCAGGTGATGAAGATACAGTGGTGAGAGAGAGACATAAAGCCTCTACTCTCAGGGAATTTACTTACATTCAAGTGAGTAAACATGAGCTCAAGGACAGACAAGACATCAAGTAAGGAAGAAAATTCATATAGTGAAAAGCACCACACAAAAAAACAAAGGGTAGTGGTATACTAAGGATTGAAAAAATTGTTCTGTAAAGAGCCAGATAGTAAACATTTTAAGTTTTGCAGGTCAAGGGGCAAAACACGTATTTTTTAGGCACTTATATAATGAGAAAGATAGTTTTTCAAAACTCAAAATATAATAGTTTTTCAAAACTCAAAATATAATAATGCATACATAAAACAGGTAAAGATACGTGAACACAAAGATTAGGCAATACTATAAGTGTCTACTAACAGGGACTGGTCAAAAAAATTGTTAGCTGTTTAAAAATTTGTGGTAGAACAACACATCCTGAAACAGAAAAGTATTCAAAGGTATATTGCTAAAGTGAAACAGTTAAGTGGAAGAAAAGTAAAACATCTCATATGGGGTGCAAGCAATGGCACACACATTTTATGTGCAATGAAATTTCTGGAAGGATCTATAAGTAAATTAAGAACTAAATTCTAGGGGAGTGGTGACTTTTATATTCTATCTTATCCTGGCAGTTTAATTTTTTAAAAGCTATGATTGTGTTCCTTTATAATTAAAAACTAATAAAAATAAGAAATTTCCAGTGAAGAAAAGTTTACTATATGAAATAAATCAAATAAGGGTTTGTGCTATTAAGTGAAAAGAAGTAAGCTATAAGTTCTACATGCAGATCTAGAAAAAAAAATTCCTTTTTGAATTCCTTTTAGCCACACTCCTAATTTTTTTTAAGACTCATCTTGTATTGAGTCAGAAATCCCAAAGAACATTTCAGAAGTTACAGAATAGCATGTATACTGATTCTATCCAAACATAAAAACATACATATATTTAAAAAAATGACTAAAAGGATACATGCCAGTTAATACTGGCTACCTTCTAAGTGGAAAGAAAAGTTCTGCTTACTACTTCATTCAATTCTGTATCATTGGACTTTTAAAAAATAACAAAATAATACATACAAACAAGGGCAACAGAATACCATAGTCTTTAAGATACTTACAATAAAAACCAACAGCTGTATGCAGCAAAAATAAAGCAAAATCAAAGTAAGCAATCAGAAACAAACTTACAGTTCTGTAGCTTTGCCCCCACTTTCATTCTGATCTAGTAATAACTTTGAAAATGCAGGATAAATATAGGTAAGCTCAAGACCGATAAACATTAATCAAACTTGGCTGTTACATATGTCCTATAATATACATATGTGATGTACATGGCTCATTTAAATTTTTGTGTTGTATAAATTACATAAGAAGCTGAATTTGGAATTAACTGGGAATTGATGTTTTCAATCCAAATATAAATAATATCCATCACTAGATAAAAAACCTTTCACAAAATTACATATTTGGGGGTTTAAAAATATAAGTTAAATACCTATCATATATGTGTTCACATTACTGGTACAAGCACATGCTGCAGACTGAGACATATCAGATGTTCTCTGAACAGGTTTTAAAAAGGCATCTTCATCTTTAGTCTTTTTAACATGTTCTCAAGGAGAGAATTATGTAATCAACCTGAAATCAAGTTGAGTAACACACCTTCTCTTTAGAGGTCTGAATTTCAGCTCCATGGGGACTTAGTTTCTAAAACATAGTAATTTCAACCTCTTCTCTTTGTTCCCCCAGCTAAATCTCCAACTTCTCTCTCGCCTCTTCCTACAACCCTATCCCTTATTCCCTCAGCCCCACATCCTACATATACCTATGGCAAACATACAGCCATATAAACTATTAAAACTACAAATCATAAGATCCCTAATACTTGTCTTATGAAAGCATATATTTAATTTGTGCTTTGGGAAAACACTTTATTTTTGGATATTCTATGTAGTGTGAAAAGCACTGCTGTAGAACACACACACAGAGACATAGAAATAAATTCCCATCCTGCCACATAGCAAACAATAGGAGACTGACTCTGTGGCAGAAGGAGGTCGGTTTCCCAGATGAAGTAACACTTGAGTTCAGCACTGACAAATAAAAAGGTTCACTGGACATGCAAGGAGAGGGCCATGGGTGGCAAACACAGGCAAAGAAAGGGCATTCTGAAAGTTCATGCCATACTCAGGAAGGAGGGATGAAGTAATAATGGAGAGAGAATGACAGAACAGGAGGCTAGAAAGGGGGTCGAGGTCAGCAACACTTCTTCTTCACCCTGGTGGTGACATTTCTTTTATGTACCAAGAACTGAATCCAGTTTGCAGTTTTCTTACCTCTGTGATATCTTAGTGCTTGCTTTACCCTTTCCGGTAAATAGTTTAATTAACTTTATACCTTGGTAACAATCTTCACATTAACTTCGGATCAGATAACTGGAGTATTTTCTGTCTCATGAATGACACTTCACTAATATAAAAATCACTACAAATGTCTTAGGAAAGTAATGACTCATTAAATCTTTGTTCTAAAAAGAACACTTGTAGCTATGTAGAGAGTGTGATGTGTCAGAATATGTTATTGGGTTTAATAATCTCTCTAGTGGTTAAGTGGCAACTGAAATATAAAGGAAGAAACCATGTGCAGAATGACCTTCATTAAACTGTTACTATGTTATGTCCTGAGGTTTTTACTGAAGTTGCTATAATAAACCATAAATTTTACTACGGCACTTATATTTCCATCTAATACCAAGAAGGAACTGAGTTTCCTCCCTTTTTACACTAGTTGCTAGGAACTTTAGAGTCAGAACTGAAGGTGAATCAGAACTATGCTTCTTTTGGTAGAAGCATTTTTTCTCCCACCTTTCCTTGGACTCAATTATATGTTTCAGTGCTTAATTGTATGTGCTTTGTATTGAAAACCATCTCAAATCCTTTAAGTGATGGATATATAATTATTCAAAGTTGAAGGTTTTCTTGTTTGTAACAAAATTTTAGATTATATAATTGTGACAATTTTTGCCTCAAGACATGAATAGATGCAAAAAAAAAAAAATTAACTTGACATTCCACACTGAACGTCCAAACAACAATGAAAATTATGCTATAATGCTCTGATAACAACACATGACAAATACAACAACTTTAGCTTCAGGTGTTTGAGGAAAAATCTGCTTTTAGAAAATTACGAACACTTTTCTGACAGAAAAAGGTAAGTGAGGCCACTTAGATTAAAATAATCTGCCTTATTCTTTCCCACACCCTGAGTAAGACATATCTTGGCTGAGAAGGGTCTCTGTTTTCACTCTACTGCTTAGATTAGGATTACTAAAAGATACCTAATGCTGTGGTTAGAGGTAGTCTCTTTTTTTTTTTTTTTTTTTGAGACAGGGTCTCACTCTGTCACCCAGGCTGGAGTGCAATGGCGCGATCTCAGCTCACTGCAAGCTCTGCATCCCAGGTTCACACCATTCTCCTGCGTCAGCCTCCCAAGTAGCTGGGACTACAGTCATCTGCCATCACGCCTGGCTAATTTTTTGAATTTTTAGTAGAGATGGTGTTTCACCGTATTAGCCAGCATGGTCTCAATCTACTGACCTCGTGATCCGCCCGCCTCAGCCTCCTAAAGTGCTGGGATTACAGGCGTAAGCCACTGCGCCCGGCCAGAGGTAGTCTCTTTTTCATGTATTTCTGTTCCATTTTAGAGGATGTACCATTCAAATTAACAGAACAAGACAATCTCCCTTTAGCTTTTTGCATCAAGTCATAATCTAGAGTTAAGAGGGCTGCAAGTAACTCTAGTATTTGCTGCACAAGGCTTAACCATCCAGTTGTTCATTTGGTACCAATATGGCAATATAAAATCACATATGAAAATTACCTGAAGGATTGGAAAAATCCAACATACTGGTGGTAGGCTGCAGGAGATCAGGGCTGCTAGATGAGAGTGTTCCAGGGATGGGCATTATAGCCAGACTATGCCTACAGTGCCTTGTTCCCACAATGCTGTCATCTTGTGATTGGCTTAGGCCTCCATCACTTCAAAAGAATGTCACATATCACTTTAAAGTATTTGAGAGTACTTAAGTAGTAAACATTTCTGTTCCCTGTGCACTAAGGCATAACAGAACCAAACCAAAGAGGTGATTTAAACAATTGAAATACTACAGCAATTTTTAAAAGACAACTGTAATGATAAAAACGGCACTAAAATTTTTAACAATTACATTAAAATAAAATCTAACTTATACATCTAAGTAATTCTACTACATCCTAATTAAATTGTCTTATTTAGTGTCTCCCAGTTTGGGTGAAGAAATGGAACCTGAGTATTTAGGGAACCCTTCAAATTTGCCAGTTCTAGTGGACACTAATATATGTATCCAAAAATGCACAGCCACACCATAGCAAGGTGTTCTCTTTCTCTTTCCCTTTCTCCAGAAAATCTCGGTGATCCTCTAGGAAAAAGAGGGAGTCTACATTCGAACCAAAAAATATGGCAGGTAGTAGATAATAATGGGGCCAAGGTCAAGTGACAAAGTAAGAGTGGTCTTTAAACACTGGACCAGAAAAAAAATAGAATTATGAAAATTACAGTCTCTAAAGTTCATTCTAAGGGTACATTATTTCTTATTTAATCTCTCAAGTCTAATTATTTAAGCAAACAAAATATTCTTCCTTTTAAATATTTTAGAAATGTGACACAGACAACTTCTAAATCTACCTAAGAGAAAAAATAAAAACAAAGAAACAAACACCGTCACTTAGGTTTTAGACACCCCCAGATTTTAGCTTACTTTTAAGCAAAGCAGTCCTACAAAAATGTAAGATAGCAGTGAAAAAAATTTCCATCAACATCAATAACCAAAAACTACTTCTAAGGGTTGTACTTATGTTAAAACCAATGCTCTGTTACTATTAATTCTTGTCTATATTTTATCAAATGCAGTATTCTGCCTAGTACTTGCTATGCATACAAACAGAAGTATCACAGAATACTTACCTATTATCATGAAAAAGATTAAGGTAGAGTATTATAAATGAATACTATGGAATACATTTAAATTATGTTAGATGTAAAATATAGGATTTTAGGTAGATTAGAAAACTATGCAAGATGGAGAGTTAAGACTGTTAAACTGCTAAAGGACTGTTAATAGTCAGACATGAAAGAGAGGGCCAGGATATGACAGAGCTGAAGAGTCAGAGAAAAGCAAAGAGACATGGAAGAAAGCAAAGATTAGTGTTTCAAGGGCAAGCTTTGATGTCAGGCAGACCTGAGCTACTAGCTGCTTGACTTCAGGCAAATTTCATTCTCTTTCTAAACTTTGGTTTTTTCATCTGTAAATGTGAGCAATACTATCTCCTCCAGGAATACTGAAAAATTAGGTAATATAGGCGAATGTTTTGGTGCAAAGGAAAACAGGACTTTATTTAAGAATGGACTTACTTTTACAAAAATTAAAATGAGAACAGGGCTGGGCACGTTGGCTCACACCTTTAATCCCAGCACTTTGGGTGGCGGAAGTGGGTGAATCACCTGAGTCAGGAGTTTAAGACCAGCCAGGCCAACATGGCGAAACCCCATCTCTACTAAAAATACTAAAATTAGCCAGGAGTAGGGTGGCGCGTGCCTGTAATCCCAGCTACTCGGGAGGCTGAGGCAGAAGAATCGCTTGAACCCGGGAGGCGGAGGTTGCAGAGAGCTGAGATCACGCCATTCCACTCCAGTCTGGGCAACAGAGCAAGACTCCGTATCAAAAAATAAAAATAATAATAATAAATAAAATAAAATAAAATAAGAATAGTACAAACCCAGAAGGGAGAATTATTTATTTTACTCAATTTATATTAAAAAGTAGAGGTAGGTCCGAGTAAAGGTATTATAGAAACAAGAAGTGCTTTCCTGGGGTGAGAATTTGACAGATAAAGCAAAGGAGATATCTCATTTGATAAATAATTTGCATTTACCCTAAATAGGCTCCTTATAATTTGGTTTGCATTCCTAAAGATCAGAGTTAAATGTTCTAAGGTTAGGTAAGAGAAAATAAGAGGAAAAAGCACTTTCAAAGGTATTTAAATTATATAGAAAATAAAGATTTTTTTTTAAAAGTCTTTTTGACTTTTGAAAACAAACACATCAATTTTTGGACACAGAGGGTGCGATAACAATCCAAGGAAGCAAACCATTCAAGAGGCTGTCCAGTCCTACTACTAATAAAGTAGAAGCAACTTTAGCAACGTTAAAAAGTTACAATTTTCTATTAAAGGGAATTAACCGCATCAGTGACTGCAGCAAGCTGGAATCACTATAGACTAAGACGTACAGAAAATACAAAAAGTGGCCGGGCGCGGTGGCTCAAGCCTGTAATCCCAGCACTTTGGGAGGCCGAGACGGGCGGATCACAAGGTCAGGAGATCGAGACCATCCTGGCTAACACGGTGAAACCCCGTCTCTACTAAAAATACAAAAAAACTAGCCGGGCGAGGTGGCGGGCGCCTGTAGTCCCAGCTACTCGGGAGGCTGAGGCAGGAGAATGGCATAAACCTGGGAGACAGCTTGCAGTGAGCTGAGATCCGGCCACTGTACTCCAGCCTGGGTGACAGAGCGAGACTCCATCTCAAAAAAAAAAAAAAAAAGAAAAGAAAATACAAAAAGTCCTTGTATCTCTTACTGATGCTATTTAACATTGCTTCTGCTTTTGAATGCTCAATAGAGACAATATTGTGTAGCTATAAATACGTAAAGCTGGTTACAAAACTGTAGTAATTAAAGTGTGAGGTGCATAAATGAAAACTATACTGCTATGTACAATCCATGCTATGCCATGAATGAAACAGTATTTAGTTGGCAAAATTTCCATGCTTATTTGAAAGCTGAGTTGATAAAGCCCATTTGGCAAGTAATTGTATCATTCTTACCAAAACAGTCTCCTGAAAAGGTGATGCAATAACAGAAGCAAAATTGTTTAAAAAAATTTCTCAATACTTCCCCAACACTAAATTTACTTAGGATAAAAGTACTTGGTTTCATATTATGAAACTAAAAAGGCCACATAAATATCAGCAATATGTAAATAAAAAAGAATCCCAATATTTAAAAAGCAAACAAAAAATATGTTGACAAGAAATGGGGAGGAAAAATACAATTCCTGTTAAGCAAGCAAGGCAGTTTATTTTGGGGATTGTTACAATGAATAATACAGAGATGTTACTTAGGCAACTGTGATTTTAAAAACAAAATAAAAGCTGCGTGATTTTAAAAAAGAAAAACAGATTTCCTGAAATGTGAAGAATTCTTAGGTCAATAAAAACCATACTTCTGTCTTAACTTACAGATGTAATTCAAACTAGTAACATTTTTCACTTTAATTTTTAGGAACATTCTTTTAAAATTATATCATGATTTCTTTGGGATTTTGGAATTATCTATTCTTATCTCAAGTATTTGTTCTTTCCTTACATTCTTTCTTTTCTGTGACAACTCATCCTCTACTCTTACAGAATTGAGTGCTGCTAAAGGTAGAGAACAAGTTTCCGTTCTTGGTGCCTCTTCCAAAGAGGTGTGGCACAGAGGAGATGCTCAGAAATTGTGAAACTGAACTCATTAAACATTTTTTTCAATAAAAAAATAACAAATGTTCAAGAAGAAAACTTGTAAAACACAAAAAGAAAGCACAGAAGGGAAAAATTACCTATGAAACCATGCCTTCCAAAAACCACAATCAACATTATGATAGTTTTCCTTCTAGTCATTTTTCTGATGTATAGTACAATTTATTTAACCAATCCTTGCAGTTGGACATTTAGGGTGTTCCAATTTTGTTTTAGTATAGATAAAACAACTTATAGCATCTATATATAAATCTTCATCTAATTACTATTAGAAACAGAACTACTGAATCAAAGAATTTTGTCATTTAAAAATATTTACTGGCCAGGTGCGGTGGCTCAAACCTGTAATCCCAGCACTCTGGGAGGCTAAGGCAGGTGGATCACTTGAGGTCAGGAGTTCCAGAACAGCCTGGCCAACACGGTGAAACCCTGTCTCTACTAAAATTAAAATTTACTTATGTATTTATGTATTTATTTTTATTTTTATTTTTCAGTTGGAGTTTCACTCTGTCGCCCAGGCTTAAGTGCAGTGGCATGATCTTGGCTTGCCACAACCTCCGCCTCCCCGGGTTCAAGTGATTTCCCTGCCACAGCCTCCCGAGTAGCTGGGATTACAGGCATGTGCCACACCACGCCCAGCTAATTTTTGTAGTTCTCTTGCCTCAGCCTCCCAAGCAGCTGGGATTATAAGTGTGCGCCACTATGTCCAGCTAGTTTTTTGTATTTTTTGGTAGAGATGGACTTTCACAATGTTGGTCAGGCTGGTCTCAATCTCCTGGCCTCAAGTGATCCCTCCATCTCGGCCTCCCAAAGTGCTGGGATAACAGGTGTGAGATACTGTGTCCAGCCAGAATTTTGCCACTTTTAAAGCTTTTAATAAAAAGGCATCACTTTATATTAGCACACCAGTTTAAACTTTTATAAACTTATTACATTATCAATTCTGTCCCTGACCATTCTTTTTGTCAGTCTGTGAGGAAACAAACGGTATCCAGGATTAAACTGTATATCCTGGATCAGTATCAATACAGACCATCTGAGGCATGTTTTCTGCCTATTTTTCCATTGAAGTTTTAGTGATTTTTTTTTCCTATTTGATTTCTGAGAGCTCTTTATATATAAAGGATAGTATACTTTTGTGCAGCAGAAGGAATTGTCTGAATTCACTTCAACTGACTGTCAATAAATATAAGATACATTCTCAGAAATGCAAAATGGCCAGTAAAGGTAAGACAGCTCTCCCAACAAAACAGCCTCCAGAAACCTTTGACTTCCAAGATAACCTATTTTTTTCTGTATTTATGTGGCTGAAATACTTTGCATTTTACTCCTTGGAAACGTGTTTGGAAGGGACAGACAGGTTAATATAAACTTCTGCAGTGCAGCATTTTATTCATATTTATATTCATAACCAAGCGTTTTCTTGTTGACACAAAGCAAGATATCCAATAATCCCTTCTGAGTTTAAGTAAAACTATTTTTACCAGATAGTCCTCTTTTTTGGGTACCAATATAAAGTTATAATGCTTGAAAATATTCAACTGACTGTTCCTGGCGACCTCAGTTCTACACCTCTTGCTGCAACCAAAGACAGAATTCAGGTATAGTAACTAATTCCCACACCTGTCACCAAAGGATAATACGGAGTTGAGATACTGATTTAGCTGCCTAAAACTTGAGTACAGCTGGTTAGAATGTGATAGTAACAAGTTGAAGACAGTTATAATTATAGTGTTATCTGTCTTTGGATGATACATGTCACAACTGTGTCACTGGTCAAAATGAGACGCAGTTAATGGGAGAAAGATGTATTCCAGACAAAACCCATTAAGGTTTCTAGAAGTGGAACTCAGGGCATTACCCCCTGAGGAATTCTCTTCATGCATTCTTTTCTGCCTTCTGGATCCTCGGTTTTGTCCCTTTTCCACAGTGACTTCCAGTCATCCCCACCTGTCCCCGACCTCTTCAGTGCAGGCTGGCTCCTCTAACATTCTCCTTACTCAATCCCCATTTGTGAGACCATGTATTTTCTTATAGTGTTCGCTACAGTACACTCAACATTCAAAAATTTTCGTATTTTAAAGTAATGATTTCTATAAGCCACTTGACCTCAAGGATAGAATGAGTAATGAACTTTTAGAAAAAGTTCAGGGTATTTTAATCCTCTGAGTTCCAAATTAAATGAAGAGCAAATGTGTTTCCCTGGCTGGAAATAAGAACTCAGGAAGATGAGCATTTCTGACTAGAAAATCTCTGAGATGTTTTAATTATTGAAAAAATATTTAAAAATAGCTATCACTAAAGATGAGAGCTGACACAATTCCGAGTTGCCTCCCAATTGTTAACTCTGCTATCACTGCTATATTGTGCTGTATCCACAACCCCAAATCACTAACACGGCCATCAGAGAGGTCTTCCTAAAAGAACAAATTTTATCAAATCACATGTCTTCTTACGGCTCCCAGTCATGACACGATGAAGTCTATTATCTTTAGCATAATATTCAAGGTCCCTCATAACCTACTTCTCTTGCTCCGGCTCTAGTTATATACACAGAAACACAATCTATTCAAACCTAACAAGTTTGTTCCTGCCTCCACTTATCAACCTATAATGTGAGAACTTTGCAATTTGCTTAGATTATCAACTCTTGGAGGATAAGAACCTTGATCTATTTATCTTCCTGTCTCTGGCTTAGGATACAATAAATGTGTGGAGAATAAGGGTTCCTGATGTGAATTTCTCAGAGTTAAGGACTATCTCTTTTTGTTTCTATAACTATCATCTGGCAAATTACCAGGAACTTTCAGGAGGCAAATAAATATTTTCTTTTAATGTATTTTTTTGAACTTGCTTTATTTCGTTCACTGATTATTCACTGTCTTAACTTATTCAAAAAACATGAACTGAGTGCCTAGTATGTGCTAAGTATTGTACTGCTCTTGATTAGAACTTTGGTAATTGCTTCAGGAAGTTGCTAATGTAATATATACTACAGTCATCCCCCAATCATGACAATTTAGTGGTCTAATTCCATCAGTATTTTACAGACCTTAATTTACATTTAAAATCTTCAAGTATTACTAAGTTTTGGTGATATCCCATTTTGGAAATAGAAATAGGTCTGATTAAAAAGTTCAACTTTAGAATTCAAGAAGGAATAAATGGTGCTGCAAAGGAAAAATGATTAAAAAAAAACAAAAACAAAAACTGGTGAATGAGTCCCAAGATTTAAGGTGTACAATTTGTACAGATCAGGTGACTAAAATTGGACCAAAAATGTTTAAAAATAGATTTCACAAAATAAAATGAGCAGTCTTTTCCAAAATTCAAAATAATGCTATTATATAATCTGAAAGTTGTAACTTCATGAAAGTGATAGGGAGAAGTTCAAATGTATTCTTATTTAAGTACTGTTTGAAGACTTTATGATACACTAGTTAAAGCAAAACTTACCCGTCTCCCCCCACCCCAAATAAAAACTTTATAGTGAAGATGAAAATTCCTGCATGGCTAAGATTGACATTACCTACCTAAATAGCTTTGGAGGCAAGATACTAAATCGTGTTTTATCCAAAATCTTCCTGATTTTGTTTCTTCCACCTGAAACAGTATTTGCTTTAACTTTCTTACTTCCTTTCTCCTGTGATGTCTGTTCAATATCTCCTGGCACATGCTGGATAGAATGGCGATTACTTTTTTTTTCAGCAATTTTGGGAATATGAGGAACACCAGATTTCTCTTGTTCAGTCCTAAAAAGTAACTCTTTGAACACTGTGGAAATAAAACAAATGTGTCATTTCTTTTCTTCTCTGTAGAAAATTTTTACACCAACAACAAATTTTAAGGATAAATACAGTGATTTTCCATTATTTGAACTTTCGCAGTCTCATTCAACTAAACATTGTCAAGTATTTACCCGTCGTTTAGCAGCTATATCTACTTCTTTCTTTAGTTTTTATACCTGATTATACTTCTGATGTTGCCCAACACTAATACAAGGAAAGTCAGTGGGGGGAAAGGGAAAGGAAGAGGGCAGACTACAGGCAGGTTTGAAAAAAACAGATTCCTATTGAGGTAGTAAGTAATATAACACTAATCAACTAATTTTATAGAAACAAATATTTAGGTTCTATTGTATGTTATTCCTTATAATACAGCTGACCCTTGAACAACATCAGTTTGAACTATGTGGGTCCATTTATACTTGGATTTTTTTCAACCAAACATGGATTGAAAATACAGTATTCTTGGGATGCAAAAACCTGTGTATGGCTCTGAAGAACCAACTGAGAGTCTGGAATATGCACAAATTTTGGTATACATGGGGTGGAGGTCCTGTAAACAACCCTATGCATATACCGAGGGATAACTACATATGTCACTTGAGATGAGACCTCACTACTATAGTCAGGTTCAGATGTAAAATTTAGATGAGAAAAGCTTTGTTGGTCTTTATTTTTACTTTTACCAAAAAACAGTAATTTTGTTTATTTATTTATTGATTGATTTTGAGACGGAGTCTCACTCTGTCGCCCAGGATGGAGTACAGTGGCGCAATCTCAGCTCACTGCAACCTCCACCTTCCGGGTTCAAGCGATTCTACTGCCTCAGCTTCCAGAGTAGCTAGGATTACAGGCACGTATCACCACACTGGGCTAATTTTTGTATTTTTAGTAGAGGTGGGGTTTCCCCATCTTGGCCAGGTTGGTCTCGAACATCTGACCTCAGGTGATTCACCCACTTCGGCCCCCCAAAGTGCTGGGATTACAGGCATAAGCCACCATGCCCAATCTAATTTTGGTAATTTAAATTTGGTAATATATAACGATTCCTCACGGTCACATTTATGAGGCTATGTCATTCGGTAAAGCTGCTAAAAAATATCCATTTCAGTGGTCTGAACTAAACAAGTAAACAACCAATCATATCTTAGACACTGCTTTTTTTTTTTTTTTTTTTTTTTTTTTTGAGACAGAGTTTCGCTCTAGTTGTCCAGGCTGGAGTGCAATGGTACAATCTCGGCTCACCACAACCTTCGCCTCCTGGGTTCAAGCGGTTCTCCTGCCTTGGCCTCCCGAATAGCTGGGATTACAGACATGACACCAACATACCTGGCTAATTTTGTATTTTTAGCAGAGATGGGGTTTCTCCATGTTGGTCAGGCTGGTCTTGAACTCCTGACCTCAGGTGATCTGCCCGCCTCGGCCTCCCAAAGTGCTGGGATTACAGGCATCAGCCACCATGCCTGGCCCTTTTTTTTTTTTCCTTTTTTTGAGAAAGGGTCTCACTCTGTTGCCCAGGCTGCAGTTCAGTGGCATGATCACAGCTCACTGCATCCTTGGCCTTCCTGGGCTCAGGTGATCCTCCCACCTCAGCCTCTTGAGCAGCTGGGATTACAGGAGTGTGCCACCATGCCAGGTTAATTTTTGTATTTTTTTGTAGAGATGGGGTTTTGACATGTTGCCTAGGATGACCTCGAACTTCTAGGCTCAAGAGATCTGCCTGTTTCAGCCTTCCAAAGTGCTGGGATTACAGGCATAAGCCACCGTGCCTGGCCTCAGATATCTATCAAGTCTAACTAAGTCTGGTAAATTACTTCATCCTTAATGAGGGTGCAGGTACATTTGGGAAATTACTTTTTTAGCAATCTATTTGCCTACACCAAATTTTTGCCTTGTGAGGATGGCTACATCTCCTTGGGATAAAGCAAAGATAAATCTGTATAAGGTAAATATCTAGCAGCGATGAGTCATGGCACTGAGGAAGTCTGAATTACAGAGAAATAGTGGTTGTGTATTCTTAGAATAGAGTTAAATGTCTTCAGCTGCATGAGCTGTGGAAGCAAACACTCAGCTTATCATTAGATATAGCTTTGAGCAGTATATGCGGCACCTTTTTTTATTTTTTAAGCTATAAATTATGTAAACATGCCCACTGAAAAATCCAATCACAGAGATTTTTTCTGGAAAACAACAGAAAAGAAAAGCAAGAGTTTCCCATGAAATCAAAGAACTTACAAGTAAGACAGAAATGGATAAAGCCTTAAGAATGGATTAAAACATTTACAACTTGGTATTCACTTGTAAAATCTGGACTGATTTGAGGGTTTCAACAGAAGGACGATATCACATTACCAAAGCACAGTGCAAGTTTATGAAAAGCACATTTTTCTGCTTTCAAAATGATGGAGACTTTTTAGAAGTTACCTTCCATACAGTCTGCATGATTAAAATAAAGTAAAATATTTTTAAAATTTCACGTTATTTTAAGCCATATGGTAATAACATATATATACACACACGCACATGTGTGTGCATGTGTATGTATATATGTACATTTATATATGTATTTTTTGGAAACAGGGTCCGGTGTCACTCTGTCGTCCAGGCTGGAGATCACAGCTCACTGCAGCCTTGACTTTATGGGCTCATGTGATCCTCCCACTTTTGCCTCCAGGGTAGCTGGGACTACAGGCATGTGCTACTGCGCCCAGCTCATTTTTTCTATTTTTGTAGAGATGTGGTCTCACTATGTTTCCTAGGCTAGTCTTGAACTCCTGGGCTCAAACGATCCTTCTGGCTCGCCCTCCCAAAGTGATGGGATTATAGGGGTGAGCCACCACGACCGGCCAATACTTTTTGAATCTAAAATTCAGACATTCATTCATTCAAAAAATATTAACCTATAAATATAGGTCAGGTACTTCACTTGATGTTTGTATAATACTCCTGTTGTGGAACTTACAGTCAGTCTAAGACACATAAAACATAACCAGAGGAACTACTTAAAAGAGCAGGAAAGGGCAATCTTCCTTAAGCAAGTCAGTCACCTTGGAAAAAGAAATCAAAAAGATGAGATTTTAACTAGGCAAAGAAGAAGGATGAGTAATCCTAGGTAGAGAAAATCTCAAGTTCAAAGTCCCTGTGGTAGAAGGGAAGTTCAAGAAAATGAAAATGACTAGAGAACAAGGTAGAGATGAGGCCAGATAATGCTATGCTAAAGTATTCAAATTTTCTGTTGGAGCAACAGGAAAACTTTGAGAGGGCAGATTTCCTTAGTAGTGTGTATATAAGGTAACTGAATTATTTTTAAAAATTGTTAAATTTGACTGGGTGTGGTGGCTCATGCCTGTAATCCCAGCACTTTGGGAGGCTGAGGAGGGCGGATCACTGGAGGTCAGGAGTTCGGGACCAGCTTGGTCAACATGGTGAAACTCCACCTCTACTAAAAACACAAAAATTAGCTGGGAATGGTGGCATATGGCTGCAATCCCAGCTACTCCAGAGGCTGAGACAGGAGAATCGCTTGAACCTGGGAGGCGGAGGTTGCAGTGAGCCGAGGTTGAGCCACTGCACTCCAATTTGGACAACAGAGCAAGACGACTCTGCCTCAAAAAAAAAAAAAAAAAAAAAAAAAACTGTTAAATTTCTCCACTGGACCTGAGTATGTAATTATAAGTAAAAATGTGTGGAGCTTGTAGTTTGTTTTAAAGAAGAGAAACGATTGTGTTAAATTTAAAAAAATAGGAACAAAAATGAAAGGATAACGAGCACACATAGTTACAATGCTATTAAACAGCAGTATCAGACATTGTACATAAACCAAAAGTAAAAGTGCCAAAGAATCTATAAAAGCTTAAATTTGACTACATAAAAACTAAAAATGTCTCTCTTCTTACATACATGTATATGAGTTCACAAACACAAGGAACAAAAGTCAAAACACAAACCACTTGCGGAAAATACTTTCAACTTTTCAACTCTTTAAAAAGAGTTGAAAAAAAAAAAGAGTGTCTTGGCCGGGTGCAGTGGCCCACGCCTGTAATCCCAGCACTTTGGGAGGCCGAGGTGGGTGGATCACGAAGTCAGGACATTGAGATCATCCTGGCCATCACGGTGAAACCCCGTATCTATTAAACAATACAAAAAATTAGCAGGGTGTGGTGGTGGGCACCTGTAGTCCCAGCTACTCAGGAGGCTGAGGCAGGAGAATGGTGTGAACCTGGGAGGCGGAGCTTGCAGTGAGTGGAGATTGTGCCACTGCACTCCAGCCTGGGCGACAGAGCGAGACTCCATCTCAAAAAAAAAAAGACTTTATAGAAAATAAATGCCAAAACACACAAAAAAGGTGCTCAACCTTACTTGTTATTAAATAATGTATATCGAAATTTAAAAGGCTGATTATACCCACGGCAGAGGCTTTTTTTCTGACACAGAGTCCTGCTCTGTTGCCAGGCTGGAGTGCAGTGGTGCGATCTCGGCTCACTGCAACCTCCACCTCCCAGGTTCAAGCGATTCTCCTGCCTCAGCCTCCCGAGTAGCTGGGACTACAGGTGCCCGCCACCACGCCCAGCTAATTTTTGTATTTTAGTAAAGACAGGGTTAGCCAGGATGGTCTTGATCTCTTGACCTCGTGATCTGCCCGCCTGGGCCTCCCAAAGTGCTGGGATTACAGGCATGGGCCACTGCACCGGGCCAAGACACTCTTATACACTGATGAATGAAGCATAGATTGTAATAAAACTTTCAGAAAGTAAAACCCTGTAGTGTCTGTCAAAAGTAATTCCACTTTGAGAAATTTATCATATAGATGGATTATATGAGCATAAAAGTACAAAGAATTTTTATTATATCTCTGTTAATAGCAAAAGCTATAAACAATCTAAAATATCTAGCAATATGACATTAACTCAACAGATTATGGTGATAATAGAATTCTATGTAATAATAAAAATTATATAACAAGTAGGTCTGTATGAACCAATGTGAAATGGCACAGAATATTGTACACAGTATGGTTCCACTGTATATCTATTTTTAGTATTTTAGTTTTCAAAATACATGCACGTATTACTTTTATTAAAACTTAAAAAGACAAGTTATCTGAGAAATGGGATTTTGGGATTTAGAGACAGAGTCTTACTCTGTTGCCCAGGCTGGAATGCAGGGACACAATCACAGCTCATTATAGTCTTGAATTCCTGGACTCAAGTGATCTTCCTGCCTCAGCCTCCCAAGTAGCTGGGACTACAGGTGCACGCTACCATGCCCAGCTAAATTTTGGTGTTGTGCAGAGACCAGGTCTCACTATGTTGCCCAGGCTGGTCTAGGAACTCCTAGCCTCAAGTGATCCTCCTACCTCAGCCTCCTAAAGTGCTAGAATTACAGGCATGAGCCACCATGCTTGGCTAGAAGTGGGATTTTTATTTTATTATTTTTTTTTGAGACAGAGTCTCGCTCTGTCACCAGGCTGGAGTGCAGTGGCGCGATCTCGGCTCACTGCAAGCTCCGCCTCCTGGGTTCACATCATTCTCCTGCCTCAGCCTCCTGAGTAGCTGGTACTGCAGGCGCCCACCACCACGCCCGGCTAATTTTTTGTATTTTTTTAGTAGAGACGGGGTTTCAGCATGTTAGCCAGGATGGTCTCGATCTCCTGACCTTGTGATCCACCCGCCTTGGCCTCCCAAAGTGCTGGGATTACAGGCATGAGCCACCGCACCCGGCCTAGAAGTGGGATTTTTAAAGATATTAGAAAGCTGAGGAAGCCAAGAGGAATAGATTAATTAAAATTCCAGAATAGGAAGAGAGTAAACTGAGATTGCCAGCTGTTTTCTTCTCTGGGTGTATTTGCTTAATCTAAACGTGAGGTGTGGGTCAGGTAGAGGAACTCTTCGAGGAGAAAGAGAACTTCAGATGGCTGTGAGTGCTTGCATGGAAACTAGAATACAATGAAGCCTAAAAGCAGTGTCACTTTTCTCGACAGGACAATTGCTATTAGTAGGAGTTCCCTTTTCTCACTCCTTAAGCCAGGCCTCTCCTGAGTACTGTACCACAGTAGTCACATCCAGGTTTCAGGTTGCCTTGAGTCCAACCTAGGGCATACTAGAACTAAAATAATAGTGAATTCATTGCTGGTGGCGGTACTTTGAATTACGGTATTCTTTTGTGAATTGCCTGTTGCTATTTGCTGTTCAGAGTTCTCAAATAAGTGGGACACGATTCTGTCCAGGTTTACTACTAAGCTCAGTGGGAGATGAAGGGTGGTGTGTGTTTACTCCATCTTATCTGGAAATGGAACACTTAATTTGATTTTTATCTTCATGGACATAAGATAGCAAACTTACAATCTGTGTCTGATATTCTGAAGCACCTGTGCTTCTGTTTCTGTTGGTTCTGGTTCATACTGACTTTTAAGAGTAGCTCATAATCTTTGCTTGACTCTGTTTTTAAAAAAACTATTTTTAGAAATAACAAGTTGCTGTTAGTATCCTCTAAAGAAGATATTTATTTTCTTTTGTCAGGCACCTGTAATCTAAATCCAGGGCCAAAACAATAAGTTTTCCTGGGTCACCTAGATGGTCAGTTAGGTACAGCGCACATCCACCTCAGACAGAGCTTTTCAAAGTCTCAATCCTAACGAAGGTTGTAATGCTATAGTTTTGGGCACTGAACTACAAACCTGTAAGTTTATCAAGGAGCTCCTCTCAGTTGTATTCTATGGATGGGAAAATGGCCCTGGAAAAAAAGACGTCACTTTGGGATATGGTCCCAGGAGTGGGAAAAGGCTTTGACACATCCAGAGTTTTTCACTATCTTTTTGGATTGTTATGTTTGTTTATAGTTTTTCATATTTAGTCTAGCTCTTTTAAGTTGTCTTCAGTCAATACTGGAAGTAGAAAGTTGACACAAGTTCTGTTTAACACATTTTCCTCAGCTCATAGTAAGGCCTTTGAAATATGAGTCACACCTTTCTTTTACTCTGGGATATTCTCCGCTATTATTTCCTACATATCTTCTTCCTCACATTTTCTTTTGGATATCCTGGAATAGAGCTTAATTTTACTTTGTCTTTTTGTTCCACAGTCTGGGAGATTTTTCTCAACTTTATTATCTATTCTTTCAAATGAATGTTTTTGTCTGTAAGTTATTTCTTTCTCAATGATTGTTGTTTATTCTTTCCTAATATCCTGTTCTTGTTTCAACGGATAAATTTTTTTTTTTTGAGACGGAGTCTCGCTCTGTCCCCCAGGCTGGAGTGCAGTGGCGCAATCTCAGCTCACTGCAAGCTCTGCCTCTCAAGGGATAAATTTTTAAATTGCTCTGTGCAGCGTTCTAGAAATGTTTTTCTTCTCTTCTTTAAATATTTTCTTCAGAATGTGTAAGATCACTCATTAGGTCTCTACCACACCCTCTCAATGATCCTGATTCTCCTTATGCTTGGTGATCCCTGAACGTCGGCTTTAAGTAATATAAAAGGACCAAGAATGGTTTGCTCTGGTATTGTGTCTGGAGTTGGTTCCTTCCGGTGGGTTCTTGGTTCGCTGACTTTCAAGAATGAAGTCGGGGACCTTCATGGTGACTGTTACAGCTCTAAAAGATGGTGTGTCTGAGGTTTGTTCCTTCAGATGTGTCCAGAGTTTCTTCCTTCTGGTGGGTTCGTGGTCTGGCTGACTTCAAGAATGAAGCCGTGGACCTTTGTGGCCAGTGTTACAGCTCTTAAAGGTGGTGCAGACCCAAAGAGTGAGCAGCAGCAAGATTTATTGTGAAGAGCAAAAGAACAAAGCTTCCACAACATGGAAGGGGACCCGCAGGTTGGCCCTGCAGGCTGGGGTGGCCCGCTTTTATTCCCTTATTTGTCCCTGCCTACGTCCTGCTGATTGGTCCATTTTACAGAGTGCCGATTGGTCCATTTTACAGAGTGCTGACTGGTGCATTTACAATCCTTTAGCTAGACACAAAGCACCGATTGGTGCATTTTTACAGAGTGCTGATTGTGCATTTACAATCCTTTAGCTAGACACAGAGCACTGACTGGTGCGTTTTTACAGAGTGCTGATTGGTGCATTTACAATCTGTAGCTAGACAGAAAAGTTCTTCAAGTCCCCACTTGACCCAGGAAGTCTAGCTGGCTTCACCTCTCAGTATCACTGAACAAATGTCTTCTGGTCACAGCTTTCCTTTTTGTAGCTCTCCAGACTGCAAGTTTGATACAGGATGACCTAACTGCTCAACTCTACTTCATGGAATGCCAGAGTTATTAGGGATTTATTATGGGCATCCCCACATCTAGAGTAAAATGCTCCATTTCTACAAATATTTTACAAATATTCTGTTGTAATTTAATAGATAAATTAAAATTCCAGAATAGAAAGAGAGTAAACTGAGATTGCCAGCTGTTTTCTTCTCTGGGTGCATTTGCTAAATCTAAACACGAGGTGTTTAGCTTTCTCCTTGGTGTTTTGCTTTCCATCTAGGGTAAGGAAGAAAGAGCTGACTGCTATGTTCCCCCTTTGTGGCACCATGTAACTTCTATCCTCTGCCATATCCAACCTAGGGTTCTGTTGGCCAACTGCTTTCCCACTACTCAAAGGGTTCTGAGGGTATGGCTTCTGTCTTTTGCATCCTTCAGATCTACTTTTTCTGTATCCCAGAGTTCATGGGGGTTCACACTATCTCTGTATTTTTATTATTTTTATTCAGAATATTTAATACCAGTTAGTAATCTTTATGTGACTGGTACAAAAGGTTTAAAGGTATTAGATGGTTAGAAGAAACCTAGGAAACAGTGCTAGAGAAATTGAAGCTTGGAAAGACTAAATAATTTGCTCAAAGAGAGCAAGTCCTGCTTTCATATTTTTCGAAACCGGAAATCTCTTTCGTTTAACCTAAAAGTTGGCATTTCTAGATACTAGTACAAACTCCAGGAAATCAAAAAATTCTGAGGGCTTACTTACTTATTCTATGCTAAAGTAACATAACACTAAATTGCCAATTGACAGTTATATACCAGATTTAACATGATGTAATTCAGTCAAAGGGACTCAAAAAGAGGAAAAAAACCCGTTTCATTTTTCATTATGATTAAGCACAATATAAAAAAGCCAAAGTGAAAAAAATAAAACTCACACTTTCTTTCCATAGGCATAGCTTTTAAAGCCAATTCTTACTTCTCAAATTGTAACCTAAACAACCTAGAGAGATTGTTTTCCTCCCTACTTCATAAGGACTCTTAAATTTTCTTTGATATTTCAATTGCTATATGATTTTACTGTTACTCTTTTCAGAATTTCTGCAAAAATCCTAAAGTGTCTAAGGCAATCAAATGACAGTATATCTTTCCTACACGTTTAAAAAAACAAACAGTAGATTTGGTTAAAAGTATGAGCTTAGTCACTGATTTAAATATAAACATGATAAAAACACAACAGAGGCACTGTAATCATTTTTCCACACAAAGGTAGAATATGTTTTTATTAGAAATCTGTAATTTACTGAGTACTCGAGTCAATGCTTTACTCAGTTTATTTCCATAAAACAGCTAATCTGGCATTCATATTACTTCAGAAAGCTAGCTTAAAGATTAGAAGTAGACTGATTTGCACACTAGCTGGGGGAAAACATGCCTGCTTATAACTCCTTAGTTTTATTCAGGTTATTCTACATTTCATTCAGTATCCCTCCAGCAGAGTATATAATATATGCTCAGTAGGAATTTTATAAATGACTAACTGTAGCTATACACCTATTTTAAAACTTACTTTTTATCAAAATAATTAAAAACATAATGAAAAATGAAAATTCTAGAATACACAACAGTTCAACACAAAAGATTCTGAAACTAGATTAAGAGCTTAGACAAAAACATGTATACATTTTACTATCTTTTTTTCCACTGCAATGACTTTTCTATTACCAAATTAAGAAGAAAGAGTTCAGGCAATTTTTACAACAAAACTCACCAAAAATGTTGGTCTTCACAGTAAGTGCAAGATGAGTATTATTCCTCAAAATTTCAAGGGCTTTCATAAATGTAATATTCTCAAAGTTTTGTCCGTTTACTTCCATAATCTCAAGAGAAAAGTATTTAAAAAATACCAATTAGTACAGAACAGTATTAGTTACTCCTACCACCTTAAAAGTTTGTTAGTGAATAAATAAAATGAAACTTGAATAAAATGTACTCCTATGTGAACAACAGTTATCTCTGTGAGAATTTGGACTACTGTATTTCTTTTTCTCTACATTGTTGTATTTTCCAAATTCTTTACTATAAACATTTTTTAAAATTAATGCCCTCTAGGATCACACTGAGGAAATTTTAAAAATACCCACACCAGATGGTTTATGAAGGAAAAAAATTAATCATGGCAGGTCAGCTCATAAAAATTATTGCCTGCAAATGTATATACAAATTTGTCAAATATTCTCAATGTAAATTTACTGCATTTCAAAGAGAGGTAATTCTTTTAAAAGGAGTACTCTAAATATATTTAATATGATTTTCTGCCACTGATTGAATCAGGCAGCCAAATAGCAAGAAGCACAACTGAAATGGGTTCTTCTTCCAGGTAAACACTGCTGACCCTTCACAACAGGGCTTCCCCAATTTGGCTGTACCTCAGAATCACAGAAGCAGTTTATTTTAAGAAGTACTGACTCTAAGGGAAAAGGATAAAAAAATTTAGCAAAAACTAGTCAAAAACTAGTCAGAACAGAGAGTGGATCTAGGGGATCAACATAAAAATTTCAAAAGAATAAGAAAAAGAGTGAAAAAAATATTAGGGAAAGGAAAAAAAAATTCCATAGAAGTAAAATTCCCAGAGTTGAAAAAAGACTTGCATCTATGCACTAACATGTCTTATCTAGTACCATGCAAAATAAAAAGACATGTTTTTAAAAACATATCCCAATGAAATTTCTGTGTTCCAAGGAGAAAGAATAAAGTATCTATAAACATCATTGTGGGAAGATAACCCAAAGGTACCTACAAAAAACTCTTGCAAAGAGTTTGGACTTCTCTTGGGCAACGTTAAGTTGATGTGATAACTTTCTGTGACTTTAGTGTTCTGAGGGAAAAGTCACTGTTGGAAAAAGATGTTATACTCCATTGAACACAAGTATCTTCAGGAAGGCAAGAACATATAATACTATATCACCCATCTGTTCCTTAAAAAAGTACTAAAAGTACCACCAAAGATAACTGAAATGAATTGAAATAATGGAGATATACAGTGCAAATGAAATGGAAGTGATCAATGAAATCAGTTAAACAAGTGTAAATTTCTAAATGCTTGTTTAAAAGCTTATGAAACTTAATGCAAATGTCAAAAGCCTTCTTGAAACAGAAGATACATAATGTTAAAAAATAACAATAATAATGTAGATCTAAAATCTCAGATCATTTCAGCAGTAGTTGTGAAGATTGAAGGAAGAAGTAAAAGCATGATAAATTTCATTCTCAGGGATGATTTCACTAGTGCGCGCGCATGTGTGTGTGTGTGTGAAGAATTAGATTATTAAATGTGTCTGTGATACAAATAACTGAACAACAAATATACTGACTCCAGGATCCTAGCTGTTAGACATTCCTAATGAGTAGTCTGGGGTAAGGCCCAGAAAACTCTACTGTGGAAGCTGTCCTGGGAATTGTATGCTGTTTAGCAGCATCCTCAGCCTCTGTCCACCAACATGCCAGTAGTAATCCCCAAGTCATAATAATAAAAGATATCTGCAGACATTGCCACTAGTTGAGAACCACTGTTCTAGAGTGTAGAACCTTTCATAATATGAATGAGCTCATAATTTAAAAAAAATTATAGCATGGCTCAGTTAAAATAAAGCCACATTCTAAAATGAAAGAACAAAATTTTAAATGGGGAAAAAGCAAGTTTCCTAAATGATTCTGATGATCAGGCAGATTTGGGAGACCACCCTTTGAAGTACATGAGAATCATCTAGAGCAGAGGTTCCCAACTGCCAGGACACAAACCCATGGCCTTTTAGGAACTGGGCCACACAGCAGGAGGTGAGCAGTGGGCCAGTGAGCATTACCACCTGAGCTCCGCCTCCTGTTAAATCAGCAGTGACATTAGATTCTCATAGGAGTGTGAACCCTGATGAGAACTGCAAATGCAAGGGATCTAGGGCACTCCTTATGAAAATTTAACGTCTGACTGCCTGATGACCTGAGGTGGATCAGTTTCATCCAAAAACCATCTCCATCCCCCCAGCTCCAACTCCCTGGTCCGTGGAAAAACTGTCTTCCACAAAACTGGTCCCTGGTGCCAAAAAGGTTGGGGACCACTGATCTAGAGAGTTTTGTTAAAAATACAGATGTTCAGACATCATTGCTTAAGAATGTGGTCAATATAATTAACAGGATTGAGAAAAGACTGGGAATTGCATTTTTTATGTAACAAAGTTGCCAGCAAGTCACATTTGGAATAGGCTGCTCTATACTTTCCTAATGCCTACACTAAAAAAATAAATCACCATCAAATTCCTAAGAGTGTCTTTTTTCCTAGTCCCCCATTTGGCTCACTTTGCTTGTGGATATAGTTATGTTACCATATGAACATAATTTAATGATTACCATAACCTTCAGTAATCTGCAGCCACTTACATTTGAGAGTGCTATGAGGTAGAAGTCCTGTCTCCTTCAAAACTTGCAAGGGTGCTAATTCATATATTGATCGTTCTGGAGTATTCTCAAGTTGCCAGCTTATAATCCATGAAGGATAGGCAGGCCCATTCAAAGGAGGTCATGTTGATAGAGCTCAGTAGACCATGTTATTTCTGGTCACACTACACCAAATTTTCCATTAAAAGTAATAAATATATGACAAATACATTTTAAAAATAAACCATGTGCAGATACTACCTCTAAAAAAAAGGCTCAGAAAAATATTTCCTTAAACTGATCATGCTTTCTGGAAGATGAGAACAAAAGCAGCAGGCACAATACTTTTAAGACGGCTTGAATATAAGTGGTTGGTTATCTACTTACCTGATCACCACGTTTCAGTCCTGAATCAGCAGCTTTGCTACCAGGTTCTACTCCTTCAACAAAAATACCAAATCCCTTCTCACTTCCTCCATTAAGGCTGAATTGTAGAGGGGACTCGCGGGAAGCCTTCTGCAGCACAACCTGTCTCCACTTAGCCTTTGCAGCACAGGCAATATTCAATAACCGGAGATGACCATTCATCTTCTGTAAAGCAGAAAAGGGTAAATGTATATAAATGTATCTATTCCTACAGGTTTTTAAAAAGTCACCTAAAATTATTAGAATTAGAGTTATAAATATACATGTATAAGCTGAGGTAAACAAAACTGAAGAAGGGGGCACTCCCACTCCAAAGCACTCTCAATGAGATTTCTTAATATGATTATAAGACCTTTAAATTATCATAGGTTAAAAAAGATTTCCAAGCGATGTCTCAATTACAGAGAGATGACAAAAAATTACTTATAATTTCTTAAACTTTTCTTAATACACACTCTTCTCCCACCTTGCTTATCTCCTGGCTGTTATATAAAACCAGAATCTTTAAAACCTTTATTCAAAACCTTGAACGACTTGAACCACCTTTTCAAATACTGTCCAATGTTCAAAGAAACATTCAAGTTTTTACCTCGTCCAGAAAAGACTTCCTTCTTGTATTATTTTAGCTCTTCCTTAAACTCAGTAATAGTCTGACTTCCAGTTCTAATTCCAGTTTCAATTATCTCAAATAGTGTTAATATGTGCAAATCTCATGTCAATAACAAAAAGCTAAAGTTTTATTTTTTTTAAAGCAGTCACCAAGTCTTAATATTTGTTCTGATCCTACATTAATGCCTTTGAGTATAAAGTAGAATGCAATGAATACCTGATGGTTAACTGACTAGTGGAAAAAAAATCCCATAACTTTTTTTCCACACTCTGATGTCCCTTGAATATTTACACAACCAACACAGAATGAGTCAAATGATAGTGGAGTACCTCTATAACCCTTTAAACAAGTTCCCAGTGTTGTTCACTCTCCCCATTTTATATAGAGCACATGTGCTGCTGAGAAGTCAACAGGAACCACGGAGTAACGAAAGGGACCAGATTTGTCAATTTTTCCCACTTCATTCAACTCAATCCACTTATGCTCTGTAACTAATAATTACAGCTCTTGAGCATTTGCTATGTGACAGGTTTTGTGTACAGACTGTTATGCTTATCAGCTCATTATAATCCATACAACAATCTCAATGAACTAGGAACTACTATCTTTACAAATAACACAACTCAGGCATAAGATCAGGCAATCTGTCTGAGTTTACAACTCTAGCAAATGGTGGAGCTTGAACTGTACTAGAAAATTCTAGCATGGTCTGGATGCAGAACTGGAAAATAAAATAAAATAGTTTGATTTGGCTATAATCTAGGGTACACAGGAAAAAGGGCAAAAAGGTAGGCAAGGGATCTGAATATATGGGGGAGGAACTGCTTTGGTAGTAAGTATAGTTTACTGACAAAGAGAATAATAGTCATCACACGTGTGTTTTAAAAGCAATCTTTTGGCCACACAGAATGAACTAGAAGAGCAACTAGAACTAGGATCAGTTAGCAGGTTATTATAACAGATCAGATATAATGAAATAATTAAGCCCTAAACTAGGCAGTAAAAAAGAAATGGCTGAGAGAGACCATAAGAAAATATGTGAACATACAGGTATATGACTAAATCAGTGACCTAGGTGACTTTAGCAACTGACTGGAAATCCTGGCCAGGGAATTCAAGAGAGTGAGGGTACACATATAACACCACGTTTATAAGCCTGGTGACTAAGAGATAAGAATGTCATTAGTCTTAATACAGAAATGGAAGAGTAGGACCGGGCACGGTGGCTCACGCCTGTAATCTCAGCACTCTGGAAGGCTGAGGCGGGCAGATCACGAGGTCAGGAGTTCAAGACCAGCCTGGGCAATATGGTGAAACCCTGTCTCTGCTAAAAATACAAAAACTAGCTGGGCGTGGCGGCACGCGCCTGAAGTCCCACCTACTCAGGAGGCTGAGGCAGGAGAATTGCTTGAACCCAGAAGGCGGATATTGCAGTGAGCCAAGACTGTGCCACTGCACTCCAGCCTGGGCAACAGAGCGAGACTCCGTCTCAAAAAAAAAAAAAGAAAAAAAAGAAATGGAAGAGTCAGGAAGGAGTGTAAATGTTGTTTTAATTGGGGTGGCAAAGAATAAATGAACAAAAGTCTAAAATACAGATTTGGAAGTTCTAAGAATGGACATTTAAGACAAAGGAGATGAAAGCTACTGCTGTTCTGAGTTTGCTGGTGTTGGGGGTGGGGAAACCACGACACTCTGAAGACTATAAATTATTTTTAGCCTTACTGTATCTTCCAGATTTTTTTCAAATTCCTCTAGAAATCGAGTCATAGCAGGGTCACCTTCAAAATCATTAAAATGATTATTTACCCATAATAATACAATCCGTGTCACCTGTGGAAACATAAATAGGCAGCATACGGTTATAAGAGGCATTCCTTCTGCAAAACTAGATTCTAAAAGCATGTCTAAAACTAAAACTCATGAAGAACTGATAACCCTCTTGATTCCTCCCTTTGTAAAAAAGGCTCATTCTAATAGAAAGGCATGGCTTAGTTTGAGCTTTTGCTTCCCTGTGTACAGAAGTAACAGAGCCAGGATTCTGTCCACTCAGTGAGAAGACACAAGCCTGTTTGTTAAGATAAAAGAAGTACACAGAATATCTATTCAGGTAGCACCTTAAAATGCAAACTTCATGTCATAAAGCAGGCAATCCTATCAATCAAAAATCCATATCAAAAGCGTTTCCATGGTCAAGAACATGTTTAACCAAAATTGTAACAAAAACAAATCTGAGTCTTGTGCGGTGGCTCACACCTGCAATCCCAGCAACTCAGGTGGCTGAAGCAAGGAGGATCCCTTGAGTCCAGGAGTTTGAGACCAGCCTGGGCATAGCAAAACCCTGTCTCTATAAAAATTAAAAAACAAAACAAAAACTCTTACAAATCTGAAACTTCTTTCATTATAAACACTGTAAATTTTCAAACTGCAGAATCGTTTACTTTGCTCAAGAAAAGTTAAACATTAAGCTGATTTGAATAATGTGCCTAACAATGTAAGGAATGAGCCATATTTTTTATGTGGTAGAATCCACATAAAATTCACTATTTTAATGATTTTAAAGTTCATAATCCAGTGGCATTTAGTACCTTAACAATATTGTGTAACCATCACCATTGTCTAGTTCTGAGTTCTGGAACATTTTCATCACTCCAAAAGAAAACCTCAAACTCATTAAGCATTCGCTTACCATTCTGCCCTCTCTCCAGCCCCTGGCAGCTACTAGTCTGCTTTTCTGTCTATTTGTCTGTCCTGGCTATGCCACATAAATAGAATCATACAATACCTAGTCTTTTGTGACTGGCTTCTTTTACTTAACTTAATGTTTTCAAGGTTCATCATGGTATAGTAAAGTATTAGTACTTCTTTTCTTCTTATGGCTGAATAATATTTTATTGTATGGCTATACCACATTTTGTTTATCCACGATGGGCATTTGGGTCATTTGGCTATTGTCAATAGTGCTGCTACAAATATTTATGTGCAAGTTTTCATTTGCACACGTGTTTTTCATTCTTTGGGTATATACCTAGGATTAGAATTGCTGGGCTATATGGTAACTCTATGTTTAACTTTTTGAAGAACTGCTCAAACTGTTTTTCCACAGAGGTAATACCATTTTACATTCCTATCATCAATGTGTGTAGGGTGGGGGTGGGGAGGCGGGTTCAATGTCTCCATACCGTAGGCAACGTCTGTTACTTTTTCTTTCTTCCCCCTTTTTAAAAGCCATCCTAGTGGGTGTAAAGTGGTATCTCATTGAGGTTATGACTGCATTTCTCTATGATTAATGATGTTGAATCAAGATGGATTCAAGACTTAAATGTTAGACCTAAAACCATAAAAACCCTAGAAGAAAAACTAGGCAATACCATTCAGGACATAGGCATGGGCAAGGACTTCATGTCTAAAACACCAAAAGCAATGGCAACAAAAGTCAAAATTGACAAATGGGATCTAATTAAACTAAAGAGCTTCTGCATAGCAAAATAAACTACCATCAGAGTGAACAGGCAACCTACAGAATGGGAGAAAATTTTTGCAATCTACTCATTTGACAAAGGGTTAATATCCAGATCCTACAAAAACTCAAACAAATTTACAAGAAAAAAACAAACAACCCCATCAAAAAGTGGGCAAAGGATATGAACAGACACATCTCAAAAGAAGACATTTATGCAGCCAACAGACACATGAAAAAATGTTCATCATCACTAGCCATAGAGAAATGCAAATCAAAACCACAATGAGATAACATCTCACACCAGTTAGAATGGCGATCATTAAAAAGTCAGGAAACAACAGGTGCCAGAGAGGATGTGGAGAAATAGGAACACTTTTACACTGTTGGTGGGACTGCAAACTAGTTCGACCATTGTGGAAGACAGTGTGGCGACTCCTCAAGGATCTAGAACTAGAAATACCATTTGACCCAGCCATCCCATTACTGGGGATATACCCAAAGGATTATAAATCATGCTGCTATAAAGACACATACACACGTATATTTATTGCAGCATTATTCACAATAGCAAAGACTTGGAATCAACCCAAATGTCCATCAATGATAGACTGGATTAAGAAAATGTGGCACATATACACCATGGAATACTATGCAGCCATAAAAAAGGATGAGTTCATGTCCTTTGTAGGGACATGGATGCAGCTGGAAACCATCATTCTGAGCAAACTATCGCAAGAACAGAAAACCAAACGCCGCATGTTCTCACTCATTGGTGGGAACTGAACAGTGAGAACACTTGGACACAGGAAGGGGAACATCACACACCGGGGCCTGTTTTGGGGTGGGAGGAGTGGGGAAGGATAGCATTAGGAGATACACCTAATGTAAATGACAAGTTAATGGGTGCAGCACACCAACGTGGCACATGTATACATATGTAACAAACCTTCACGTTGTGTACATGTACCCTAGAACTTAATAGTATTAAAAAAAAAAAAAAAGAAGAAACCAAAAAGAACAAGACTAACAGATATGACTACATTAATATGTGAAACTTGTTTCTGGTAAGTGATAACATAAACAAACAAACAAAAAAAAGATATTGAACATCTTTGTCATGTGCCTGTTGGCCATTTACATATCTTCTTTGGAGAAATGTCTATGTAAGTCCTTGGTCCATGTTTAAACTGTGCTGTCTTTTCGTTGTTGAGTTATAAAATATCTTGGATATTAAACCTTTATCAGATATATAATTTTCTCTTATTCTGTGCAATGTCTTATCTTTCTTGACAGTGTCCTTTGATGCAAAAATAATTTTAATTTTGATGAGGTCCAATTATCTATTTTTTTCTTTTGTTGCTTGTGCTTGGGTGTCGTGTTTTCATATTTGAGAAACCATCGCCAAATCCAAGGCCATGATAATCTACCCGTATCTTCTCTTTTAAGGCATTATAGTTTTAGCTCTTCTGTCTCTGATCCACTTTGAGTACATTTTTGTTTAGAGTATAAGGTAACAATCCATTTTCATTCTTTTGCACATGGATAATTATTACTAAATCATATTTTTGTTCATTCCCAAAGCACACCTTTTTTTTTTGGCAACTAAAGTAAATATATTTAATTCTAAGAAAAAATGTGAGAGGTGTGCAAGCCTGTAGTTTTAGATGTTAGTCTCCTACATAATTCTGCGGTCTACCTGCAACCAGTTTATTTCCTTTAAAATATAATTCGAAAAGACACACCAGGCAATTATGATCCTACTTTTATTTTCTTGAAACAACTTATTCCTTACCAATTTGTGGAGGTATCACTAGTCTTTTCATTAAATGTACAAACATATCCCATGAAGATAATTTAAAATAATGAACAATAATACAAAAAAAATTCAAAAGGTAGATTTAAATAAGTCACAGGATATATTAAGGTTTGATAAATTGTTTTCAAATGATTATAAATTAACTCAAGAAAATAAATATATTCCAATTTTGAAACTTAAAAGCAATCTGCCCTCTTCAAAAAATGTATTTGATGAATATTCTTTTTAAAATATTAAATCCGTTTTAAAATGTTTTATTGATCTCCAGAAACAATCAAATATTTCGGTAAAATTCTAAAATACTCTCATGTAACTATTATGTTTCCCGAACTTATAGCTATACCAGAGCTTTATTTCACTTTTTGCCTTTTAAGGCTCTCATCCACTTTTAACATGCTATTCTGTCATAAAAGTAAGCAGAGAATGTCTTTCAGATTCACTAATTTTTTTAGGTGTGCTGAATCTTAATATCATAATAAACATGTAATCTATCAACTAAAAAAATTTCATGAATAAAATTTCGGGTTAAAATCACTTTCATTCCCTTTATAAAACCAACCTTATCTCTTAAGCTGTCGATCTTAAACCATTCCAATAGTTTGATCCCAACATCCAAAGGACTTTCAAGAAATGTCCTATAAGTTAATAGAAAATCTTCTATATAAGTTGGATCCACGATAGAATGTTCTTCTATTAAATGCATTATGAGACGCTCAGGTGTTGCCTAAAAATCCAAGGATAGGAAGGATTAGAAAATAAATGACCCAACAACCAAAGAACTACTGTTGATTACTCCCCTTTGTAGCTACTTGATTAGACAAATTGTCAAAGTAGAGTTTCGCCCTTAAATCCTTAGCGCTGGGAGAACTGGAATCCAAACTTAATTGTAATCCACCAGCATCCAGAGGCTGAGAGACAGAAAAGGCAGAGAAATAGACAGCCAACAGCACTCACTCAGCTGAAGCTGTTTTCACTGGCATTTCATCATAGCAGGACCTCTGAACTTCACTAACTTAGCTCTGGTGTGGGCTGTTATTGCCACTTCTCCTACAACCAGGGCATGCACTTACTGTCTCAAGGCAACAAAAGAGGTGAAAGTTAAACTAAAGAAAGAAAGAAAAAAGAAGGAATGAAAGGGAAGAAAGAAAGAAAAAAAGAAAAAAGCAAGCTTTTCTCCAAATTTAATCCACCTCAAAAATCTTTTCTGACCAGGCTGTAGGAAGAACACACCAGTTCAAGAGAGCCTGTATTATTATTATTGGTACTTCCCAGAATAAATGTTTCCTTTTCTACAGTTCCTCTCATACAGTTTCCTCTCCATGCTAGGTCACCATATTGAGAGGAACCAGAAGTTCTACTGACAGTTTTGAAATTAATTCAGAGTTTTAAATGCTTATTTCCAACCTTATAAAAGAATATAAACAGGCCAGGAGCAGTGTGGCTGATGCCTGTAATCCTAGCACTTTGGGAGGCAGAGGCAGGTGGATAACCTGAGATCCAGAGTTCAAGACCAGCCTGGCCAACCTGGTGAAACCCCGTCTCTACTAAAAATACAAAAATTGGCTGGGTGTGGTAGCAGGCACCTGTAATCCCAGCTACTCAGGAGGGTGAGGCAGGAGAATTGCTTGAACCTGGGAGGTGGAGGTTGCAGCGAGCTGAGATCATGCCATTGCACTCCAGCTTGGGCCACAAGAGGGAGACTTTGTCTCAAAAAGAAAAAATATAAACCAACATTTCCATACTGCTCTTCTTTGAGCTTCTGAACCAATGTTTACTACCTTTTGTAGTTTTTTCAAAGGTTGGCACAAGAACAAATACAGAAACAAGATGTTAAGCCTGATATAAAAACCATTACCCATAACACCCAACCTTCAATTTGTTGCATTCATCCATTAGAATAACTGTATGGTAAACATACATTAATACTAACAATGTTCTTTATGTAAGAATTTATTAAAAATAAAAAGGTACCTTATTTATTAAAGGTACTTTATTTATTAAAAGGTAGTTTATTTTTATTTATTTATTTTTGAGACATTGTCTGGCTCTGTTGCCCAGGCTGGAGTGCAGCTGTGTGATCTCAGCTCACTGCAACCTCCGCCTTCTGGGTTCAAGCAATTCTCCTGCCTCAGCCTCCTGAGTAGCTGTGATGACAGGCGTGCACCACCATGCCTGGCTAATTTTTGTATTTTTAGTAGAGACAGGGTTTCACCATGTTGGCCAGGCTGGTCTCGAACCCCTGACCTCGTGATCCACCCTCCATGGCCTCCCAAAGTGCTGGGATTACAGGCGTAAGCCACTGTGCCTGCCCCTATTTTATTTATTAAAAATAAGGTATGAAAATTGTTTCTCTAGAAGGAAGTCAGAAACAACCTCCTTAAGTGATAAGAAAATCATAGGTCATTCCTATTCTCCTATCCTCCAAAACATCCTAAGACTAAGAGTACCAAATTGTTTTATTATTCAGGCCAATCCTGGTTTAGGGTCACTTAATTCCATTTCCTAGAATACCTGAGTGAGAGATGGAAACTGATCAACATGTTAGAGAGGCCATTATTTTGAAGGCAAAATCACAGAGGCAGGGTCCCTATAGAGACTAGGTCACACATTCTAAATTTTATTTAAAGATGAGCCCTTATCTCTTTAGACTAAAATCTATCTTACCTCAAAATGCCCTTGATCCCAGCCATACAAATTTCCTGCTTTTTCTTAAATATATTATGCAGTTTTATATAGCACATGCATATTTCTCTGTCTGGGCCACCCTTCCACCCTATATCTGCTCCTTTCTATTTCTTCTAGCCTAATTTAGATTCCTCTTTTTATGTCTCTCTTGCTCTTCCATCTTGAGATTTATCAAGTTATGCTGAAACTATCGCCTGTCTTTCTCAAAAGACTGTGAGTTCACTGATGGCAGAATCTAAGTATATATTAGTATCTCCCAGATCTCACACAGGGCCTGGCACAGAGTACCATAAAGTCGGTGTTGCTGAATAAATGAAGAAATGAACTGAATGAAGAAATGAATGAAATGAAAAGTAATAACTGCTTTCTGGGTGATTATGAGTAAACAGAAAGTCAAGGCCAAGTGCGATGGCTTACACCTGTAATGCCAGCACTTTGGGAGCCCACCTTGGCCTCCCAAAGTGCTGGGATTACATGTCTGAGGCACCATGCCTGGCCTTGACCTGAGGATCACTTGAGGTCAGGAGTTAGAGATCAGTCTGGCCAAAATGTCAAAACCCCACCTCTACTAAAAATACAAAAACAAACAAACAAACAAAAACAGCTGTGAGTGATGGCATGCGCCTGTGGTCACAGCTACCTGGGAGACTGAGGCACAAGAGTTGCCTGAACCTGAGAGGCAAAGGTTGCAGTGAGCCAAGATCGTGCCACTGCACTCCAGCCTGGGTGACAAAGCAAGACTTTGTCTCAAAAAACAACCACCACCAAAAAAAAAAACCAAAAAAAAAACCCAAATGATCAATCCTTCTATGAGCAAAAGATGGTTATGATTTGCAATTAAATCTGAATGTGAGGATTGTGGTACAGTAAAAATAATACATTTTCAATATTTCTGTCACAAAAGCAACCCATCATCATGCAATCAGAATCTGGAAACATTTATTTTAAGGTGTATATAAACTCATGGCAAATTTATGTTCAAGTATTTTCAATGTTCTTAACTTTCATTTAAAAAAATCAACACAGTGTTCAAAATCTATTGTAAAATATATTAGAAGGTAGGATGCTGGGAGACAGGGTGCACAGAGGTAGCAAACAGAAGAGATGGCTGGTGTTGTTATACTGGCATGGTAGAAACTGCTTACAATGAGCAAATAATACACAGGGTATAACAAGAGGCACTGCTGGAGAAGGTATTTACAAATATAGAAGGGAAAAGACTAGGAAAAACTGTGGTGCTGGTACTGGAACTGGAATTACAGGTAGTAGTGGAATTGTAACTCATGGTTGTTTAATATATATATAAAATTATAGATGTGTATGTATTTATAACAAATACATACATATATTTCCTAGCTCTGATGAAAGACTCTAATAAAAGCAATGACACTTCAGTAGCAATGAATACAGTGAATGCCCAGATCTTGGTTTATAAATACTACATTTGATTAGAAAGATTCAGGGTCTTCTTGAGACATGGCTAATTACAGAGCTGGTACAGTTAAGTTCACAATGAGCCTTATTATTTGCCAGATTATACAGACGTGCTCAAATGACGGGGATACGTCAAAAAATACAGGAGTCAGTTTAAGAGTCCCACTACCTAAAATCTGGGACAATTTGAGGATTAGAATAATAATGATGGTAACATAAGTTTATACCAATACAAATAAATTAATGAAGAATAGACAGTTCATTCCTACAATAAAATGAGTTAATGCACAAGAAATTATTTTTAAAATCACCATTTCAGACAAGAATAGTAATGGAAGTAAAAAGTGGTGAACAGAAGTTTGTACTCAGTGAATACTATACATAAGCTAAAAGTCTGAGGGTAGTATTTTGATTCTGTCAGAACATCTCTCCACCAAATATTTATCAGTTACAAAGGGTAAAATGATGACTTCACACTGAAGAAACTGGGCAGACAGACACCAACTTGATCAGGTAATCATGGCTAACTTCACCACTGGTAGGACAACAGGTTGACATTGTGTGCCCTCTGAGTTTTGTGAACTCCTGCCAGGAAAGCACAACTTGAATCTATCTGGTCCTGAGGAAATACTGGAAAGATCCAGGTGGAGGGTAATACTACAGGATGTAAGATCTGTATTCTTTAAAACTGCTAAGGATATTAACAACAGTGAAGGACTGAGGAACTCGTATAGACTGAAGTGACATGACAACTAAATGCAACTGTGTTCTTGGACAACATTCTAGACCAGAAATAAGTTATTATTGGGATAGTTGGTGAAAATCTAAATAGGGTTTCTAGACTGAGTCCGTTTTTTGTTAGTTTGTTTGTTTGTTTTTGAGACACAGTCTCCCTCTGTCACCCAGGCTGGAGTACAATGGTGTGATCTCGGCTCACTCCAACCTCCGCCTCCTGGGTCCAAGCAATTCTCCTGCTTCAGCCTCCCAAGTAGCTGGGATTACAGGCAGCCACCACCACGCCTGGCTAATTTCTGTATTTTTAGTAGAAATGGGGTTTCACCATGTTGGCCAGGCTGGTCTTAAACTCCTGACCTCAAGTGATCCGTCTACCTTGGCCTCCCAAAGTGCTGGGATTACAGGCGTGAGCCACCATGCCCGGCCCTGAATGGTTTTATTTTAGCAATGTTTACTTCCTAACTTGAAGGATTCTATGGTGTTTATGTCAGAGAGTGTCCTTGTTTTTAGGAAATAAACAACAAGATATTTAGGAGTGATGAGCCATCACATTTGCAGACTGCTCTCAAATGGTTCAGAAAAAGACTGATAATGGAGCAAATGTGGTGAAAATATTAACAGTTGAGGAATCACTGACAGATCTCTCTACTGTTCTAGAAACTTTTCTGTAAGTTTGAAATTGTTTAGAAATAAATTACTGAAACACATGAGTCCTCACAAAAAGATAAAAATGAATTAAAATGAAAAAGTATATGTGTAAGCCTATGGCATTCCACCAATATGTTAATCATTTCTACATACAAAGCTTACACTCATCTGTTTAGGAAAAGAAAGATCTCTGCGGAATAGCCTGACTCTAAGGGAAGAAGAAGTATGACATCAGTTTTCAAATTATCTCTCTGACTTAACTCCCTCATATTACTAAGTAAACTGCTTCATCTGCAATTAATAGTGGCAGTAATTTTGCCAAGACTAGTTTGAAAAGAGAAAGTTATGTGTTTATTTCCCCTCTTTCAACTATAATTGTTCAGTTTATATCCAAGTCTTTAAAGAGACAAGGAGGAGAGAAGGTAAACATTAGGAGAGGGCAGAACTTATAGAAGAGAAAACAGTATGGGGGTTAATATTCAGACTCTACAATTGTGCTAAGGCTTTTGATTTACCTCATTTAGCCCTAATAAAGTCTTGAATTACTTCCATATTCAGATAAGAAAAGTGAGGTTCAGAGAAGTTAATGCATATTTCAGTGCCACAGAGATCCAGAAGCACTCTGCATCTTAACCTAGGATTACTTACACTTTTATGGCTGGTCCTTAAATTTTGTTTTGTTTCTAAATATTGTGGTCTTTGATGAAACTGACTCCCACTCGCAGTGGCATACAATATTAAGTTTGAAAAGGAAAACTCTGATTAGTATATTCTAAAATAATACCCTACCTACTCTGATATTAAATGGCAATAAGTCATCCTTCATCATTAAAATGTGTAAAAACCACCTTAGAGGTCGGGCACGGTGGCTCAAACCTGTGATCCCAGCACTTTGGGAGGCCGAGGTGGGAGGATCACAGGGTCAGGAGTTCAAGACCAGTCTGGCCAAGATGGTGAAACCCCATCTCTACTAAAAATACAAAAATTAGCCAGGAGTGGTGGTGCACGCCTGTAATCTCAGCTACTCAGGAGGCTGAGACAGAAGAATCGCTTGAACCTGGGAGGCGGAGGTTGTAGTGAGCTGAGATTGCGCTACTGCACTCCAGCCTGGGTGACAGAGCGAGACACCATCTCAAAAAAAAAAAAAAAAAAAAAAAAAATTTAGAAAAAAACAGAGCGTCAACATTTAAGTTAGATTCCAAAGTGTTAATGAATTATCTTGCACTACTTAAAAAATAGTTTAAAACAAGACGAAAGCTTTATTCTATCAGTGACTAGAATAATAAGTAAAAACACCCACCTTGATTACAATGTGTCCTTTCCTGGTTCCACTCCGGTCTAGTTCCCGATGCTCATGTACCATAACAATTTCTCCCTCTTCCTCAACTTTATGGGTATTTTTTTCCACATGGTTTAAAATTCTCCAATAATCTTGCTGGGCTATGCAGACAAACTGTCCAAGAACAACATGGGGACAATTAATGAACCTATAGTACATAAATATATCACTATGTACCAAAGCAGAGCACAAAGGTAAGAAATCTAGTGGCATTAGTTCTTTTTCACTTAATTCCTTTAATCTTTAACAAAAATCAAGGTGAAACAATTCACATACGAAGAGACTAAAGAAGTCTAATCTGTTTGAATTTCGCTCTTTAAAAGGAGAAGTGAACTACTTCTCTCAAAACTGACACTATGTAAAGAAAACATGAAGCAGGAGTAAGTTAGAAACAAACAACTCAGAAGTTCCTATTTCTTTCCTCTATTTTTTTTAAATAAAGGACTCTGAGCTGGCTAATATCAAAGAGAAATGTAACAAACCAGCATTTATTTGGTGTATCTCTTTTGAAAATTTATAGCTTGTTAAATGCCACAAATATGTGAGGCAGATACAAAATCTAGTTTCCTTTATTAACTGTGAGCTATTGAAACTCCTAATTCTCAAATAAAGCTATTCTCTTTTGAGGAAGACAAAACAGGCTGAGCTACTTTAAATCAACAGACAAGCAAGAAGACTTGACCAAGGAGATAATCTTACCTGACAATCATCTACTTTAGTCCTGACAATTCCATGCATGTACTGCTTATCCAGAGTGGGAGTAATTCCAAAACTATTTCCCATAAACAAATTTTCAACTTTTCCATCTGGATGACTGATTTCCACAGTGCCATTTAAAATAACATACCATGAGTCAAGCTATAGAGAAAAACAAAGGTTTTATGAATCTTTTTTAAAAAGGTAGTTATATATTAACTTTCAAAAAGAATCTAACAATATATATAACTTGAATAATTTAAAAAGGAAAAACGAGGATCTGGTTATATTACTAAATACTCTGTAACACCCTATGCTTTGAGTCTATGCAAACTACTAAAAGTTTATTTTTACTCTTTCTTCTTTTAGTCACCAAACAAGAACTGTCATAATTGACCAGATTCTCTGAGACAAAATAGCATAATGTTCAAGAGCACAAACTCTTGGGATATTAATCCATACCATGCCACTAACTAGCTGAATGACTTTGGGTAAATTATTTAACCTCTCTGGGCCTCAGTTTCTCTACTGCTACAATGGTCGTAAGGAAATTATCTATCACAGAATTATTACGTTAAGTGAGTTAATACATACACTGTGCTTAGAATAGTGCCTGGCAAAAAGCAAACATTTAAGAAAAAAACCAGACAGCTATTTTTTTAACTAGCTGAATTAAAAGCCTGAATTTTAAGGCATATCTAACAAAAGATTCAAAATTTCTGCTAAAGAAAATAATGCCTTCATTTATATGGAAATATTTAATGCTCTAAGAAGTTATTTATTTATTTATTTATTTTAGAGATGGGATCTTGCTCTGTTGTCCAGGCTGGAGTGCAGTGGTATGATTATAGCTCACTGTAGCTTGGACTCAAGTGATCCTCCTGCCTCAGCCTTCTGAATAGCTGGGACTACAGGTGTCCACCACCATGCTTGGTCAATTTATTTTTTAATAGAGACAGGATCTTGCTATGTTCCCCAGGCTGGTCTTGAATTCCTGGTTATCCTTCCACCTAGGCCTCCTGAGGTGCTGGGACTACAGGCATGAGCCACTGCACCTGGCCCAAAGAAGATGTATTTTAAAGGTCTACTATCTATCAGTGAAAGACCACTTATTCTCCTTTAATATCAAACCCTCTTATAAGCCTGAACCTTCAATCGTTTTAATGTGATTCAAGGGAAATCAAGATGGTTAGTTCTGAAGGGTAATCAATGGCAATAAGGTTTTTTTCTTTCAAAATTATACCTTTATTATTTTAAAAATAAGATATACTCACTACACAACTTGTGGATTAAGCTACTGGAGGACAGGGAGTGTATCTGGCTTTTTCACCACTATATTCCCATATCTAGAACAGTACCTGGCACAAAGTAGGCATATGACAAATTTTTGCTTATACAACTGTGGAAAATTTAGAGAATGCAAAAACTTGTAGAAAATAAAAGTTACTTAAAATCCCACCATATACAGTTGTTTAAAGTTTATTTCTCTCTTACGTATATATTTTATATTACTGAAATATTTACAATATTCTGCTTAAAAAATAAATACTATATTCATTTGTTCATTAAACTTTTCAGGGGAGTCCATCCTCTATAATTGACGTTTTCTAGGATATGGGGAGAAAATATGTAAACAGAGCCTAAAGACAGGGATCCTCAAAGATATTCTATCAAATAATTTTAAAAATAATTTGAATACCTATATATTATAACCTACAGCTATATAATAATTAATTTAACCATTGCTTATCACTGGATATTTTGGTTATGTCTAATTTTTACTTTTATATATATATATAAAATACATGTAATATTATATATAAAATACATGTAATATTATATATAATATATAATACATGTAATATAAATATATATTATAGTATAAATATTCTGTAATTATATATAACTTACTTATAGACTATATAAGTATATAATTTATATTATAAATGTACTGCAATGAACACCTTTTGAAATAACTCTTTGAGTTCTACATATGTCCTCAGATTAGACACTCAGAAGTGGTATAACAGGTTAGCAGCTGTGAATACTTGGAGGATCATGCTAAGAATTTTAAAATAATTTTCTGGAAATGCTGTACCAATTTACATTCCCACTAGAAGACAATGTTCATTTACCCATATCTCAGCATTAATCAAATGAGTACATTTGATAAGAAAAATAATGAAGCACTTTCTGATGGTAATAATACCTTCCAATTCCTTTGCATCCTTCCTCCACCCATTCACAAGCTGTCACCTGAGTATTTTTGAACGTAGAATTGTCACCTAAATGCTTCAACTGTCAGCAGTTCCCTAGGATGCATTGGTACCAACACACTTTCCTCATTCTTTTTCTTTTAAATGTGTAATAGAGACAAGGAATAAGAAAAATTCTTGATAAACATTTTAAACAATAATAATGATATAATTACACAAATATAAAAATATTTAAGAATATTTTAAATCTATTTAATCTATTTAAATTACAATGTATTTGAGAAGTAAAAACATCTGGTTCATTGAATATTATTTATGGAGCACTGACTTTGTGCAAAGTCTACTGTGAGTAAATTTAAAATTAGGGCAAAGCAAAAACAAAAACTTACCTCTTCGGAAATTATAACTACCTCAAACTTGGCATTCATTTAAAACATTTGTATAAATTTCAAAAATCAAGACTTAAAAATCAGGACAAGTTTATGGAAATTAAATTATTTTAAAAGTCAGTATCCATAATAAATGTATATAATTTATTTATTGACATACCTCTTGCCCATCTTCAAGAATAATAGCTCCAGCCTGCTCTACCACTTCAAAAATCATCACTGAACAGAGTTCTCTCCTTACAGACATGGTCATGTTTGCAAAAGCAGGGAGCTGGTGCATAAACTCCAGCAGTTGTTCTATAAGAAAACGGAAATTCTGGTATAAAGACCATCGAGGACTATACCTTAAAAATACAATGAAATCTAGAATTCAATTCCCAATTTCACAATCAACTTACAAATTTATGTTGCTAAAGTAGAGAAATTAAGGTACTGTTTGGCTGTTGATTTTTAAAATCAATTATTTGATTTATACATATATTCAGACTCACGTATAAACCTGGGCATATAGAAAGATAACAGAATTCACAACCTCCAGAGAGAACAAGGACTACACAGGTTCAGATGAAAGTGGAGAGTGTATCTAATATTCCTAGCCACTCCATGGGTTTAGTTATGGCCTTTGATCTAACAGGTTAGTGAAAAAGTCTTTTGTCTAGTTCTTGTTAAACAAAAGTATTTTAAAATGCCATTAACAAATACCAAAAAGTTATCAAAACAGGGATAATAAATGTGAATTCTAGCTCAAGATTTGTCTAACTAGGTAACTCTCTTTAACCAACAAATGTTTATGAGTGCCTCAGGCCACTCCCTGGTATGGATATATGTGTAAGGAAGATATAAATATAAGGAAGAAACACACATAAGCAGACAGCAAAGAGATTAAGAGTAACTATAAGGTGCTACATACCCATAGAAAACAGGAATTAACTACATTTTGATTTTTTAGAAGTTTTATCAAAATAGTATAGTATACAAATCTTTATCAGTAAAATTGCACTTTCAATTTCTGTCCAGATAATGTTCATAACATGAGACCACACTGCAGGTTATTTAACTGTATTAGATCTTTAGAATGGCAAGGAATGTTCAAATACATTGATCTTCACTCACATAAATGATTTTTAATAGTAGCAGCATCTTCTAATTGGAATGGTAGCTATTATAACAATGCAATCTAAGAAAAAAATCTTAATTAAATCCTAACAATATATATTTGACACTAAGTGATCTTTGCTTCTTAAAGATAACATTAATATCTTTAGTTATTATTCAACTTCCCAACTAAAGTAGGGTAACTAGTTTTATAAAAAATTACATACAAAAATTTATAATGTTTTAACAGTACACATGGCCAGACACGCTGGCTCATGCCTGTAATCCCAGCACTTTGGGAGACTGAGGCGGGCGGATCACAAGGTCAGGAGATCGAGACTATTCTGGCTAACACGGTGAAACCCCACTGCTACTAAAAATACAAAAAATTAGCCAGGCGTGGTGGTGGGCGCCTGTAGTCTCAGCTACTAGGGAGGCCAAGGCAGGAGAATGGCATGAACCTAGGAGACGGAGCTTGCAGTAAGCTGAGATTGTACCACTGCACCCCAGCCTGGGCAACAGAGTAAATACTCTGTCTCAAAAAAAAAAAAAAAAAAAAAAAAAAAAAAGTACACACATAACATACAGATATTTAAGCTAGGGGAATAAAAATATAAAATTTTTAAAAATCTGCAAGTTTTTCAAAAAGCAAATTCACAGACAGCGAACACTGTACTATGCTTGTGCTTTAAATGTCTTATAGACATGAGGGGAAAAATCAGTTTAATGCAATCAAAGCTTTTATTTTATATTGTGGCAGCCAACCTCAAAGATGGCTCCCAGTGATCCCTGCCTCCTGATAGTCATGTCCTTGTACGGACCCATTCTATACTGTATCAGAGTTACCTGGTGTAACAAACAGAATTTAGCAGAAGTGATGATGCATTACTCTTGAATACAGATAATAAAAAACACTGTGGCATTTGCCTTATTCTCCCACGGATTACTTACTTAGGGGGAAGCCTAAGTTCCCCCTAAGTATGTTGTAAGGACAATTAAGCAGCCTATGAGAGGCCCACATGAAGAGGAACTGAAGGTCATGCACCAAAGGCCATTTGAATAGCTATCTTGGACACAGATTCTACAGCTCAGACCAGGGAAGACCTGGATGGCTGCAGTCCTCTGCCAATTCTGACTACAACCTCATGAGAGATACCAAGCCAGAACCACCCAGGTAAGGTGCTCCTAAATTTCTGACTCACAAAAATTCTAAGATAATGGCTTAACACAACATACATTTATTAAGTTTTAGAATAATTTGTTATGCACCAATAGGTGACCATATAAATTAAGCTACAAATCCTTACTGTGAACACATGTATTTCTTACCAATGTCATCATCAGTTTTGTCTGCAGGCTCTTTTTCAAGACATTCTCGAACAAGATCTCGCCCCTGCAATGGATCTGTTCGATCAATCTCTTCATCTTCCTCTTCGTCATCCTCAGAATCAACAGGTCCTTCTGGAAGACGTGTCAAATCTACATCTCCTACCTCACTCTCCGTAGCCTATCAAAAGAAATCTTGATCACTTACCATTTCATGTTAAAAATACTGTAAGTCACAGTCTGAATTAATCAAAACTACCAATCCCTACAAAATATAAGATTTGGGCAACACTGTATGCTGCATCAAGGATACAATAAAATGATACTTATTTATAAAAGGTTTCTTTCTGCCCCAAATTTACAGGCTCATCTTTCCACAATGTGACAACTAGGTGATAAATCAACGTCAGTAAATGTAAAATGGTCAGGAGACTCAAACATCACTAAATGTATTAATATCTGTTTTCCACTAAACACTTGCATTTCTTAAAAGTACAAAGTTTACTAAAACATGAAGTACAGGAAAGAAAAAGTTTACTAACAATCACCTTATGAGTACCTATTAGTCTATGCTGGGTGTTGTGAAGAAGATAATGTTCTTTCGTCACAGAGGCTTAGGCTTAGTAGGGTAGGTAATCAGATAAATTAGAACAGAAGTTTAAAGTAAGGTAAAGAATAGTACTAAAATGTACTAAAATAGACCCATCGTAAAAGACTGAACAAATACTTTTCATTTCCCAATACTTTACTGTTGGATCTAAAAGTGTGCAAAGAGCTGTGATTTTTGAATCACTCTATAAAATGACCTTATACTTACAACTACAATTTGGAAACATATTAGTCTCACATATTTTAAAGAAACTATAAAATGTTTAAAAACCATAAATTAAAAAGTCATAGAAAATAATGAAAATGTCTTTTAGAAGATAAAATGGTACTAAGTAGATTCTTAAAAAATATTTCTAAATATTATACTCACTTGATTCATCTTGTTAATGAAAAAGCATGGATATTAAAGGCATTATAGAAAAAATAAGTGAACACACAAGAATTCCATAATAAGTAGAAAGCACTCAAATGAGTATTAGTGAAGACTACAGAATCTTAATTCATTAAGTATCTCCTGTTTTGAACATTTACCCTTTTCTCTGCCAAGAGATCTTTTTTTTTTTTTCTGTTTTTTGAGACAGGTTCTCGCACTATCACCTGGACTGGAGTGTAGTACAATTAGAGGTACTCTAACAAATCAGAAGAGGGTCTATTTACCAGACACCAATCTGCTGCTGGTGCCTTAAGATCTTATAACTTTCCAAGCCACAAGAACAGTGAGTAAATTTCGTTGTTTATAAGGCTACCCTCAAAACAAACCAAAAAAACACTTAAGCATCACACGTCATTATTAGTATAGGCAAGACACTGAATAGGACTAAGACAGGATCTATAGGAAAAGGCAAATTTTATTCTGATGAACTGACATAGTATGTGCAGTTGTTTTCTGGCTATGAATCATATAGGATTTAAATGAGAGTAGTATTTCTGAATAATGACATAGAACCCACGAACTTGTTTGTCAGGTTATAATCCTTTTAAAGACAGTAACTTTTAAATTTTAACTATTGATATACACTATATCATTATTTATATATGGATTTAATCATCGCAACTGGGAAAACCTTATAAGGCAAAGTATTATCTACACATTTAATTTCTCAATATGCTAGAGAGCTCACTCCTGGTATCATCCTTTCCTATTTTATCAATTTTGAAGTGTAATCTGCATTTAAAAATTGCAGGGGTTTGTTAAATCACTGTCTTCATCTTAATCTAAGATTTT